ACTAAAAAGAAGAAAACAAAACTACTTAAACTTATATCATTTAACGATAATTAGCGCAAATTAAAAATAAAAATTTAGAAGAAGAAAATATTTTAGAAATTATTACCAATAAATTACTAATCTTAAAAAATGCAAGCAAGGGATTTTATTTGTTAAAATAAAAATTAATAAGCAAAACATACAAACAAATTATATTATTACCAATTATTATAGTTTAGTGCGTAAAAAAACATATTAATGAAAACTTTGCGAAATAATTTAATAATTGTATAAGCAAGCTGAATACAAAGGTATCTACATAGTAAGCAGTTGGAAGAACAAAATGCAAGATGCTAGGAATAAGCAGTGATACAGATACTAAATATACGGTGAATACCGTTAAAGACCACAAACAAGTATAGTATAAAAAAGCATTTAATCAAATTTTTGAAATAAGCAACTTAAAATGCAGCACTGTCAATATAAACATGCATATTTTTATTCATTTATTGCAATATTGTTTTTTTTTTTAGTTCAATATAAAAATTAAATTTTGATATCAGTTAGATTCTCAAGGTGTTGTATGCTACAGATTTACTTTTTAACGAATTTCTTAGCGTTTAACCGAAATTCTAGACTCCTTGCAAAAGTTTTAATACAAAATTTTGCATAACTATGAAGTAATATCCAAATTAAACAGCAAAATATTAAAAAAAGAATGTTATCTCAACATTTTCTTGAATTCCCATTATTAATTATGAGCCGCACAACACCATTGTGAATATTACTCACTTGGACTGTTCACAATGTCTGTTTAATAGGTTTGTTAATAAATTGCGTAAATGAAAATAATGCAAGGAGCATAGTACCGACATAAAATTTAAATTAAATGCAATTTTGTTTAATTTATGCAAATAAACCAAATTAAAAGGAAGAGGAGTTAAAATATTCATGTTGCAAATCACCAGCAGGATTATTCACTATTTTTCCCGCTGTAACCTTTTTACGAAATAATTGGGCCACGATTTCAATTCCTTGAGAACGTTATCCATTAGTCACGCATGCCTTGGAACTTATTGAGTTATTGAAAATTTATTGTGAAGTTATTTAAAAAATCAAGAATAAAAGAAACGTTCTTAGCAGATTAATCACAATTCGCTACAGTGAGATAAAGATTCTGTAGTGATTGTAGGTTCTGCTACCACGTGCTAGAAACGACCGTCACATTCTTGTTTTAATTTAAAACTTACCTTAGGAATTACGGCTCAATTATGTAGCATCCGAAAAGTTACTTAAACCTTAGCCCTTCCCCTCAATGTACATACATCGGGTGGCAAAAGACTCGGCAAAACTTGGCAGTCAGTTGAATTTAGATTTTCCGTTTTAAGTCTAAGTGACATTTAATGTGTACGAGTATATGTTATGTCCCTTATATATGTTGACAATTTTATATTTATAATTCATAAGGAATCATGCATTCTTCATACACTCGAAATTTGGTAGATAGGTGTACATGCATTGAAATATATAAAAGAGAAAAGTTGCATTCAGAGTATTTTATATACAAACTTGTAATTTAACATTAAGTTAACTGATTTTTAAACTCAAAAGTGCAAAACACCGTTACATACATACATACTTGCATAGGGAATGTAATAGTAGTGAAACCAAAATAGAAAAAAATATGGGATCTAAAAATTTTGCAAAATAATTATAAATTAATTCAAAATCAATACAGAACCCTTGCATACATACACACATGTAATATTTCGTTAAAAAAAATAGCAAGGGAAAAGCGAAATTATAAGAAAATTTGGATAAATAAAGAAACATGAAATGCAGAAGGCATACAAAAAACTAACTATTTATATATATATATATATATAAATATATATATACGTATATACCTATATATATTGAGGAAAACTATAAAATATACATATACATATATATATATGCATATACCATTTAATCGTACATACATACGATACATAATTATTACTATATTATAATTATTATCTATATTTAAGTAATGAAAGCGCTTCGTTCGCCATTGAAAAGTGCGACAAGCCAAAAAGGATGAAAGCATACACCGAAATGTAAAAGAAAATTTACAAATAAAAAGTGAGTTGTAAAGAAACAAAAAAGTAAGTAATTAAATATAAAATTATTAATTATCATAAATAATTAAATTATATTACATTTAAAGCGTAAATAATGAGTATGGGTATTATACAATTATGAATACTAAAATGCATGCATACATATATACAAAAGAGTATATATATTTAAAAATAGTAGCATGGAAATTACGTAGTTGCATAATTTGAATTAGCAAACAATTTTTTTTTTTTTTTTTGCTAAATTGATAGCAAAGTTTCAGCGTGTGAAACACTTAGTGCAGTGAAAATTTATTAAATACACACATACATACGTATTATTAATATATTTTGATAAATATTATTATATGGTTGCAATTACCATTATCATCATTATTATCAGAAAAAGAAATATTCTACAAGTATGATTATTATTAAATAAACCAGATGATGAGCATAAGTAAACATACATACCACACGGCACATACATACATGCTTGCATTCATATTAGTAGCGCAAGGAGTGAAAAAAAAAAACGAAATAAATTATTTAATATAAGCAAAAAATATATACAGACGTGCAAACCTATTTCAATACCAAAAGAAATTTAACAATCGGAATGCGTCAAGAAAAAATGTAGAAAAAAATATGTGCGAGAATTTACAAATTTATATTGCAAATATGTTGATTACATGCAGACATACATACATAAGTTATATCATATATGTTAAACATATGTTAAAAAAATATGAGAAAAGTTTAGAAAAAAATATCAACAAATTATTAAACACAGACACGGTTGCACTGGAAATCTATAATATGCTCAAATATGTATGTAGTGGTAATGGTATGTGTACTTACCCACATGCATACAAATAGCGAAATGTATGAATTTACGCTCCTGAACAGCACTCAACCGAATTCCTACACCAACAACACCCTCCTCCCACAACTCACCACCCCTCTTTCCATACATTCATACATATATATACATATATACATATACTTGAAGAAAAGAAGAAAGGAAACAGCATATTTCATTAAAAAAAAATTATATTAATAAAAATAAATAAAAAGCAGCCAACTTATTAAACTTACACACACATACACACATTGAAATATTAATTATTATAATAATAAGGCAAGTAAAACAAACTATAATAATATAATATTCATTATTATCATTATTATTATTAATATTATTATTATGAATTATTATTAAAATAAATTATTAAAAATTATTGCATAATTATAATTGATAAAACAAATATATTAATATACATTAACAAATAAATATATTACAAGGATATATCATATAAGTACATACTATAAAGAGATTAAAAACAAAATAATAATATAAAATAATTAAAATCTCGATGCTGATTATGCTGATTGCCAGTCGAAGAAAAATAAAATAAGCATAATAAAGATCCCCCGAAAAGAAATTATTAACAAAAACGTAAGAACAAAAATAAAATTTGAAAAAAAAATTATATAAACAAAAATCTACAAAAAAAAAAAATAATAAAAACAAAAATAAACAAAAAACACAGAATATATATTATATATACTTTATAGACATTTAACAAAAACCTAAATAAAAACCGAAGAATCCAACAAAAACAAAGAAGAATAAACGCAAAAATAAATAAAGTTGCAAATAAAACTTTTAACAAAAAAAAAAGAATTTGTGTTTTTTATTTCAAATGGATTTGTATTTAGAGAAACTTCAAAACCTGTATTTTTGGAAGAGTTCTTAATTTATGTAGGAAACGAAAAGTGTGCTGCTTTAATTTAAGCATATACAAAATTAGACTGTTTTTGTCGGTAGAGTATCATTGGCTTTCCCGCCGAGACTTCTTTCTCAAACCAGTCATCGTGGAACGAAGCTTTTGCCTTACCCCGAAGCTTCTTCGATGTTGCTAAAGTATACCAACGTTTCCAGAGTACGTCATAAATAAATTTATATATTAGGGCTTCTTGCCAATCGAAAGATACTTCTTTACAATAAAATGTATAAACTCAACATCGCTGACACTCCACTCAGACGTTGAATACTCTCCCTCGCAAATAGACTCTGCTCTTTTATTATTATTTTAAAATGTTGGGATCACTAGGCTTTGTTTTTGACCACGAGATCAAACGAGCTAAGCAGAAAGCTCCATTTTCCAATTGGGATTTATTATAAAGAAGTGATTAGCATCCAGCGGGTTGGAGCATTTGGGTGATTTTCAAATCGTGGTGTGCTAAAAATCAGAGTTTAGTATTTAAGTTGTCAGTAAAGTGATACGTCTAAAGCGTTTATTGTAATGGAATTTTTGATCAACAACAGTTTTATAGTGGGCGCGACTTTTCGGGCCTCTGGAAAAGGCCAATAGATTCTGCTTAGCTTTCATACAAGACCGGTGCTCCACAATAAATTTTGCATTCTCCCCTATTCGCTTAGGTACAGGTACTTACCTCTCTCCTCCCCAGCTTCAAACATTTTGCAGTGCTTACTTAAAATCAACGGCATCCGTTGGTTCGATCCCTGCCATAAGAAGTCTGATGAGAAGATGTGGTGATCTCCGAAACAGCTGTCACTTCTACCATTTTTCTTTGTTGTATAACAAATATTCAATTCATACAAACAACAAGGCCTCGTAGTTTACTTAATAAAAATTAATATTATATAATATATAGCATGGCCGCAAAAACAAATTATAACGGCTTTTTTGTTTTGAGCAGCGCACCTACTACGCGCCATTCTGTTGGGCGTAGCTTAAAATTTAAACAAAGTTTGTGGTGAAGTTTTTGTGAAGAAGTTTTTTATTAACACGTTGACGGACACTTGCGTCTATAGCCGTCAAAGCGAAGTTCACTATGACACAACACATAGTGTCAATTTTCGAACTTTACTTGTTCCTACTGTCCGTCAATGTGTTAAATAAATGTATGAAATTATTATGTATATAGTGAATTTAATGCGTTTTAATAACTTGCGATATATTTACAAAAATATTGAGTTCCGTTGTTCTTTTAGCAGATCCTCTAGAGAACATCATAAAAAAGTGTTATTGCAGTGAGAAATCTCCCCGGAGGTTTTCATTTTGAATAGGGCTGTATATCTCTGATCTTATTTAACTAAAATAAAAAAAAATAATAATTTTAGGATAGATGAATATCCGTATGGATAATCAAAAATTTGTGTTTGAAAAAAAAATGATTACTTCCCATTGAAAATAAAAATTAGTCTTCAAAAATCGAAATAATTACCAAGAAACCTTGCTCCTTCGATTGTTTCCCGACAAAATAATCCACTTTCAAACGCTCGGAAACGTTCTTACAAATCCTTTACGTTTTCCAAAATTGTTTGCCGATCTTCAATCTTTTCAAGATCCCGTTAAATAAATCGCAACAAATACCCACCTAACACAGCAAGTAACATAAGAAATAAATATATCTGTATTTAGTTGCAGTTAGTTTCTATTTGCCTACAAATTTATGCTTTATTTAGATTTCTTTTTCAATTTAGACTTTAAGTTTAGACTTTGAATGAAGTTTTTGTTGTAGTTTTATTTAATTTTTTCATTATTTTTATAATTTTTCACTTTCATTTTTTTATAGTAGCTTAGTTTCGGCAATTGTAGTTATTTATGAGTACTATGTGTACGAGGAGAAGATTTCGTGGACATAAGAACAATGTCTACGTGGTTACATTTAAGTTACAGCTCTTTTTTCGATTTTTGTATTAGTTTTGTTGAGTTTCTCTTTAGTTTGCTCATTTTGATAGCAATATGCGCTTTATAGATAAAGTTTTGGAGGTATTTTCAATTTAATACAATATATATATTTTTTCATATTTTTCTCGGTCCTTTTGAGTGTGTAATTAAAAACTAAATTTAATATTTAAGGTATTTAAAGATGTATTAATATGTATGTATATAGTATGTAAGTATATTATAGTATGTATATGCTTGTTTTTGTTATGTATGTATATATGTTTATGTATATATAATTGAAGAATTAGTTACATTAAATACAAATTCATTTTGAATTTTGAGTTAATTTTTTATTTTTATTATAATTTTTTTTCGTAGGTGTTAAAGCAAACTTGCGCTTACATGGTACATACATACAAGTAGATGGGTGACATTTTAATACATGATTTGCGCATTTATAGCATTACTAAGACGATTTGTTTTTTGATTTTTTGTTTTGTTTTTGTAACTCATAGTAGCTAATTGGTTAACACTAAATAAACTATCATATGAGGGCTTTAGTTATTTTATAAAAAATAATGTTAATTCTAACGCTTATGTGTAACAAACGCTTAGATAACGGGTTTTTGATTTTATACTTTGCAATCAAATTTTTATATATTTTTTTCTGTAATTACATTTAACAAACAACAGGTGAAATAGGGAAAACCGAATATAGTAAATAGATTAAATTTAACATTAAAATTTAATATTTAATATTTCAAACAAATCAAACGAAAATATTCAATTTTTTTTAGAAAAAAAAAACTAAAATTTTCTTTTTTGACATGTGTATGCGTGCAGATTTTTGAAATGAAAAAAAAAAAAATCTGCAGCTAACAAAAAAGTAAACGAAACTAATAAACTTAAACTTTTTACGCTGCACCGTTATATAATATAATATTTTGCATTCAAGCAAATAACACCTCAAGCATATATGTATATATTTACTGAGTTTGCTGGCTTTCACATATTTCAACGAATGCATAAAAGGCGGTCACATAGACTAATAAAGTAAGCTATTTGTTGCGGCATCATAAGCAGTAGTTAATGAAAGCATAGCATAGATATTTAAGCCAATTTATTGAATTAATTGAATTCGCAGCATTTTTCCCCATTTTTACATGTTTTTAACATAGGTAGGTGTTTAATGCCAAACCTCAAATAACTTACTTTCTTTTTGCCAACTTTACTACTACTATTACAACATAAAAATGTTAATATATCACTAATAATAGATGAAATTAAAAATACTATTAATCAAAAATTACATCTTTTGCACGTCCATCGCTCGGGCGTTGGTGAGGGGGCGGGCATTTAAGGCAGGCGCACGCCCAAAAGCGCTCGTGGCGCTTTACTAAGATGTATGTAAGTTTTTCTTAATTTTTTTATTTTCTCTTTTATTATATTTAATTACATTTGTGGCTGCTACCGTTGGGGTCAGCGCGGTAAATACGAGTATAAATCACAATCAAAATTTTTTGTATAATGTATATGTGAGGATTTATGTGTTTATTTATGTATACGAATTTCATTTTGTGCCATTTCTATAGTGTGGCGCACTTCGGAGAGCAGATTTCATTACTCAAGTATTGTGTGTTCTATGTATATTGGTCTGTGTTTTGATATATTGTGTATATATTTTGTATACATTAAATGTTTTCTTTACCATCGAATGTAGGACCACATTAATGAACATTCCGACATATGAACGTATATCTATATAATTAAATTTATGTATTCCGAAAGTATTTCATTTTTATGCCTTTTGCTGCAATATTCACTTTTTAGCAGTTATCATTTACTAAGCGATCGAGCCGGTAGAAAGCATTATGATTTCTATATATTATATATTTTATTTATTTTTTATTTACTACTCGAAAAAGTTCGTTGCATGGTGTTCCTATATATTCGCTTCGGTTTCTATACATATATTGATACAAGCTAGATACATAGTCGCTTTGCCGGATAATCCTAATTTTGTATTTAGATATTGCATCATTTAATTTTCATTTTTTATTTGATATTAGATTTCAATTTGTTTCTTTTTTAATGTATGGATGTGCAATTTGTTGATATTATGACTTTCTTTTAAATCCAATATTTCTATACTTTAGACGATTCTGCATCAGCTAATATAATATTAAAGTTTGATTACTTTTTTCCTGCTAACTTTTATATAGGTTTTCTTTCCATACGAATCTTACTGTTGGGTTAGCACACAAATTCAAATAAAGAAGCATGTAGTAATTAATGTTTAACTTTGCAGTAATGCAGTACTGTACTGTTGCTGTTTACTGTTGTTTTTCTTAATCCTCCGAAAAATCACTATCATCACTGTCATCACTTGTGCCAGAGAGAAAGTCAAGCCAATGGTAGTCTCGTTGTTCAACAAACTCCCATAAATAGATCTGTAAAAAATTTAAAACAAAACTTTGAGGTATTCTATCAATGCTGCCACAAATTAAAACATACATCTAACAAGTCGATGAAATCATTGGAGCCACGGTGGAGTTTGCGTGCACGCTTGGGACAACCCACATCGACCAATTCACCATTGGGTAAAGCATGCTTGTAAAAACATTTGTTGCCAAATGGACACTTTCCATCACCCTTTTTTAAGAAAATATATTCATATAAGAATATTTATTAATAAATCTAATTTAGAAAATTGCCAAAATTATACCTTTTTAAAGTATTTGCAATCTTTCACCCCAAGCGCTAATCGATAGTCACTAAGCAACTTGTCTTTTTCTTCCTTAGTTTCCACCCAAAAGGCACTGGGGCAGACAAAATCTGAAGAAACGCGGCATTCTGGACACGAGCTGCAAATAGAAAATATTACATATTTACAATATATTAATTAATATTGAATTAGTTAAAAAAAAAACAAAAAACTAGATAACAAACCGTGTGATCTTGTGCTCGAATTGTTTTGCCTGTCGCCACTTGCGAATACATTCCAAGCAGAAAATGTGATTGCAATTAGGCAAAATACCAAAACGTTTCTCTCTGCCAGCCTTTTCCATTATCGTATCGAAGCAAATACCACATGTTTTGTCCTTAGAGCGTGCAATAGCAAATGACCACTCCATGGCCTGCTCATGTTGTTGCAGACATTCTTGATTATGTTTGCGACGTTGCGTCTGATCACTTGGATGTAGGCAAAATTGATCACACATTTTACAAAGTTCCATATGTATGCCATAAGCACAAAAAGCGCCATACGGGCAGGGGCCCTCGAAGGGGCAAATCATTGCTAGCATAGCCTCTGCATCTGCACCTTCAACGGTATTCATACGTTGTGCGACATTATCACCGCCAACAACGTCTGCCCACGATTTTTGAATTTCAGCATTGATTGGGCCCAAGCCAGCTGCACCCTCACACGCGTAAGCATCGGAAACTTCTTCTATAGGGTATTTGGATCTATGACTCTTCGGTACAAATATAGGAGCATTTATCCAGTTTTGTCGGCTAGTGCTGGGTCTGGAGTTTAAATACTCTGATCTTGCATTACTTTTTGAAGAGGTGCTGGGTTTGATAGCGTCCCCCTCGTTCCCACTAATATGAATCACATCACCACCGTTGAGATCATGCGAAAAACGGCACATATCCCCAAAACGGCATAGACCTCGCTGAAAGTAACGACAAATAGCAGTATTTACTGGCATACCAGTTTGTGCTCTAGACACCGCCGTTGGACTGTCATCGGCAGATAAATTCGACATTATATTTGACATTTCAGCGGCAGGAACACCACCACCTGCGCCTATTGTTGGTGCCAAAGTAGCAGACGTACTCATATTAATTTTACCCTGTATAAACCCTTAGGTAAATATTTTCGGATGAATTTGTTGCTTCAACAATGGAACTGCAAATCGGCACTATCCTGCTACAAAACGTGGTCTCACTTTACAATGGCGGTAACTGCAATTCAGCCAATACGACAGAGGCAATGAACTCTGAGCGGATTTAATGTTTTTGTCTTTTTTCCTCCTTTCGCGGTTTTTCTCTTGTAATTGATGGTATGTTGTTTTCGCTGATCTATATCCTTTCCTTTGTTCTTTCTAGTCTGTGAGATTTACAAACTACAATAGCGTATGCTTTTGCTGGTGATGATTCTCCTTCTACCTAAAAAAGACAAAGCGGAGTTTAGTGGTGTAACGGTCAGCATCTAAAAAGTCATTCTGATGATTTGCATATTTTTTCCACTCTTCTAAAATCAAATTAAAAAAAGATTTTTTCAACTTAATTGAGCAAATATACATTATTATAAATAACTTTTTTACCAAATATGTAAACTAACACACATGTTACTTCAAGAAAACTACATCAACATGAAACGAATACAATAGTCAGGAATGTTGAGAGCGGTCCTTTGAAAAATTAATGCAGCTGTCATTGAAATCAGTGCTGCCAAATTAACGAAAATAATAATAAGGAATACAACATTGAAAGCCCAAAGAGAATACACATTCGGCCGTGAAAATCTTATCTTAATCATAAACAAAAATACTGCCAAAAATTAAGTAATGCACAATCACACATTATTGTTTAGTAATAAATAATTTATTGTATATGTTTTTTGACCCAAACTAAATTGGCACCACTCATATTTTTGCTACTAAATTTCCGTTTTAAATCACTGCGGTTTTCACCTTGTCCTAACACAAAATATTTGCTTTATTATTTCCCATAAGGCAGATTGGTCGAAAGTAAATTCGAAGCACAAATGATTAAATGTTGTATATTATATGTATGCATATGTATTGGGACTTCCATGGTCATATCCAGAAAGCCATCACATCCACAAAGCCATCAGAAAACAAACACACATACACACTTAGGTAAATTACACAAATGATGACAGCCTCGATTTCGCAATTCTTGCATATAGACTATTGTTATAGATATTTCTACAAAATATAAAATAAACTATAAAATTCACCTTTCTCAACCAATAAAAGGTAATATTCTTGAAAAGTTTTCACAAAATCTCACAATTTGCGTCTTTTCTACAAACACTGAATCTGAACAAATCTCCTGACACCAACAGACTGACGTTTACGACAGACAAACATAAAATGATGCCATACATAAATAATTACTTGGAAATAGAAACCATTTTTTAACTAAATATATAAGGATTTGATTATTAAGCATCGATATAGGATTAAAAAGAACTAACCGATACTTATCTTCAGTCATTCAAGTCTATACAATATATCAATATATTAAACAGAGAACAATTTTTTGGATATATTATTAATATGCATAGTTGTTGTTTTTTCAGGTACGTTCTATCACCTCAAGGTGGCGCACCTGACGTTTTCTGTGCAACCCTGCTCTGGCCTGGTTTGCGATGCCAACTATTGAAACCGTTCTCTAAATTCGGCCATTTTGGTCGTAGTCACCGTCGTTTGCATACGTTTTGTGCTTTGGTAAGTTTTCCATCTAAGAAAATAAAAGAAATCATTGCTTATTTTTAAAACATGATTTTTCAAATACAAAGTTTTTAAATAATCCTATGTGTATAATATGTATTTCATGTATCTTTCAGTTCTTAAATTCTATTCACGAGTCCCTAATTACACAACTTGATTCAAGATGGTTAGGGAGAACAAGGCCGCCTGGAAAGCTCAATATTTCCTGAAAGTTGTCGTAAGTAATCCAAAACAATCTTAATCTTTTATTTTAATACATATATATGATGATAAATTATCTACGTCTGAAGGTGTATCGTCCGGTTGCCTTGCTTGAAAAAGCTGAACCCAGGCGACCTGGTGCACGTTAGGTTTGATAAAGTTAGCGTCTGATTCAATGTTATTAAAACCATAGCTTTTCTCTTTTGAAGATCGCACTATTTATAATTGATTTTTAACTTGCAGGAACTCTTCGACGAATATCCCAAGTGTTTTATTGTTGGCGCTGACAATGTCGGTTCTAAGCAAATGCAAAACATCCGTACCAGCTTGCGTGGCCTTGGTGTTGTGCTTATGGGTAAAAACACAATGATGCGCAAAGCTATTCGCGGCCATTTAGAAAACAACGCTCAATTAGAAAAACTATTGCCTCACATCAAGGGCAATGTTGGTTTTGTTTTTACCAAAGGTGATTTGGCTGAAGTTCGTGACAAGTTACTCGAGTCGAAAGTACGCGCTCCAGCTCGTGCCGGCGCTATTGCTCCATTACCAGTCATCATTCCAGCACAGAACACTGGCTTGGGCCCTGAGAAAACTTCTTTCTTCCAGGCTCTCTCCATACCAACCAAGATTTCCAAGGGTACTATTGAAATCATTAACGATGTTCCCATTTTGAAGCCTGGTGACAAAGTCGGTGCTTCTGAAGCTACACTTCTGAACATGTTGAATATTTCACCTTTCTCGTATGGTTTGGCCATCACTCAAGTGTACGATTCCGGTTCCATTTTCTCGCCTGAGATTTTGGATATCAAACCAGAGGACTTGCGTGCGAAGTTCCAAGCTGGTGTTGCCAATTTGGCTGCTGTATCCTTGCAAATTGGTTACCCAACCATTGCTTCCGCACCACACAGCATTGCCAATGGTTTCAAGAATCTTTTGGCCATCGCAGCTTCCACCGAAGTGGAGTTCAAGCAAGCCGCCACCATCAAGGAGTTCATCAAAGATCCGAGCAAGTTTGTTGCAGCTGCCGCTGCTTCTGCTCCAGCTGCTGGTGCTGGTGCTGCTGCCGAAAAGAAGGAAGAAGCCAAGAAAGAGGAATCCGAGTCCGAAGAAGACGACGATATGGGTTTCGGTCTCTTCGATTAGAAGTCTTCGAAATATGTCAACGTTATTCGGATTTTACAAAGCCTTGTGGATTATTCTATAGAAATGTTAATTTTACAGTACACTGTGACTTTATCATGTACAAATTTGTATTTGGCAAATTATTGTCGAGGTCTGACACACCCAATGACAAGTTGTCATTGCAAAAGTATGTTTTAGAATCTTTACTTCGTAGTAAAATCTGAATTTATACAACATAATAAAGTTGTAATATAAAAAAAGGAAATGGACTTGATTTATTTAAATTACATATATGTTGAGTGGAGAAAGAACTACATCGCGCAAAGAAATTTATATTGTGAAGCGATATTTTATCGTAGAATTAATCAGTTATTTTCATATAATGTTAAGAAAAGGCTCTCAAAAATGAAGGAAATTTTTGCCAACGGAGGACCGCAATAGTCGATAGATAACGTCATACGATAATCACAATGACTTCAATTCAAAGATTTTTTATTTGACTTTCGTTATAGTATATGTTCATGTATATTTCGACAAAAATGATTGTAAATATGTAAGGACACTTTTTTTTACAGTTCTGCAAAATTTAAAAAGCGATTTATCGCTATGCTATTATGAATAAGACTTAATTACAGTCGTCAAAACAAACGTGAACAAAGTTTATAGATATGTCCTTCGTGCTTAAAAAGTAGCAACAATATCAGAATATAATAGGCACATTAGTTTGTTTTACATAAATATGTAAGTAAACAAATACAGAAAACAAAGAGCAACAGTATAACGAAAGGCCTTCAGCAACAAATGCAGACCTAATTAATGGTGATGAATGTTGGAAATACTAATAGTATGTAATATCGATTTGATCCTTGATGGGATTTCCCCATTCACGAGCAATAATCAGGATTTCATTCCTGGTTAGTTTTGGTCCGATAAGTGGGTTCATTTGGGTCATGTAACAACATAGCCAGCTAAAATTAAAAAGAAATTAAGCTCTTTTTGTGTCTTGTTTTTAGACTTTTGTGTACTTACAACAGCCAGCAAGTGGACGCTACCAACATCAGACAGCATTGGGTAACACTATGAGAAAATATAATCAATTATTAAATTAATATATCTACTCTTGAAAAACATTGAATCTTATAATAAATGGAGCCTCACCCTTTGTTGGGTCCGCGAGCGAAAAATGGGCATATAATACCAATGAAGCCCCAAATGGCTGTGATTATGATGGGTGCTAGCCAAGGTGAAACCATTTTATCGCTTAATGCCGTAATACTGTTACTTTAAAGAGTATAATCCAATTGTTACAGCGTTATTTGGAATTTTAAATAATTGGTGAACTATGTCGTCGAAAAAAAAACAGGGTAAGATAAACGAAAGCAACAAATGACTTTTTCAGCTACGCAAATGTCACATGATCACCCATGGGACTTCATATTCTCAGCTGGTCAATTCAGCAAGCTTATGAAACATCCCAACAGGGTGTTAGAATGCATAAAAAAAAGTTTCTATTTTTACTAAAGATCGTCGACACCAGCTAACTAGCTGGTTTGCGAGAAAATAATTCTTAAGACCTTTTATTGGATTTTGCGTATGGTGACGTTAAAATTTAAAATTTTCTATCCGATTATTTTCCTATGTTAAAACTAGTATAGAAGTAATTGTTGAACACGTTTTGTTATATTAATATACATTCTTTGTGCATGTCTATCGTTTCGCGCGCATGTTCGAATGAATAATTGCCCCGCTGTGCTACGAAAATCGCGAGAAATTTGAAGGAAGGTGTAATCTCGCTGTGGCAAAATTTTTCAAATTGGTTCACAGTTATTTTCCCTTCTTATTAATATACGTTCTTTGGGTTCAAATACAGCTATATGTAGTGGCCTAAGTCCCTCATATAAAGTATTCTTCTCATGGTTTGAATGCTTGTCGTGCCATCGTAGCCTAAGTGTGGTTGCAGTAATTCTCTGTAGATAAATATATTGACTCCACTGAACATACCACTCACCAAGTGTCAGCTGGATGAGTTTCAATTATAGTTCAGTGGAATAGTGACAAGCAAAATTATTAAAAATGGTTTTGGAAAGTACTATGATATGGTGAGTAAAAATAACTAATTTTATTTGAAAAATATATTAATTCAGTAAATATTCGAGTGAAAATTAAGTAAACGAATTTTTGAAAATAAATGCAAAAGAGATTTTTCAGTAGCAGCAACTACACAATCGAAAAATTGTTCTCTCTATCCGGCGTCTTCGTGTAACTGTGCAAGTGTATTTATATTTAAATAAAAAATATTGTCCTACTTTCCTACAGTTTCGACAATAGTGATTACCAGAGAAATGGTGATTACTTTCCTACCCGACTGAATGTACAAAAAGACGGCATTAATCTGGTGTGTCTCACCAAAGTGCGTTCAAATCCAGAGAATAATGTTGGGCTAATGACAATATCCAAGTAGGTACACATTCAAGTACATATATATATGTAAATGTAATATGTCCGTGTTATTAACATAATTGTTTTTTTTTTTTTCAGTACTGTCGAAGTGCTTGCAACACTAACCAGCGATGTGGGACGTATATTCTCTAAAATGCATTTGATACAACCTAAAGGGGAAATTAATTTACTCACTGGTATACGCATTGCACATGTAAGTTTTAATACGCTTTCAAATGCCATTATTCACATAAAAAACATTTTAAAAATCTAGTTGGTTTTGAAACATCGCCAAGGTAAAAACCATAAAATGCGTATAGTCGTATTTGTTGGGTCACCAATCAATAACGAAGAAGGTGACTTGGTCAAACAAGCAAAACGTTTGAAGAAGGAAAAAGTAAATGTTGATATTGTGAGCTTCGGCGATCATGGCAACAATAACGAAATATTAACTGCTTTTATTAATGCGTTAAATGGAAAAGATGGTACTGGTTCGCATTTAGTGAGCGTACCACGGGGCTCTGGGTTATCTGATGCCTTGCTCTCTTCACCTATAATACAAGGTGAGGACGGTATGGGAGGTGCAGGTCTAAGTGGAGCAGGTTTTGAATTTGGAGTTGATCCTAATGAGGATCCAGAATTGGCACTTGCTTTACGTGTTTCTATGGAGGAACAGCGTCAACGTCAAGAAGAAGAGCAACGCCGTGCTCTTACTGAGTCAAATACAACTGGTAACATAGAGCCTAATGTTGGAGGTGTTAGCGCTGGTGACGATAAAACTACTCCAAGCAACACTGGTGCTGTTATTGAAGAACCAAATTCCGAGGAGGCTATGTTACAGCGTGCACTAGCTCTATCAACAGAAACGGTTACTACTTTATATATAATATAATAATCACAGATTTTTAAATCAACTTTTTTGCTTAAACAGCCTGAAGACAACTTGCCCGACTTTGCTAATATGACTGAAGAGGAACAGATAGCATTTGCAATGCAAATGTCTATGCAAGATGCGGGTTTGTTATAGAAAGTTATATTTGAAAATATATAAACAACTAATTTAACTTGAAATTTTTAATAGCTGACGAAACTGTAACACAACAAGCCAAGCGTCCTAAAACGGAAGAGAACCAACCAATGGATGTGGATGAGGATTACTCTGAAGTAATAGGGGACCCGGCATTTTTGCAGGTACTTTGGTTTGTCATAAAAAAATATTTTGACCACCATTTAAATATATTGTTCTTTACAGAGTGTACTCGAAAATTTGCCCGGCGTTGACCCTCAATCCGAAGCCGTACGGGATGCGGTAGGTTCACTTAGTAAAGAAAAAGAGAAAGAAAAGGATAAGAAGAACGATGACGGAGATCAACCTCAGTAAATATGAATCTAATTGTCAAGATGTTCGACTTCAGCCCGCTTCAGTACTAAACTATTAAAATTTATAAATACATTTATGCTGGCGTTTCCAAATAATAATTTTTTAATAAACCTGCATATTAATTGTCTAAAAATAAGTGTTTTATTTACCTATAAACAAGAAAATTTGCTCGAAGATTGATGTGATGCGAGATAAAATTTAAATTATGTATATATGTTGAGGTGTTCCACTGGCAACTACTTTTTCGTCATACAAGGATAAAACAATTAAAAAAACAGTAGCGTAAATTTATAATGGTTTATTTATAATTCAGATATTCACTTTAGAACTTCACGAAATTTCTACGTTTTATTACTGAAAGCCATTAATCTAATTTAAAGTTGAATTTAGTTTCCACCTTTGTATTCCTTCAAGTGAAGTAACACCCAGGCTGGCACAACCAACATAGATACGCACATTCCACCGCCCAATATTACTCTTTCCTAAAATATAAGAGAAAAATATTGTTAAATAATACTTCATTAGGAAATCGATAGGGATAGTTTACGTAATCTATCACAATGACATCGCTAGGAATCAGAATCACGCTGTCTTTGTACTTACCGCTGTGGAAATTTTGTTGACCGGTGGTCCTGCAATAACAGATTGGCAACGATGTTGCAATCCTTTACGGATGGCTGGTACCAAGAGACGAGCAGCGCTGTTTCGGAACATATTCGTTTTTTATTCACTCGAGATTTGGTTATTGATGAATTGCTGGCCGAAATAGAAATCAGTTTTCTGTCATACGAAGCTCAATAATTTTTTGACAACTGTTCTTTCAGCAATTCAGCGGCACACATGGCGACACCTGCAGTATCAGTATAATAATTGAAAATAAAGTTAAAATTAAAGTTAAATTAAATAAACGTAGTAAGGATGTTTTAAAAATTGAAGATTAAACTTGCAAGTTATTGTTTTTACATTAAACAATACTACTAGAACATTATATATTTTATGCAATTTCTTTGTTTATTTTTTTTTTTCAGTTGGAAAATATAATTTACAAAGCAGAGCATCGGTTGAACACACCGCGCAGAAAATTTACCACTTCTATCAGCCGGCATACGGAGAATTGTGTTTGTGATTGTATTTATTGAAAAAATTAGAAATTAAAAATATGACTGCTTTTGAAGGTAACAAATGAATAAAAAATGTTTTGAGGGTAAATTTCAAAAACAATTATTTATTTTTGTGCAGAGTTTGGTGTTTTGCCAGAAATAGCCAAGGCAATTGACGACATGGAATGGACTCTACCCACGGACGTTCAAGCCGAAGCAATACCACTTATTCTTGGTGGTGGTGATGTTCTGATGGCCGCAGAAACTGGTTCAGGTAAAACCGGTGCTTTCTGCTTACCAATTTTACAAATAGTGTGGGAAACATTACGAGATCTTGAAGAGGGTAAAGTGAGTAAGTCTGCGGGAGCAGGAGGAAGTATTGCCCCGTGGACGATGTCATTCTTTGATCGTGGTTCAGCACTTGCTGTGACACCAGATGGCCTGCGTTGTCAATCTCGAGAATTTAAAGAATGGCACGGTTGCCGAGCAACAACCGGTGTTCACGGAAAAGGTCAATTTTATTTTGAAGCGACCGTTACGGACGAAGGTCTTTGTCGAGTTGGTTGGTCTACACAACAAGCGAATTTAGATCTTGGCACTTGTCGTAATGGTTACGGATTTGGTGGTACAGGAAAAAAGTCCAATAATCGTCAATTTGACGACTATGGCGAAGCATTTGGGAAAAACGATGTTATTGGCTGTTTCCTCGATCTACAACGTTTTGAAATATCTTTTGCTAAGAATGGAAAAAATCTTGGGATAGCCTTTCGAATACCAGAAAATCAGCGCAAAGAAACTTTTTATCCATCAGTAGTATTAAAAAATGCTGAAATGTTGTTTAATTTTGGGAAGACAGAATTCAAAAATCCTCCAAAAGATGGCTTCATTGCTGTTGCTTTAGCTGGACCAGAACGTTCCAAATCGAATCCGCTCGCAAGTCCCGCAACTAACGCCGCGGCGAGTAAACCTGCTCCAAACGCACCCCAGGCAATTATTATTGAACCAAGTCGTGAGTTGGCAGAGCAAACCTATAATCAAATCGAAAAGTTTCGAGTGCATTTAAGTAACCCAGATGTTCGTTCCCTCTTACTTATTGGAGGTGTTAAACTAGAGCAACAGAAAAGTGCTCTTCAACAAGGTGTACATATTGTTGTTGGTACACCTGGTCGGCTCGAAGAAATGATTAGTAGTGGATTTGTGCAGTTAACTCATTGCAGGTTAGCGATAAATATTAATTTTTTTTTAATAATAATAATGATTGAACATGATATATTTATGTATTTTGAATATTTTTAGATTTTTTGTATTGGACGAAGCTGACGCTCTACTTAAACAAGGCTACACTGATTTAATTGATCGTCTACATAAGCAAATTCCAAAAATGACCTCAGATGGTCGTCGTTTACAGATGGTAGTTTGCTCCGCAACACTACATGCGTTTGAGGTGAAAAAGATGGCTGATCGTTTAATGCACTTTCCCACTTGGGTAGATCTTAAGGGTGAAGATGCAGTTCCCGAAACAGTACATCATGTAGTTTGTATGGTAGATCCACAAAAGGATACATCCTGGAGTAATCTCCGACAACACATACGAACCGATGGCGTACACAGTCGTGATAATATAAGTCCCCAAAATCATACACCCGAAACATTTTCGGAGGCCGTTAAACGTCTAAAAGGCGAATATTGCATTGCGGCAATTGAGCAGCATAAAATGGATAGAGCAATAATATTTTGTCGCACCAAATTGGATTGCGACAATTTGGAAAATTATTTCAAATCCCGTGGTGGACAACGATATTCATGCGTTTGCCTGCATGGTGATCGCAGACCACAAGAACGCAAGCAGAATTTGGAAACGTTTAAACGTGAGCAAGTGAAATTTCTCATTTGTACTGATGTGGCGGCAAGGGGATTAGATATAACTGGTCTACCTTTCAGTAAGGACGTTACATGTAAAATGTTAGAATTTTTAAATAATAAATGTATTTTTTTTAGTGATTAACGTTACTTTGCCGGATGAGAAGTCAAATTATGTACACCGTATTGGCCGTGTTGGACGTGCAGAGCGTATGGGCTTGGCTATTAGTTTGGTGGCCACAGTGCCAGAAAAAGTAAAACATTTTAGTATTTTTCTGTTTATATTTTATTACTTTCGCTTTATAGGTTTGGTACCATGGTGAATGGTGTGCAACAAGAGGCCGAAATTGCCAAAATACAAATTTGACTGACGTGCGTGGTTGTTGTATTTGGTATAATGAAATGAATGTAAGTACATTTTATACAAGTGAACGCTAATCAAATACAAATGCATTTTCCATTTTATTCTGAAGTTATTGGCTGATATAGAGGATCACCTCAACATTACCATTCAACAAGTTGATAAGTCTTTGGATGTACCAATAAATGATTTCGATGGAAAAGTTGTGTATGGCCAGAAAAATATAAATACCGGAACTGGTTATAAAGATCATGTGCAACAGTTAGGACCAGTTGTGCAAAAACTTACTGATCTTGAACTAAAGGCACAATCTTTATTCTTAAAACGTTTAAAATTTTAAGTATACATTTATTATGCGCATTTGCAATAATGCACACATACAATAATATTAATAACATTATGCATACATACAATAATATTACAAATTAATTTCTTAACTGAAAGCTTGGAAGCAATGTGGACGTTATCATTACAGCAAGACATCATACATACACACATACTCTTATGAAATGCATAGATAATAAAATTTAAAAAAAAAACTAATTTATAATTCTTCAGTTAATTTTTTCTTTATCTTTTTGGATTTTTACTCTATTGTTAAAACTAATTTCTCACACCCACTTCTGAACAATCAGTTGCAATCATCTTCGTCTTCAACGCCTTCTTCATCTTCTTCATTGAATTGTGTTCGCATTTGTTGTACAGATAGTAATTGTTTGCAAAGTTGGTTGCCAAATGATTCTACATATCTTGGACTGATTTTATCTAATAAAGCATATGGCGTTTCATATATCATTTCTTCTTCGTCTTCATTTATTTCTTCTTTATCAGCATCTATTGTGTCAAAAGCGTTGCCTACCACACGGAAACCAATACTTGATACTTGTACAGAGAAGTCTTGACCTTCGATGGTGCGAACATTCAGGTACACTTTGCTTTCATTGTTGGGCAATTGTCGGGATATATCTATTGATGCTACATGCGGGCTGACATCTTTTATAATAGCAATCGCCTCCTCCTCCCAATTGATAATTTCATCGTCGTCATTTGGAACTTCAGATGTGGTGGTAGCGTTCGTATAAGATGTTTTACTCATTTTAATTTTAGAGCGTATATACAAAATTAATAAACTAATTGAGTGCGAGCTCAAAGCAATCTTCGTTTAAGGTGTAGTCAATCACTATGAAAAATTCTATATTCACAAATTAATAGTTGTTAACTAATAAGCATCCTTGTTAGTTTTAACATCCGTCAAATAATTTAGCGTTTTTAATTAATTTCTACTTTATGAATATTCTTTTGAATAAAAGAATGAAAAAATCTCCAGTCGCACATCGCTATCTGACGTATGAAATCAGCTGGTTTCAAAGTTACAGGTGTTGAGTAAGGGTCTGGTAAGGGTGCGGCGACCTTCTAAAATTTATATTTTACAGTTTGAACAGCAATGTAATAGAGGATATTTTTTGCATAAAGTTTGAATCTGTCAGTCATTTTATTATAATCACATATATAACAACTATAATTACTCCTACCAAACAGGTGCCACATTATATTTTCTTGGGAATAAATATAAGCAAAAATTACTAACTTCAAAATCATGTTCCAGACAACAGAATTTGGTATACTATTTGTACATGTTCTATCAGTGCATAACTATGGCCAAAATAGCAGGAGCTATAGATGAACTCTTAAAAGAAGCAAATGAATTATGTATTGGTACGGAAGTGGTGGAATTAGACCAAACACCAGATCCATTGACATTTGCTCGTGATTTCTATGCAAAATGCCAACCCGTGGTAATACGTGGTGCAATAAAACATTGGCCTGCGGTGCATAAATGGAAACCAGCATATCTCGAGCAAATGTTGGGCAAGAAAATGTTAGATGTGACTACAACGCCTAATGGATATGCCGATGGTTTGGCGAAACAAGGTGATATCGAGTATTTCGTATTGCCTATGGAAGAAAAGATGCGTATAAGTGAATTCTTACAGAGACTAGACGATCCTACTGGTGCTATACACTATATACAAAAGCAAAATTCAAATTTTACCACCGACTTTCCAGAGTTAGCGGGCGATATTGATGTAAGCGATTTACGTTTTGCAGAACATTGTCTAAATACACCACCTCTGGTAAATTTCTGGATGGGTGATGGACACGCCGTTACATCGATGCACAAAGATCCTTTTGACAATTTATATTGTGTTATATCGGGTCATAAGGACTTCATATTACTCCCACCGCATCAAGTCGTGAATATACCGCGTCAAGTTTATCCTGTTGGAAAGTACCAACGGAGTGAGACTGGTCAGTTTTATATTGAGCCAGTGATGAATGAAAATTCGAACAAACTAGATACCATGCGCACAGAATGGATAAGTGTTGATCCCTTAGCACCAGATTTCAATAAATATCCACAATACTCGCGTGCACAAACACTACGAGTGCGTGTTAATGCTGGTGATATATTATTTTTGCCAAACTTTTGGTTTCACCATGTACAGCAAAGCCACAAGTGTATAGCAGTGAATTTTTGGTATGACATGGAGTACGACAGTCGATATTGTTTCTTTCGTATGTTGGAGAAGCTGGTGGAAGCGGTGAAGACATAATTATAGCCTAATTTACTTAACTTCATTTTTATTTTTATAGTTACAAATTTTATATTGGTATGTATTTACCGCGTTTTTTCAATAAAAATCATTTTATCTCATTAAATATTCCTTTCATTCTACGCATGTGTTGGAACGTATATGTAAAAATTCAATGGAAAATTTAACACGCGTGTACAACTAATTTTTCCTAAAGTTTCTATTTCCTATTTATAGAAGTGCAAGGTGTTTCACAGATCTTCACATCTCACAAACAGACTTCTTATGACAGGAATCAAACTAACGAGTTTTAACTAAACAGGCGAGTGCTCTAACCAATGAGACAACTTTGTCTATTTAATTTCATTATTAACCAACAATTATTAAGTTTCCATTAATATATTTTTGAATCTACTTTTCTATTCTAACATGTGACAGAGTTTAGTTTTTGTGACACTTATAAGAAAAATAAAATTTAAATAATTTACTCTGATGCCGCATCTGAATATTGTAGTTATATTATTTCAATATAATACATGTATATATTCAATAAGAAAACCACGGAAGCACGAATTTTTTCCCCGTATTCGTTAAATGTAAGTTTAATTTTGTATTATTGCATTCCTTCATGGATTTTGTGTGAAATTACAGTCTTCAAAATTATCTCACCTTGCAAACACTGACATGCTCGATCCGTATAATAAGGTATTTACAGAGCCACTTCCATTTTTAGGTAAAAAAATATTCAAACTTCATTCAAAAGAAGGTAATCGTAATTACAAAAATAATAGCAAATACAGTAATTTAGATTTATCTTTTTTTTTGTTGTTTAAGTTACTTAAAACGTAATACAAACAAATATTTATTGTAATTACTAAAAAAAAAATTAAGATCTGCTGACGTTGTAGCCCTCCCTTTTCTTCGATTTCATTATCTCTCAATTTGTATATCGGAATATTACAGTGGCGCAGCAGAAGGGAAGGAAATGCATTTGCACAAAAGTAAGAATGTTCCGTTGCATTTTTTGTTATTTGCTTTTGTAAACTATTTATTAACGTGGTGGTAATGTAAATGTTATCCTGTTGCTGCTGATTGCTGCTGTTTAGTTTAGTTTAAATTTAATTTAATGTAAAATTTACAATTCATCCTTCTGATGCTCATCAGGTTTCTCCTCAACCTCTTCTTCTGATTCACCGTTCTGAAAATAAAAATAGTTTGTATTGTTTAGTTTCTTGTTTAAAACAATCATAGAAATAAAAACATTAGTTGTCATGAAAATTTACCTGTGAAACATCACCACCGGCTTCCATGAATTTCACGAATTCATCCAAAGTTCTGTCTAAATTATAATCCACTACTTTGTTATCACCCTTGCGGTAAAGTTTGATGGTGGGGAATGACGATATTTTAGTGTGCTCCAACTCGTTGGCAGTAGCATCGATTTTGGCAATGACAATACTTTCATTGTCCTTGAATTTCTCACCCAATTGGTCGTAGATAGGAGCCAATTGTTTGCAGTGACCACACCACGGTGCATAGAATTCAACGAGCACATCCTTGGTGGTATCCAATGCAACATCGTCAAAGTTTTTGGCGACCAGCACTTTAACGGGGTTCTTGTCCCAATCTTCGGGCACATCTTGGGTCAACAGGTGCTGTTTCAATTTGCCATCCATGAATTTTTGCAAGAACTCTTTGATGGTGTCGGCAGATAAATCATTGCTTTCAGGCTTGTATTTAGCCATATCCTCTTCCAAGCGAATTAAACGTATAGTTGGTACCTCTTCTTTGGACATGCCGAAGAATTCAAAGATACGTTGATGTTCCTCCTCATCGGATGAGATAGTGACGAATAAAATGTCTTCGCGGTATTGCTTAGCAATATCTTTCAATGGTTCAACATGCTTTTCAATGTGACCAGCTTCCTTTGAAACGAAGAACAGCAAATGCGATTTGATCGAACCACCGAAAATCTTGGATGCCGATTCGTGATTGAATTCAACAATCAATGGCAAAGATTGGACTTGTACAAATTTTTTCAGATTCTCAACTGTGGTTTCACCTTCATATACGGATTTCTTTTCATCGAAAGGCTTGAAGAGCACAACTGAACCATCCTTTGCCTCGTAGTGAGATAAAACATCAGCATCACTGCTAACACCGAACACGAATGTGTCTAAAGCATTGGCAACCGAAACGAAAGCCTTGGCTTCATCGGATTCTTGATTTTTGAAGAAACCGATAACAGCGATCTAAAGAAATGAAAGTGTAAAATAAAAAATTAAATTAAATTCATGATTGTGATGTATACGTACATACATACATATGTATATCATTATAGTTGAATATGCAAAACTAACTAGACGACTTACTTCATTATCCTTCAATAATTTTTCAGCTTCTTCGACAGACTTCAATTCCTTGGCTGGTGGACCAGTCTTCTTGTTGACCCATGAAATGATATCAGCTGATTGACGGCCACCGCTGTATTCGACGGGAACACCGTTACGGAAGAACTTCAATGTAGGATAACCGCGCACCTGGTGTTTCTCAGCAAGTGAGCTTTCTATGGTAGCATCGACTTTACCCAATTTAATTGGCGATTCTTGTGCGGCTAGAGCCTGAGCGGCCTTAGCGTATTCAGGAGCAAGTGCTTTACAGTGTCCGCACCATGGGGCGTCTATATTAAAGAAATAAAGCAATAATTAATAATTTTTATAAAGTTCACAAAATTTGCTAGTCACAGATTTTAATATATGAATAATTACTAAATATTTATGAATTTGTCGATTGCGCAAAAAATTATTTACGGTAAATTGGGATTCTAGTGTAATGATTTCAATCGCTTGAAGTCTAGTAATAACAGCCTTATCTTATGTATATTTTTACCTACTGCAATAATTTCGTTTCTATCCTCCTTGGTCTATTAATAGCAATTCTTTCGAAAATAAGTGAGATATGAATATGAATTAAGATGACATCAGTGTACACAGAGGAAAACATATTGATAATGGGGTTACAATAACAAAATGTTATATAAATATAAAAAACATTAAGACCATGCACACATTCGTAGATATCCTGAAATAAGGACAAAAAGACGTCATGTGTTGGAGGGAGTTAACTTTATAGCGTAGGCTAATTATTTTCCGCGTGGGCGATGGTTTCACATTTGTGGTTGAATAAACAAGAATTTCTTTTATCGACAGTATGCCCAACGATAATAAGGCATTTATTACTAGGTGATGGGGAAGTTATGAAATATCTTAACAGCTTGTTTAAATTGAATTAAATTTTGTGACAAGCAAGAAAACCCTTGGGCGAGCTACTTTATACTTCATTTATAGTTTAAAAAATTCAGTATTTAATTTTTATTTTATTTATACATATATTTATTATACAAAGTAGTTATATGTAACCTTATATAAAATCGTTTACTGAGACTAACAAAAGAAACTGTGATTGCTTGTAACATTTTTCGCTGTCTCAGTGAATTAAAGTTGAGGTCAATAAACTTCAAAAATAATATGCGTGAGCTAAGTTAAATAACACTAGAAAAAGTTAACTGAAAAAAGTTGCTTAGGCCCAACTCAAGCAAGCAGAGAAAAAATGAGTATGAATAGTAAATGAGGAAAAAATCACACGCACTGAGTTTGGCTGGTTAAGCAAACGTCAGTCAAAGAGGCACAGAAAAATAGTTTAAGCTCTCTTTTAAGGCTTTTTTTTTAGCGGCTTAAAGAATAAAAAAAAGAAAAAGCCAGTTTTCAATAGAAATTATTTGCAGACATGAGCAAGAAGAAGTTAACCTAATTTCAATTGGAATTGCCGTAATACTAGTCATTTGACAGCTGCAGTTCTCATTTGAGTGGTTAAGGGCAGTAATATGTAGATACGCATACATATAACTGTTAAGAGGAATTATTGAACCATATTTGACAATGAATTACTATCAAATAAATACCTGTGATTCTTGCTAAGTAGATACAAAGTATATCACAGAATTAATATCCGCCACTTATCGTTGTCTGCCAACTTAATTTGCACCATGTATAGTAATAAAATTTTTTGAAACTATCATAATTAAGTCTATTCATTTAGATATGTATGTAGGTATACCTGACTTATATGACGTGTATTTAGCCCATGCACATTCGTATGTTTATATGTATGTGACTACTGTTTCTAAATTTGAGGTCACAATGTCAGAATTTCACTGATAATTTTGAGTTAGTAATTAAAATTAATTCTAAGCATGGATTCTGCAATACGAGTATGTTAAAATTATCAAATGAATGAATTTTTCCATACACATCAACCAGATAATTTGTATTAGCTGGATGATTTCCAATTCTACGTACACTTTCCAAATCGTCAATTAGAAATATTTAGATGGTGGCTTCCATACCAGATATGAACATACATACATATATGTATAATTTTGTGCACAAAAATAATACATATGTAAGTACCGTGATAATGCCATATGGGCATGTGAATGAAGGAAAATAAAGAATGAATAAGATAAGCAGTATTAGAAATATGATTTATATTAGCTACGAAAAAAATTAGAAAATCAAGGAATTAAAACACGATTTCACATAGCGTCGTAATTGACAATAAATACACGTCACTTGCAGTCTGTGCAGGGTTAATTCTTTTCTATGAAATACCTGTTGACGCCTTATTTAATGCAGATTAATAAGTAATTTAATATTTAGATTAAACAAGCGTTCGCTTCATAAGATTTAAAAACGATTTCATAAAAATGGAGTGGTTTTTTTTTAATACTATTTTTTAATAAGTAGCCAAACAAGAAATGATACATATACGACTACTTATACCAGCAAAAAATATGAGTATGCGTGAAAAAAAAAACAAAGAATATCAGCAAAGTGTCAAGCTGTGATTGGTTGCTCGTATAAGATACATATGAATTTTGCAATAAAATACGCTCCCGTAAACTTTAATCTAAAAGACAGCGGCATTTTATTCTTTAGTCAGTTTTAAATTCTCCAATTGGATTATTTTAATTACTTTCAAATAAATAATTGTTGCATATAAATAATTATGAAAATATTAATAGCTATTAATTTAAAAATTCATACTTTAAACAGCACCACAAATTAATATGATGATATGACGTTGGAGTAAACGTTTTACAACACAGCTGTAATTAAAAGAGTATAAGAACCGGAAACAGCAGCAAAGAAAATAACTATTATTATTTTTATTTAAACTATGTTTGTCAATAAACATTAAAGTTTACGCTGAGTTGTTATTTCCAAACATACTCCTAATCATCTAATTATTGGAGACGCTAAGAAGCATCATTAAGGCGGTTAATAAAGTGACACGTCACAAGAAATTATTCGTATAACAGAATTCATTTCCCCATAATCATAGCTCATATGTATGTATTCATTTACTTTCAGTCTGGAGAACTAGCAACATGCCAGCGGATATGAAATCTCCGGTAAGCCGGTAGAAAGCGTGAAAGAGAAGACGCGACAAAGAGATGTGTATGCCCCAACGAACACAACTGTATAGACGATGAAGAATGTATAAACGAATAAAACGGCAAAGAAAAAAGTAAAATCCATGAAAGCAGAAACCGTTCCTGAGATAAAGCGGCCAATTGGAAAAACTAGACACGCATACACTTCCAACCCACGAAAAGTTTATATAAATCTTGTTGCACCTGTTTTTTTCTTTTTGCACACAGCAATGAAGAAATTATATTTCCGTTGGATGCACTTTGTATAGCGTTTGTGCCCTAACCAATCCACAGCCGCTTATATTTGAAATTAATTCGGAGACAAATTGAATGAAAATTACACATACACACAGTAAAATATCCAATGAGTTCACATAAAAAAAATCATACAGATAATTCTAACTTAATACTTACAGAATTCCACCAACACAAATTCGTTGTCACTTATGACTCCATCAAAATTATCTGTGGTTAGCACAAGAACTCCATCTTCAACGTTCACTTCTGCATCGGCAAAAACACCCGTTGCAACGGCAGCTACTAGTAGCAGCGAACAAATTACGAATTTCATGTTTTTGTGTTTTTGTGATCTCTGCTCGCTTTTAATTGGAAATATTTTACGTTCCCGTCTGAATTGAAACTAATTCCCTAAAAAAAAACCAGACACTTCGTTTCGAGTGTTAAATGTTAAATGAAATGAACGAGCAAATTTTCACTAAAAGCAAATGTTGATGACGATTACGCCGATGGGAAGAAAAACGGAGACTTCGTCGCACAGTGTTTCCGTATCTGAGTAGCAGCAGAGTTGCCAAGAATCTGAATGAACGATTTATTATTGCAACATCTATTATATCTACTGTACGATATATATACGGAGAAGTTTCCATTTAAGGTAATAGTCAGCGTTTCTTTGTTTAAAAATTAAAAGAATTCATCATTGTTTATTGAAGGTTTGAATAAGTATACGTATAAAACTTAAAAAACTTGAATCCATAAAATTTATTTGCACAGATTTTATTACAACTCTGCATATGTCCGGTATGTACACGTTTCTTCTTTTGGTTGGCCAGCATTACAGTGTTGGTAAATATTACGTAGCATAGAGTAAACAATAAATGTAAATTTATTAGCATTTATGAAAGCGGATATAGAATCACGGAAGCGGAAACGTTTTTTTCATTAATAGATAAGTTAACTGTAATTTTCGTTAACAAGCATGTGAAAGTTAATTGAAAAATAAAGAAAAGTATTGATATACACTTTGAATTGCATAGCATTGTATTCGCGAATTGTTTATATTTATTTTGTCAATCAGGAGTCGATAACCCGTGTCATACTTATTTTATAAGGGCATTGTACTAAACGATAATAAAAAGTATTTCTTGTTTGCACAGCTTGACGCAAATGCATGAATTCATTATGCAATTGTATGTATTATACTATAAAATATATGTGCACATGTACTTACATATATACAATGTATGCAAATGTGTTTCCATCAGCAGCACATATTTTTATATTTTATAATATTTATTAAGCGAAATCCGGTTATTTCGTTTTTATAAATACTAAAATAGCGACAGACCATTTTGACAAAATCTCATATCTGGAGGTAGTCTTATTTTTGTAGATACTCAATATTTTCTGCGGAGGTTAAATAAATTGAAATTCATATTTGGACAAGCATATTTTAAAATTTCATCCATTAAGAATTGAAAATATATATATCTTAAGCTCTAATCAAAAATCTGTGGAATCAAAAATGCTTCTATTCCAAACTCACCTTGGTTTATTTGCAATTTTTTTTTAATAAAGTGAATACATATATATGTTGTTTAAGAACTTTTATTGTTTAATTCATATTTTATATATTCGATTACTGACTCTGCTTAGATGCCATTCATATTGATAACTCGCGTCCAAGGCAAATTTCACTTCCACACACCTCTCATGATGTATGTATACGCATTTGCTTACCATCATACACTTCCCTCAATCATTAACCAAACGCATATTTCGATTTTGTTTATCATTATAATACATATGTATATACGCTATTTACTGTGCGCTCTTTAAACTTATGCTTATTATCATGCTTATATTTTATTAATTTCGAACAATACACTCCGCGAGTGTGTCTCTGTCATTACAATATTTTGGGCATATTTTTCATTGTTTGTAACTAGTTGCTTGCTTTTATTCTTATTTTTTCTTGTAATTATCGTATCACAGAACCAAATGACAGGTCTTTTTCAAACTATAGAAAATATACAATCGTAGTATGTATGTGTGTATGCATTTCATATATGTATAATTTTTCAACGCTACCTTACTTAAAGCTATGCTTACAAATTTGAATTTGTTATAAGAGATAAAGGTAGTAGTTAATTTTACACTGTATAGTGCTTTAATTTCCGTTTATCTTTTTAGATAAATTTGGCAAATATCAATTAGATGAAGTTATGTATTTTTCGCGTATTTCAAAAATACACATTGTCATTACATTTATATGCTGTTAAATACCTACATAGATATTGCAATTGTTAAAAAAGTGTGTAGGAGTATGTAAGTCGCTTATTTTTTTATGTGATTTAAATTAAACTTATACGTATTATTACTTCTGTATAAGTAATATTTTTCACAAACTCTTTACTTTACTTAAGCTTATATACATACATATATGTATATATTTATTCGATTTTATTTTGAAGAAATTTATAAATTTAATATGTATACAACATGTGTTTTCTTATATGTATATATTATATTATGTAGAAGTTTGGTTTCAATAAAAAAGTGTGTATAAAAATATTGAGCGTACATACATACATTAGATATTAGAGAGTTTGTAGATAGAGAGACAGATAGAGAGAGTGAATGAGTTAAAACTAATTTCGTACTTAAATTAAATTATGGATGTTAAATATCAATAAAAAGCGTAGTAAATCCAAACAAGTCTAATCATTCTATTCGAAGTCGCACAATTAAATTTCTTAACAATGGAAGCTACATACATATGACATTCCTACATGCATATGCACTTAAAGGGTCTACCGCTTACCCGTCTAACACCTTTTTATTGTTGTATTACCTTTTTTTGTTCACGCAGGGTCTAATGATAATGAATAATTGGCAGATATCATTAACGTCATGTAGATTGCATTTCGCATTTTCATATTTTCCATCGGAAGTTATTTTTTATTACATGATAATCATACACGTATATCGATAAGAATCGATAGTGTATTAATAACGTAATGTGTACACCCTTCAAAGCCAACTAATTCCCTGCTAAATTTGGTTTGAGTATAATTTGAAACTTTGCCGTATTAAAGGGACAAGGGAAGAATTGAAATATAATTCCGTAAGTTGTCCTAAACCAAACATTTCGGAGCTGCAATAAAATTCTGTTAAGACAATAATTTTATTTTTGATAGCCTAAAACCCTTGCAGAAAGACGTAATATTAAATGTAATTACTTAATTATGTTTATAAAATAGATGGTATTTGAGTATGATACTACATGTGCACCTCTCTACCACATTCTCGTAATTTTCTGTGTAATTATCACCAAAGATTTAATAAGTTTAGATAACTATTTTATCGTAGGACGGCGGCGGTGATTCATCATCGATCGGGGTATCTTTTGCTTTTCCACTGTGTTCGCTCTCCGGAAAATAGATTGCTATATGATATGGTGGTGGGCCAGCACTAGCTGAATCTTCAATTAACTGTAGTTGGCCACATAATGGTGCGCCATGTATATCATCCGAACCAACCAAGTCGCCACCACCACCGCCACCACTGTCGGCGCTTATTATATCGCGTCTACCGTACGGTGCTCGTGAGCAATGGATACCTCCCTCGACATCAGTATGATGTTGGGCGCTCAACACAGAATTGCGCCCACTTGGTAGTAGACCTTTTGGGACGCGACACAGAGAAACTGTGCAGGCAGCCAAAAAGAATGTAGCTGAGAAAGCACAAAAGATCAATACCTCCAACCCGGTGCCTTGATGATCGAAATAAAATTTTGCACCTGCCACAAATACCGAAGCTAGCACCAGTGAAGCACACATGCCACACTTGAGATGTGACGGTAGCAACTGAGCGTCACCACCGCCCGTATCCACTGTCATATTGCTGGTGCGCATATTTACGGCGGAGTTGTAGCGATGCGCTGTATTAGCCACGGCGTAACTTGCCGTGTTTGTGGTATTAGTAGAAATGGGTGCTGATCCGCCCATTACGGACTCGTTCGATTGTGCAGATGCGGAGTGACTGAAAAATATTCCGTCAATTAAGCAGTAACCAAACAAGTGCGTTTAATGATTATAAGTACCTGTAACCGTGTTGTTGTCGATATGACATTTGGTCGATGTGTTGTGAGGGCAGAGCGCTCGTGGCGCCAACAATTGTCCTTGTACCACTGCTGTTACCACTGCGATAAGCGTGCGCTGCGGGGTTTGCGTTCACATGCGTTGGACCATTGCAATTCCGGCCGGCGTATTGATAGTGCCGCACAGACATATTACCGAATTGAGGATGATGATAGCTGCGCATATCGTAGCATTGATTGGCATGTTGTTGTTGATAGAGCGGCGCATTGGTTGAGCCCATACTATTTTGCAGCATTGCAGCGCCGCGTTGATTGAAATTATGTGTTGCAGGCGTTGTGCCGCGTACTTCGGCCCCTACAGCCGTGGACGTAGAAGTGTTGGCATTGTTGTTGTTCATGACATTGCTATTGCCAAGCGCATAATGATGGCCCGGCACCGAGCCAGTGCCCTGATGATGAGCCTGCTGCTGACAAGCATATTGGTGGGGATTGTTGTTGAGCGTCACCGAGGTGGTGGTTGATTGTATTGTAGCGCCGGAGGCGGCAGTTGCATTGGCGGTGATGTTGGCGGTGTTGATGTTTCCTGTATAATTGCTATTGTTGCTGCTGTGCGCTTGGGATTGCTGGTAATTGTTGCTGCCGCCATTGAAGTTATTGTTGTTATTGGTGAGCTGTGGCTGCAGCTGTTGGTGTTGCTGTTGATGCGGAAGCTGCTGATGTTGTTGGTGGTAGTATTGATGACTACGGCTGCTACTGCTGCTGGGCCCATTACTGTGATGACAGTCTGGTAATGCATTGCTCCTGCTGGCCGCTTTACTGCCACTACCGCCACCTAAACGACGTGGTGGATGTCCGAAACTAAGACCCACTCCAGAACCGCCGGCACCTGAAAGCGAGGCGGCAACACGAGATCTCCCGAACCCGCACTGCTGTGAGCGTTTGTCTATCCAGAAATGCATTTCAGCAACTCAATTTTCCGGATACAAACCCTGAGAATAACAAAGGTTAATAATATTTTAATATGGATATATATAAAAATAATAATATATTTAACAATTAAAGAGGGATGATGTGAATAGCATCAGCGTGCGAGCAGTTGCAGGCTCTTAAAAGTCACAAAGAAGTCAAGAAAAAGGTAGTGTGCGTATCCTTTTTAACAACACTTGGCGCATGGTGTTTGAATGGTCGTATGGTAGTGGTTGGACCTTAAAGTTGTGCGCCCGACAGCGCAAATGTTGACGTGTAATTTAAGAATCTACTTCTTCACTAGCTCTCTTTAATAGAAAGTGGGCTTAAATAGGACTGATGGTTGGCACCAGAAATTCGACATCAAGAGAATTAATTGAAGTTATTCAGAGGAAGGTGGAGAATTTACTCTGCAAGACAAAGTGTCATTTAGTATTGTAGGCTTAGTAGGCTTAAGTTCCTAACTTCCTCTTCTGGTTGTCTTTGACGGTCTGTCCTTTTAAGAAGGTTGATGTTTTAAAGACTAAAAAAAATGAGCATACACATCAACTATACTACCGCCATCGGTTGAGAAGTTTTAAAATTCAGCAAAGCACAAAGGAATCTTAAATCAAATCGTGATTTGGTTACAACTACAATTGTCATACAGAAGAGCAATGCACAGCATTCAACTTGACTAGAAAAGTTTTCTAACAGCCAGAATCCTTTGTCTACAATAGTATTAAGTGCGGCCAATATGCCGACGACGACCGTACACAAAGGGAAAGTTCAACACGAAGTAGAGAGGAAGTCATTAACTGGAAACTCAACTCCCGCACTAATGCCCACCATAGACAGTAGATTCATTCTTAAAGGTTATCGTACGCTTAAATAAAAAAGCACAACAAAAAAAAAACCAAATGTCAATTGTTAGCTCAAAGCTAACACAAACGCGTACATCCGCCCAACACCAGACCAACTGTCAACTGTCAACCGCAACACAAGGTCAACGAGCAGCTCAGCAGTAAGTGCTCCTTTGGCTCAATATGATTAGGTGTTCTGTTCTGTCGGTTAATGGCTGTTGGCATTAAAAGCTGCAAAATCAAAATTACAGGAATTACGGATTTTTCGTGAGAGTTTAAACCACAGAATATATACCAACACTCTTACTTATGTATTCGACTGATGCTGTCGCTGCTCCCATACCTACACATTGCGTCTTCATCGAATAAATCTCAATGCACTCACGCATTTTCAGCTAGGTGTGCCTTCATCTGTATTCAAAGTTTATGCGTTTACTTTTGGGCGCACAAAGGAAGCTTTCCGCAATGTGGCAACAACAAAGGAAAGCGCAAAGGTATTGAACCTTATGTTCAATGAACCAATGCGCTGCGACCACACTTGGTGGTTTAAGCACCAAAAGTATTCTTATGCGTAATGTGGAAAAACAAATTCAATATATATAAATGTGTATGTATGTATCTGATTTTAAGGATTAACTGCAAGGCGTTCATTCAACCAAACAAATACACGAGCGCAATATAAAGGTAAAACGAAATTTATTGATAATTGCTAGTCAATATAGAAGTCTATGAGGATTAAGAGCTGTATGAGTGATGTGCAATGCAATATGTTGTTGTTGCTAAGTTTGCGGTTTTATATATATATGTCATTAGCCTTAAGTTCACACGGGTGTCTGCGTCTGTGTCTGTTGTTTTCATGAATTGTGATTGTTCCAGCATTTTGTTGGTTCAGGTTTAAGTTTGGACAGCTGTTGTGTTGACAATAATTGTCAAATTATGCAATAATAAACAATTAAAGAGATTAACATTTGAGAATTGCAAATATTTACTTTCAGTTTGAATAGGCAACAGCTGGAGTCTATTTAAAGATTACATTTTAATACGTGTGAAGTATGAAAATCTGCATAAAAGTGGGTTGAATTGAAGATTGCAAACGTCATACGCATGGAGTAATGAAAATTTCCTGACGTGCAAGTTCATTTGAAAACTACAATTAATGAAATGAGAACCTCCATCCAGGCATGTTCTACATACTGGATTGTTTAAATAGTAAATGATGAAATAAAATGAGAAAATCGTCGCATTGTGATGGACGTTGAAACAATGCGCTTTAGGAGATATACGGCGACATTGATATACACGTATGTAGTTTAGGGAATTGAGAAACAGCGAAAGAGCGAAATGGATGAGATCATTTAACTTTAAAAATATTCGGTGCAATACCCGCTGGTGGAAGAAGAGAAATAGCACGTTGTTGGTAAGATCAGGTGAACCTGGCTTAAATTTGTGACTCCAATTGGGAACAAATAATGTACAAAAGAGAAGACTGGCGTGCTGTTGTTAACTCTACTATTCTTATTCAATTAAGAAGCTATTTGAAAAATCGCAAAAATTGTGAGAAAGTACTTTTAGAGAATTATATCGCTCAAATAAGCCTAAAAAAGTTTTTCATCGAGGAAAGTTCTCTGATCTAGACTATTTGAACTACCGATCCTTTACTGTTGATTTCAGCAACCAACTCATAAACTCATAACAGATTGCTGTATAAAAATCAGAAGTGTGATATTGGACAATTTCATAAGAAATCAAACCGCCTATCTATATGACGGGGAATTTGTATAAGCTGTATATTTTCGAGGTAAGTACAAAGCAATTTCCAGGCATTAGGTAAGTGAATAAATTATATTATTAAGCAATAATTAATCCAAGTATCCTTTCTCAAATGAAATAAAGAAGCTAAGAGCTAGAGGACCCGTTGACTTGATGGTCGAAGTTATCGAAGTTTGCATTCCGAAGCAGTATAGGCATATTTTTAAAAGTACTGCCTTAATAGTTTGGGAATTTGATAGTTTTATAGCAAAATGTAAAACTTGGAAGAGGTTCACTTTGTGTTTATTTATTTATTATATTGAGTTTTAAGATGTCTTTATGGGGGGCCACCAGTTCAAGTAAATTATTTTTCGAAACTTTTTAGACATTGTTCTCGAAACTCGTATAACACATTGGTTCGTATACGAACGCGCTTGTTAACAAGGTAAAAAGTCGCAAAAATCTCATATTTCTCATATATTCGACAGCATTTCGAGCCAAGACAAGTCAGCTTCGCAACTGTCAAAAAAAAATTTCTTTGGTTTTTACTAGCTTTACCAAATAACTTGAGCCTTGCTTCTTTTAAATTTTCAAAAAATAAAAATTTATATGTAAATCCATGTAAAAATATATTTATAATATTGTATATATATGTATGAAGTGTATAATTTTAATATGGTTCAACAGTTATTATGTCAATAAAAAAAACTTCCACTTCTTTGTTTTTGTTTTTGGCGTGGTAAGCACAAAAGAACATTTTGTCGGGAAAAGCAGTATGAATCATCTGACATTTAGTGAGAATATTTTCACACATTTTTTCTCACACCAATTTTTTTAATATTATTTTTTTCTGCTCTTCTCAATGTGCACCAACACACTGCCATACCACGAAGGCAGACAGAAAAATTGCCGCACTGTGTGGAGGAATCACTTACAAATACTATGTACATATGTATGTGTGTGTGTGGAGGAATCACTTACAAATACTATGTACATATGTATGTATATATGTATAGACAAGTAAACGTATCAAATAACTTTCGCCACTGGCATAAAACAACAACAGAGGCATAAAACAACAACAGAGTGTGAGAAAGTGCTTGAGGCCACGAGAGGAATATAAATAAAAAGCATTATAAAAGCTTTGACTGCAAAAAAACACACCTTGTGCGGACACATACAAATGTGATGTATTGGGTTGCCCAAAAAAATTCGGCAACTTTTCATACAGACGGCGTTGACTATTTAATTGTATTATTGTTAGAGAACAGTTATAAGATGTCACTTCTAACTTGCTTTAGAAAAAATGTAAGCGTAGGACAAGTGAAGTTGATGATCGGATGATCTTATAACTGAGCATGAGTTTGGAGATTTAGGTACCACATGAACTGAAAGAAATAACAAGCAAACAATAACAAGCCGCTTCGACGATTGTGCTATGCATCTTAAACGCAATGAAAATTATCCATTTTTGAAGAAAATCATAACTGGAGATGAGAAACGGAATGTTTACAATAACGCCAATCGAAAACGATCATGGTCCAAGCATTATGAAGCGCCACAAGCCACTTTAAATGCTGATATTCACCAAAAGAAGATTTAGCTGTCAGTTTGGTGGGATTGGAAGGGTGTGGCATATTTTTAGCTACTTTCAAGGAACCAAACGATTATTTCGGATTAATCCAGTTGATAACAACTGAGCAAATTGAATACATCCATCAACGAGACGCTCCCAGAATTGGTCAATCGTAAGGGTGCCATATTCCACCAGCACAATGCTAGACCGCACACATCTTTGGCCACTCGCCAAGAACTGAAAGAGCTTGGCTGGGAACTGTTGATGCATCCACCATCCACCTGACCTTGCACCGTCAGACAACCATTTGTTTCGATTTTTGCAGAACTCATTAAATCGTAATACTCTCGAAAATAACGAGGCTATAAAATCGCACTTGGTTCAGCTTTTTGTAGATAAAGGCCAGAAGTTCGATGAGCGTAGAATAATGATATTGCCGGAAAAATTGATTACGGTATTTACTTTCTTTTAAAAAAATCGCAGGTTTCTTTTGGAGCAACCCAATAGATGTAAATATAAGTTTGTGCAAATATAAGAAAAGTAAATTCAAACAAATATTTTATATGACTGTCTCCAAGTGCAGATGTATAAACACATACATACACATGAAAATATGTTTAAGGGGAAAAAATGCGGCAGCTGCATATTCATTGCAGAAGCTTATATACGTACAGGTATGTGTGTATAAACGTACATGTATATGTGAACATATAAGCATCCTTATGTTACTCTATGTACATTTATGAGCTGGAAACATAAACAAAGCATCAAGCAATTCATGCAACCAACAATTGAAGCTACAAAAGATTCACCAAGTAGCATATTTATTGTACATACATATGTGCATACATGCATATGTATTGTATATAGTCAAAGTCGTCATCGGCGTCTGGCATGTGCAATGGTTTATGTAAAGACAAAACAAAAAAAAAAACAAAAAAAAATACAACAACAATAACAACTGTTCAGCACAGTATCAGTATCAGTAGAAGTATCAGTCAGCATCCGTTAGTACAGTAACTAGACTCTGTGGGTTTGAGATCCTGTTGCGATTTATGCGTTGGTTGCCGCATGTGGGAGGGAGTGTATGAATGTGCATATGTATGTAGGTACATACGAGTATATGCTATGTGTATAAGTATGTGTCAAGAGTCAAAGCAATTAGTATTTTTGGTGTTTGAACACACGGTGGTGCCGTACCAACTGCTGTGCAATGCTTCCACTGTATATTTACCTGTGTGTGCATATGTATGTGTGTGGTGCGTATAAATATTTGTGTGTGGAGGCGTTTAATTGTTGCAATGTGCTTTTTCACTAGAAAGATTTTGTTTAAACCAAAAAAAAATATATATACAAAAATTGTAAAAAAAATCATAACGGTAGTGCATATTTGTTTATGAGTAGGGCTATCTTAACTGCATTGGCCACCATTTTATGTTTGATGTATTATTTTTATATTTTATTTGCAGAATTGTGCATTTTGATGCAGAAAAAGAAGAAGAAATAAAAATATTTGTGATTTGTTGTTCGTGCAGGAGATATAGAAAGGTCAGTTACTCCTGCTTAGTAATGTGATCTTTCGTTGACATTTACTACCCATATAGAAAATAATTAAATTTTAAATTAAAATTTCAACTGAGTTATGTGGTTCTAAGTTAAGCGTTAAACGCTGCGCAAGGAGATATAAGTTGAAGCACATTCATTGGGACCCGCAAGCTTAACCGCCGACACCTGGTTCCTGCTAAGCCTCTAGTGAGAAGATGCTGCATGAAGACTTCAGTGTCACTGTGCTCCATATAGGCATCAAGCAAGGTGACTCTGTATCTGGTGATTTCTTTGCTGGAGAAAATAATACCATCTGTCGAGCTAAATAAAACAGGTACGATACCACACCAAGGTGTATGACAACATTGACATATAGTTATAGGTTATGTCGTCTTTATGAGGGAAAAAACTTTTGAAGTTTTCAAAACATTACCTACTAACGCTAAAAGAGAGATTTCTACTTTGTTGAAAAGATCAGATGACAAAAGACTTGGTTTCACTTGGTGTATCCAATTGTGAACTATTGTAGTGTAGGTCGTTAGTGATTTTCATTGCCTATAATTAGTCTGAAAACATCGAGGATTCTTTAGTTGCGGTTATTCCGATATTTCAGCTCCGCAATGCATATGATTCGCTGTCAGGCACGCCACGTATATGCTTCCTTTTATATTGCTTTTTAGTCTCTTTACAACAACAAATTTCATTAATTTCCATAGCACGCATAGTAAAATAAAGGAGCAGTAAGCCATACCTCCACACAATTTACGACACTTCTGTATAGCCGAGTAGTTAACAGTGCGTACCGTGTCTTCTCATAAAAAAATCAGCTCTTTGGAGGTGGCTCAGCATAAACTGAAAGTTGTCAAATTGTTAGTAAAAAAACAAAACGCACGCCACAAATAATAGGAGAAGCACGGCCGAAAATTGTTTCAGTGGATACAAAGCGTCCATTATGTGGCATATATATTTGTGTTTATATAATATTTCTATCAATCGTGAACAGGAAATAGCCTCATCAGCAGGCAGGGTATAGGAGGGGTCAACCGAATTTCTTAGGAAGAAAAATACTGCAAGAAATCATAAAATCGCTCTGCAATAAAGAACTTTAATACAATAAAAAAACTTAAGTAAAACTAAGAGTAAACTTATCTAAAAACAATTTATAATATTTAATGGGCATGTATATATATATATATATATATTATTTTATGCCCAACTATAATTAATTCCTTTTTGTAAACCAAATTTTTAGCAAACAAAAATTTTAACTTGCATATACACATACGATTTATGTAAGCATGTAGTTAGCGGCACAAAAGTCAATAATTAAAATGCATTCGAGTGCGCAACTTTTATACAAAGCTTTTGTTTGTTGTATGTTGTAGTTTGTAGTTAGATTGCTGTGGTTTATCACTTACGTATACACATGACTCCTTACAAAGGTAACCAGTTGATAAACTCTCTACATACGTAGATATGTATGCATAGCATAAATAGTAAGTATATGGCTTGGATGGTGGCAGTGGTCGTGTGGCACTTCAAGTGGTTTTATAGGTCGTGCATGTGGCTCAAGTGCAAGTATTCACTCATAGTTATCTGCGACCTGAACCTCAGAATGCCTTAGAATGCCTCACAATGCCGCACAATGACAAGAACCCACAAACTAGATATTCATAAAGTCATACATACTTATGTTCATTCTTTGAAACAAATTTTACATGAATACAAAAAAGCATATGGCAATGTGTAATAACATACATACACATACATACTCGTATGTTCATAAACAAATATGCATTTAGTGCAATAAGGTTAACTACTAGTAGTTGTAGTTGTAATTAAAATATGTTGGTTTGTTGCCACTGACTTTGGCGAGGAAGCTCGCATCGTTTTACAATACATCCATACATATTTATGTAGGTATGTATGTATATTAATATCTGCCGCTGTTGTTCTCTTGCAACTCTTACCTGCCTACATACACGTTGCTCTTATTGCCCTTGTCGGTGTTGTTGAGGATGACGATGATGATGGTGATGATGGTGATGATGTTGATGACATGTTGTTGCATATATTCATGTACACACGTATGTATTAACATTTGTATTATAGTATTTGACAATTTGATTATTAAGGCAATACTAGCATTGAAATTATGTCAAAGACTGAGTTGATTCAGCATTAAATGATTATCTTTAATATTGATTTTTACTCAAGTTAGCTTACGACGTGCTATGCTGTGTGGGTTTAAGTGTGTGAGGTGAGCATCTTTAATTATGAACAACAAACTTTAAAACTTGCAAAACATTTAAAGACGTAGATTTTAATATTTATGAAAATGGATAAGATGATAAGTTCTCATTGAGTTATTAAAGCTTTGCTAAGTTTACGCTCCCTTGCATGTTTTTAGGCGCTCGTAAATGCAGATATTACGTTGGCCGTATGATGGCGGTAGAGGTTTATTTCAAATTAGAGTTTGCACGCGACTTTGACAAATAACAATTCAATCGAATTCTAAATAGGATTCTTTTGAATAAAATCTCTGGCCAATTTCCCTGGATGATAGTTTTCCACATATTAACCTGGGCAAAAAGCTTTCTATGTTCCAAATTTCATGCAAATGGAACCAATAGCAAAGGGCAATCTTTATTCGAGATAAGAAGCAAATAAAACCTTAAATGCAGTTTTTTCGAATAGATCGATCTCAGATCTTTTTCCCGGATGGAAATTTGTTTTTTATATTCTCCTCTTCTTCTGCTTCTATCGGCAGGTACTACATCGAAAACTTTCAAAGCTGGAGTTTTCTTATCCATTCGGACCACATAACCTAGCCAGCGTTGCCGCTGCTTCCTGATTTGCTGAACTATGTCAATGTCTCCGTTTATGTCGTACAGCTCATCTTTCCATCGGCTGCGATATTAGCCATTCCCATTTCGTAGAGGGAAAATTTTTTGAATAGATAATTCCTAAGTAATACCTCTGTACCGAATTTCCAACCGCTTAAAAATAAATTCGATTTTAAGATCGGTTACAGGTCTACTTTCCGGAAAGTCTTTCCGAATGCACACACATTCTCCAAGTCTCAGGGCACTACGATGAGTGGTTTAGGCTATGAGTCCGTCAGTCGTTCTTAAATATAATTTCGAAAGTTTGACCAAACCCTGACCACCCGAATGTTAGTTCGCGGTTATCTAACAATAAAAAAATGGGTCTCGAAAACTCGTATTATGAGAATATTTTAGAGATGTAGATTGGATTTTTAGCATTTGAGTGGTAATTTTTCTTAATAAATCGGGTTTAATATCTATTCCGATACCCCCAAGGCATTTAATCAGGCGCTTATTCCAACTATTTATTTATATAATAACTTTATATAATTGGCGTTTTATAGCTGGTGGTTGCTAGACTTAGGCATTGAGTTTTTTTTTTAATGTCCGAAATACTCTCGGAAGGAATTTCATTCTCTGGGCGACCTATAATTTTCAATATTGGTCACCGTGGACGTGAATTTATGACATACCGCTTGGTAATATGCACTGTCAATCACTCTGCTACAGCAGCCGTCAAAACTAGCCAACACATTTAGAAGCATACTCGTGCTCAAGTACATGAAATGGCATACTAATTTTAGTGCGAACTATATAAGTTCTAGAGGCAGAAGAGACAGATCCATAAAAGTTTATATCGATTGGGTCGGAGTGGCGAGTTGAGTTGATTGAGTTGGCAATGCCCGATTGTCTGCAAACTGCTCTCTCAGTTTTATTTCAACCAAACTTTCGGTCATTTGGCAGAATCGGCCATATCGGACCAATATAATATATATACGATAGACTTTTCAGATTAGAGATTGACTTTGGGTCAAAAATTTTGCAAACAAACATCTAAGTTTATGAAAATGTGTATTCTACACACGTGCAATACGTGCAAGCAAGCAACTAAAATCGTGAAAATTATTGTTAGACAATTTGATATGGTCATGATAATACAAAGACTTCGGCATGGCCGAGCACAGCTCTTTTTTCTTGCTAAGCTTAAATTTTAAATTAAATCACTCATACGCCCCAGCGATCGATGATGATATTTATGTAGTTTGTCCATCGACTAAAATATTTCCAATCGCTTACAACCTATGAAATAATATTACTCACGGATTTACTCATTAATCTCGCTGATTTATATTTCAAAATAATAAAATCCCTTAATAATAGCCAATAATATTGTTAGTAAACTTTTTTTAATGCCAATGGTATTTTCGATTCTTCAAATACTCACTTTTATTTCTATTGCACTCACGGCTTCTACTTTCGCCTACAGCACGTTGCCAATTAGTAGTTTGCTCGTTGTTTCTTGTATTCCACTTTTCTTTGTTTTGGCAACATTCACATTACCTCCGTCTCTGCCGTCTGGGTCTGGTGGACGCAAGTAGACAAAAAAAAAATGTACACAAATAAATGTGCCTGTATGTGTGTTAATATGTTTTGTTTTTAACACTTTTATGAACACATAGGGCGCTGCTATTTTGTTGTTTGTCGCTTTTTGTATGTACGTTTTTATTTTATTTATTTGTTTATTTGTTTGCTTAATATTTGCTTTATTTTTAAATTGAATGCATGCGTGCGTGTGTATGTGGATTGTCCCGACGAGTCCTTGAAATTTTCCCTCGGCTTTTACCTACTTGCACTCAATTCTCGTCAACTTCGCTATACATTTCGCACACACTTATCACTGTGAAATGCAACATTTTCAACATTTTCAACATTTTCAATGTTTTATCGCTGTTCGATTGTCACGTTTTCGCGTTTTACTTAAATATATACTATGTTAATTTTATGATGTTTGCAGTTTACATAAAATTTACTTGAATATTTAACCTTAGTTGGCAGCCTAACGATACTTGCTAAACTTAAGATTTTTCTTTATAAAAATTATGTATTTAGATAGCTAAGTGATTTTTTTTACGTGAGTCAGTTTTTTACACTATTGGAGTCTCACTCTCTGTTGGTTGGCTCGCGCTACGTTCGGTCGTCTGTCTGCGAAAGGACTAAAGCATATGCCAAATGAAGTTTCATATCTCTCCTGCACAGGAGGAAAGCTTAAAAGCTCTTCAAAAGATTTTTACATCTTGTCTCTTGATTTTTGCATTGTTTTGCGCGCTGTACTGATGCTGGCTTGGCTATTGAGGAGATGCTGCTTTGGTTGGTTGATGCTTTCGTTAATGTTTTTTATGCTATTTGAGTGTATTTGGCAGTTATACATTAAACGCATGCGCCGTTTTAATAATTCGTATTAAGCTTTACTTTCTTTACGTTAAAATTCAAAATAAAGTCCTCGTCTTCTTGAGATATTCAAGAAAAATAATTGGAGTGAAGGTCTTCCTTTTCCTCTGCTTCTACCGGCATGTAGAGTAACGAAAACCCTTCCGACTGGGGAATTTTCAACCATCCAGACGATATGACCTGGTCAGCGTATCCGTCTTAAATTACAGAATTGTATTATGAAAGTCACAACAGTCGAGTGATTAGCAGTGTATACTGCCATGCCCATGACCAGGGTTCATCTTCTGGCTCGACCAACATCCAAAGTTATAGAAATTTAATTTTTCTAAATGCCGTCGTCATTCGGCAAGGAATGTCAAGCCTCAAAAGTTTATTTCAAACATGAAAATCGGAAATCTCCTCGTAAAAGTCTAGTGGCCATTCCGAGGTGGCTTAGAATAAACCATAGGTCCTTACATTTTCTTGGAAAACATAAACACGAGCATCACAAATTGGAGGAGGAGTTCTGGAGTAAGAAACAAACAAAAAGATTCAATTCATTGCATATCTTAAGAACCCTCAACACTCCACTCTTAAGTGAACTGACAACAGTACGTTGTTGTTCTTCTGAGTAATCTCATTTACTGTTTGTTGTCCGCTGTCCGCTGTCCCGAAAAAATAGCCGATTAATTATTGTGAGTTATTATAAACATTGGAAGCGGGCTTTAATTTGTCCCTAACAAAGCTAAGACAACAAGTATATTAGTCTTCGACAAAACCATCATTATAAGTATTTAGTTAGTTTGAGGAAATGAAAAGAGCCCGTTTTCCTGAATTCATATAATGGCGTAAATTAAGGTAGAGTCACAGGGTGTTATGAAATCTTTAAACATTTAGACATCCTTCACATTCGAGCTGTTAGTGCATGGTGAGAAATTATTTCTTAAGAATGTACTTTGGTTTGTTCGAGTTACTCGCTAATAGCTGCATTAAAGCACTACAGCTTTGTTGAGATCCACACGAGTTCTAATGGATTATTGGCTTCTGTTTCTCTCTCTCTCTTTTATCACAAGCAAGTAAAGAATCTCCTAAGAGTAGGCAATGATGGGATGACATACATACAAAGTGTTTTAGGGTATGGGTGTCGGGTCGACTAAAACTTCTGTTAACGTCGATCTCAATCCGAAAGTAGTTTGTGGCGATCATATATCCAATGTTCAATGTACTTCAAGCAGTACACCGCACCCATCCAGATCTCTTACGAATCTGATTCTTAACATAATGTGGAGTTGGGATTTGTGGACCAGGTTGCCATGATGTTTGAGCCGAAGGACAATACCTCAGTCAGATCAATACAACTATCTTGTGCGAAGCATATGTTGATACTAATCTAACAAGCAAATTTAGCTTAAAATTCTGTAGTGATCAATTTTAACTTTTGTGGAAATGAAAATCATTTGACTACAAAAATTTGATTCCATTTCATATACACATTTCCGCCGGAACAAGAACCTACGTACGTGTATTACCGTGTATAAGAGTGTATATACGTGTATGTATGTGGTTGAAACTCACATTCGATAGGTAAACACACTTTACCTTCCACGCTGTCGAATAGCGGCATTTACACGGAAAGACTCCAAATCTATTTGTCGGTAATACAAAGAAAAATTAATTTTTTTAAGTAATTGACATATGAATATATGTACATACAATACTAACGAGTGTTCATTCAATAAAATTTCTGCAAATACCAAAAAAAAAAAATTGATTTATCGTAAAAGTGTTATTTGCTGTTTGCCAAAGAATTTTCAAATATTTTTTTATCGAGTGGTAGGCCGATGAGTGGCGCGGCAAATGCTATTATAACTATCAGTTGTTAACATAAGAAAATACAAGAACATACGAGCACACGTATACATCATACATATTATATTATCATCGTACATAGCTACGAGTATATACATACAGTGGAATGATTTCTCCAGTTTGCGAGAGAGAAAGAAGTGACCAGGTGTAGCTCTGGAACATCTAAGGGAATATATTTAGATAACAGTCTCGAAATATTCAATAATATAATATTCCTTAGTATCGATTATGCAACCAAAAATAAATGATAATCGAGAATAATGGACTATTAGCATTCATATTTCGGAAAATGCTTAAGTTCTGAGTAAGGAGGATGAATCAGGCAGAGAGTAAAAATAAAATATGTATTATCCATGATCCATAATGGTTTGCGTATTCCTTTTCTAGGTGCTAAGACCTCGTTTTACTTGCAACTTCTTTAAGCTTAAGCTGCCTCTGAAATGCAAAAAACTAGGAATAAGACTTTATTTTATGACTCCTAACATCATATCTTCGGATGTTCTCATATCCACATTCATAATGACGATCTTGAAATTCCACGCTGATTTATTCTTGCCAACCATAGATACTTAGATCGGCTTGGAAATTAATGATGGTGGTACAATTACTCGACATCTAGAAGATTTAGAGAATTTGGGGCATTGGCATTTTTAATGGCGATAATGGCATAACTCAGCGAATAAATAGACAGCGGCTACGCTCGTTAGGACATGTCGTCCGGATAGATTAAAATTACTGATTTAAAAGTATTTGACGATGTAACAACCTACTGTTGGAGCAAAGAGAGAGGAAGACTTTTCCCACGCTGGAGGTATTATGAGAAGAACGGCCTGGTTTCACTTTCTGTTTCTCAATTACCCCAAATTGTTCTTTTGCTGATTCGGTTCTAGTATAAAAATGGACCTCCAATTTATGGTGTGCGTTTTGATGTTTTTCTAACAACTAGAGGGATCTTTGAATGACTACCAAGTCTCTTAGTTCTCTCTTATTGTTAAAAGTTTTTATTTTCTGTCGGAATTCTTCAGTTCAACAGGCTTTGTTTTATTTTCAAAGCCTATGTGGTACTGATAGTTAGTCAGAATCCTTTGACTTAATGACAAAATAAAAAAAATAATATAATTTCCGTTAAAAATATTTCGAAAACAGAACTGTTTCCAAGAACAATTGAAAAAATGTAATTATGTAATTCAATTTCAATTCAATCAAATACTCAGAAATACATAAAGCCATGAACCTGATAAGTTGTTGAAGTTCAATGCTTTATATCTGGATGTACATAAGTATATATGCATGTAAGGACCACGAAAAGTACTTGTTACTATAAAGTCTTCAGTTACATGTGTTCAGAGGAATCGCATGCATCACATACATACGTGTATGTATATATGACAATGTGTGTTCAATCGATACTACCTAAGCATGTTCTGATAAGATCGAAATTTTGATAACATCTTTACCAACATCTTTCAGCAGTTTGGCTATTAAGGCGTTCGAGTTGTTGGTAGTTGATGCTGGCTACCAAGAATATATATAAAAACGAACTCAGTGAATGCCAACAAACAGTACACTTTTTGTTCTACAACTTGACGACGGAAATAGCGGCTGCTACTGCTTAAACTACTATAACGGCAAAGAGAAGTGAGTTTTAGTCCTGATAGAACAGATAAAAATACTACAATAAAATACTTTAAATAATAATTGTTTTAGTGAATCGCTTCTACGCTATCGGTTTACTGGCCTTCACCGCCCTCGTGGCCACCACTCAAGCGGCCTCGTCTATAAATCTCTGTGAAGGCGCGGCTGATAACATTTTCGTGGCGGATATTACTAACTGCTCCAACTATTATATTTGCATTAATGGCGAACCTATTGCTCAACAATGTCGCGATAAGTACTATTTCGATGCATCTAGCCAATCGTGTCTGCCATCAAATGGCGGCTGTTTAGTCTGCGACCCGAATAAACTGACTTCGGTTGCATTGAGCAGGACTTGCAATAAATATGCTCTCTGCTTTGCTGGCACTCCGTTATTGCAACAATGCGCTGATAACTTGCAGTTCAATCCCAATTTGGGTGCTTGTGATTTGCCAAAGAATGTCGATTGCGTTTCCAACTATTGCTCCATTTATGATAGTCCCGAAAGTATTGTTTATGTAGCTAGTGCATCGTCCTGCTCGAAGTAAGTGTTCATTGACATTTATGATTGTCCGACACAGCATTCACTTAACAAAATTTTCTGTACCTTACGCAGATACTTCGTCTGCATGAATGGTCAGCCACAAAATCAAACGTGCGTCGGTGGCTTGTACTTCAATCCCTCGTGCAATTGTTGCGATCTCCCAGCCAAGGTCAACTGTACTGTGAGTCAAAACCGTTTATCACTGATATTTATAAATACATATATTTGCATTTTATACTCTCCAGATTACCAACACAGGCAGAACACGCTCCTTACAAACAGCTGCCATGATCGCTCCACGCATGGTTGACATCACCTGCCCCAGTGAGGGTGTTCACCAGATTGCTCACCCGAATCCCAATCAATATTATATGTGCGTAAATGGCAAGGGTGCTCTAATGACTTGTGCTGCCAGCTTGGTCTATGATAAGGAAGTGGGTGCTTGTCGTCGTCCTGCGGATATCCTTAAAAAACATTAAGTTTCTTATGCTTCAATGCATTCAAATCAATATGTGCATTTAATAGTTATCACGTTGATGAAAAATCGTTTTCTTTTATGACGTTATTATTCAAAGATGCTTGCAAAATTAAATAAAGAGGTTGTGGTTAAGAAAATTTGAATTTGGAAAAGATTTTTTGGTTGAAAAGTACTAAATTAAAATAGTTTGTATTCAACGTGGGGATGGAAAGGTAGTAAATGAAATGGAATAATTCTATGTCTGTCCCCAAATTCCTGCAACTTGGCATTGAGAGTGAGAAAGATCTCATCCTCAAGATTATGTGCTCTGCTATTACGGACGCTAAGAAGTACGGATGGAAAAGCTTCGAGACGGACATCGAATGTTGAAGGAGGAGCTCGGTGGAAAACCACATGGCGATAAAACGCTAGTTACATAATCTTAGAAAGAAAATTCCCCTGATACAGCAATACAGTAAACGCCCAAATTCTACCCGGTTGTCGGAAGATGTCAGGTTAATATTTTGATAATGCGTTTCCAACAATAATTCCAAATAGCAACAAATGGAAAAATGTAACAAATTTTGAATCATGATTTCAAACATTCCTTACCTACAGCAGGGTGGACTGTGGAATCCACTCAGTACCAGAAACGTCCTTTGCTTGGGTTACCAGAGGACACAGAAGCATCGCAGCGAGACAGCTAGAAGAGGAAAATATTTAGCTATATTAAATTCTATATACAATGTAGGTATAACTCTTTACTGGTCATCATCAGCAGTGCTAATAACATATAGGGATGATAGATCTGGCCATTGCAATAAAAGATGAACTTTGAACTTTTTCTAAAAGAGGTCCTCCATAAGCATAACAACTGGCGTAAAAACCGCACACTGTGTATTGAGGACTCACGCTACAAGAATGTGCTACTTTTTAATGATGTCTATCAAAGGTATAGGAATATAAATGGGGAGCAGTCAGAAAACCAGTACCCTTCTCCCAATGTGTCCCAATATCGCTTCATTCAAGAGAAGCTTTAAATAAATTGAATGGCGTGGAAGCTAGAAAGAATTTCCGGTGAAATAGTTTTGCGGAAAAAAACATGCAGAAATTTATAATAAATCGCAAAATAAACGCACGATGCGGCCGAGAAAATGATGAAAATGTTGAATGAACCGAAGACAAGGCAATCATCCATTTCATGATGGGTCCGAATGCAAGACAGTCATAGGAACAAAGTGACTACCGCATCAACAGCGATGTTTCCGCTTGAGCTGGCGCTGCTGGTAAGGTTGTCATCTTCAACTTCGTCAACCTTTCAGCGCTTTGAAATGTACTTTAAAACCATAAAACTTGGTAGAATCACTCAAGGACGCTTTTAGAAGCTTAAATGGATTTCGGCCAATCTTCTCGTCTGATTTTTCTCTGGCGTTGTTATTTAGAGATTTTGTTTTTTGTTTTGAATAAAGGTTTAAAAAGTTCAAAGCATTCTTAAAATTATTGATAGGCACCGTAATAAATACGAAGTCGTTGACATTTCTTATGTTGGAGAGACCGCAAAATAAATAGATTTTTGCATGGTCATGATTTGAAACACCAGGGCCTCGGACATCTAACGAGCCATGCCACCTACTCTTACATCAATGATGCTGAAGAACTGTTAAAAAAATTGACCATGGGATCTTTAAAAAAGGTCTCTGATTTTTTTCAACGCTTTTTTCAATATAGATATCATCGAAAGATGTTTGTTTACTTCATTTTTAAATAGTGATTCTTCGATAAATATTACATACGATATGATTCGATTGTTTTGGCAATTTGCTAATGAAAATTAGTCATATGTTACGAGTATTTTATGACTAAACCAACTGCAAACGAGGCTATATAATGCCCAAAAATTAATTAATTAACAGTCAGTAAAAATTCTTCATACAACGATAAAGATCAAGCGCTTTCAAATCGGCGAGACTAGTAAGTTAAAAAAAAATATTTAAAATCGCATAATTTTGCTTTAGGGTTAGAATATTAATATACATTATTGTTATAATTTCTATGAATTTATAATTACAGTGAAATTTATATTGCGCACCGTTCTGGCTTATGCCACCTTTAGTGTGTTGTCGGCCTTAACCAATCCTGTCAACATTTGCAGTGGCGTTAGTAATCTGGTGTTTCTGCCATATCTCGGCGACTGCAGCAAATACTATATATGTATGGGCGGTGAGCCCATTGAGCAAAAGTGTGAGCAGGGTTACCATTTTGATGCGAAATTGCAAAGCTGTACCTATCCGGATGTAGCCAAATGCTTACCCACCTGCACCAATGCCCTCTCATCCTTTTGCTATGACCGCACGTGCACGAAATATGTGCTTTGTTATGCTGGAACGCCTATTATACGCGAATGCCGCGATGGCTTGCAGTACAATGCTGAGACAGACCGTTGTGATTTCCCACAATATGTAGATTGCGTGGATAACTTGTGCACCATATACAATGATCCCAAAAATATTACATTCCTGCAGAGTAAAGCGTCGTGTGGCAAGTTTTACATTTGCATGGATGGCACTGCGTATCCACAGACATGCTCTAATGGTCTGCTATTCAATGAGGATTGTAATTGCTGCGATTTCCCCGACAAGGTTAGGTGCAATGTGAGTATCTTGGAATTTCATTTATTCAAATGTGATTATATTTGATTGTCTACATTTTCGATTATAGATAACTGCTGTGTCGCGTAACATTTTACCGTACGCTAAAGTGCCACCCAGGCGTGCCGACATTGAGTGTCCAGCTGTTGGTGCGAATTTCTTTGCTCATCCTGATCCAGCCAAATACTACTACTGCTTGAATGGCCAGGGTGTTGTACTCGAATGTACACCTGGTCTAGTTTACGATACTGAATTGGAAACTTGTCGTATGCCAGAAAACATCTCACGTGCTGCTTCGCGTTAAGCGTTGAATAATTCTGTACAATTTTTCATTAAAAATATTAAATTCCAAAATAGCATAATTAAAAAATTTTCATGTAATATCTTCAGATAATGGAAATTATTTAGTGGGAGATGTTATGTTTAACTGGCTATCTCTTTACTTTACGAAAATCAACGCAAAGGTTCTTCTCCAACTGATTTATCGAATAGAGTAGAAGTATTTCGTTGTATCTTTAAAAGCTTTCCAAGTTGGAGTGTTTCCATCCATCCGGAAAACTTAACATAAACAACGAAGGTACTGTCTCCTAATTCTCGTAACTATGTCGAAGGACGATAAGCTGTCCTATCCTCCATATTCGCTGTTGCTTTGTGAAGAACCATAATTTTCCACAAAATCTTTCTCCCGAACTCTCATAAAGCAGTCTCATCAGATGTTTTCATAGTTGCTTCTGTGCCATATAACAGTACGGGAATGATGAGCGACTTGTGGAATTTGGATTTTTTTTCGAGAGAATACTTTATTTTTCAGTTGCCTAACCAGTCCGAAGGTTCTAATTGCTTATTTGATGACGGAAGTATGCTCTGCTTCCTTACATAAGAATTCACCTTCTCTGTTTAGCTCTTCAGATCGTATTATTTTCTAAAACATTAACGTAAACAACGCACAAAAAGGAGTCAACTTTTCTAGAACCTCGTTTTGTATTGAACGACTCGAAGAGGTTTGTTGTGATGGGCTTTAGCCTCGTATGGCCTCACACACGATAATGTGGAGGAATAGGTATTTCCTCCTTAGACATCGCTTACCAGATCACCTCTTTAGTACCTAACTGAGAATCCAAGCATTATAAATAGCATATAAAACCAAAACTAAGATTTCGTAATATTTTATCTGACTACGAGTATATTCAAGAAAGATCTTCGACATGGCTGAACAGAAGACAGCATTTTTTTTCTTGAAATTAATCGGCATCAGTCTATACTTCTTTTATCCAACTTCTATATAAATTCGGCATCGCCATTACGTTTTTACAACTTTTTTGCTTATAAGCCACTATAAAGTTGAGACTCCGATAGTGGTGACTTATTAATTAGTTAACTGAATATTATGAATGAAATACGGGTCGTATGAGTAACTTTTCTATTTATTGCGAATTGAAGTGTACATAAATTTTAGAATTTCTACACTGACGTTGAAAAAAATGTATGTACATAATATTTGACCAAGTTGTAGCAACAGTTTCCAACTTATAAGCATGAACACCCTTTCTCAGAAATTCTGTTGGTTTTCCACCAGATATCTGTTTTAAACATTTTTACATACATACATTTATTTGTGTATATGTAAATATATTGACACAATAACACTCTTCACGCGCACATTTCATTCTATAGAGATCGGCAAACGCACATATGTATCTATATGTATGTACACTCAAAGGTATAAATATATTTATGCGTGTATGTATGTAAGTATTTTCACATTTATTCTTTGTTATTCTCATTGATTCATCCAAAACAGAGCAACACATTATCTCAGCTTTTAGGAAAAACCACTGAAAAATCTTTCAAATCAGTTGCTATTCGTCTGCTTGGACGATGTGTTTATTCTAAGTGAAAACTCTTTTTCGATTTTGAAAATCGTTTTTTTTATTTTGAAAATTTGCAACACCGTTCGGTATAACCTTTGTTCAATATATTTCGAGGTGACAATTTTACTTTGTAAGTGACATTAATTTACTTTGTTATAACTTGCATATTGTATATGTATAAGAAAATATGTATTTTTATATTATTGCAAATGTGCCGTTATGAATTTGAAAAAAAAAAATTATAGTTTTGTGCAATCACATGAAAATGTGAATGTTAACTATTTTTAGCATAGGTTGTTCGTGAAATTATTTCCACTGCATTTATACATTTATTTAAAGGGTGTTGAGGTGGTGAAGTGGTGGTTATGATAAATAATATGGAAATTTGGGCAAAGAGAAAAAGGTTTGATAGGAACAAGTTTACTAGAATTTGGCCTCATCGAACGCGGTTTGGATAAAATTTGTTGCTGCCCATTAGCTAACGGAAGAGTTGTCGTGAGAGTTGCCGGAGCGAAGCATCTATGCTGGGTATTAATGAGCGTAATGCTATGCTGCGCAGGCAATATCTGCTGAGTGACACCATCGGGAGCACCGCTGGACTAGGTGGCTCGTATACAGGCTTTAAATGTCATTCAGTCCGTCAACATCTTCTTGAACTCTCTTCTAGCGAACGGCGTTCTCGATATATAATCACCGATTAATGTGGTATTTTTCCAACGAACCTTCAGTTTATCCTAAGCCGCCTCCAAATAGCCGATGGATTTTTATGAAGAGCCGCTGTTTAAAGTCAGAAATATACTCAGAGGGCTAGACGTTACCTGCTAGGGGCGACCGCAATCAGAAAAATGGATTTTCTCTATAACTTTAGATGCTAATCCAGCCGGGAAGCATGACTGTTAGAACGCCATGCAAATCACTCAGCACATATACATATATTTTTTGTGAAAATCATTTAAACATATTAACTAATGAATTAATGAGAACTAATTAATGCTTATGTTTATTTTAAATAAATTATTTGTATATATAATATTTTTAGGCAAATATAAAAATGGTGAACGAACTGAATAAACCGCCTTCACAGGAGAATTTAGCACTTGGCGAGGTAAATATTTACAAGCATTTGTACATATGTATGTATTGTAAATACATGTTGAAAATTTTATTGAAAATGTATTTCAAAATGAAATAAATCACATTTTATTAATGCTGAATATTCCAGCGCTTGCTCAATTCCCAACGTCAATTGCAAGAGATGCAAGAAGAGCATCGACAATTGCTGCAAGAAATGGAAGTACTCCGTCAACGCGCTGCCACATTGAGTCGTCTGAACGAACAACAGTTTGGACATATTGGCCATCATCAAACCCTTAGCGAAACACCTAGACATGACTCAAATGAAGAGACTGCAAACCATTTCGCCGAGGCTACCGAGCACGGCGGGGTAGACGCTGTGGAGCAAGTAATCACACCAAATGATGTTCCAGAACAAAGCATTAATATAAATACACTCGATGCTGAAGCGACAACTCCAACTACACAAACGCATATAACAGCGAATGACAATGCAGACGATGAAGATCCCGAAACAGCTGAGTATTTACAGAAAAAATTGGCCGAGATAGCAAAGCTGAAAGCGCGTTTCAAGCACGTACAAAATATAATGAACACCACCAATATGATCGAAGATCACATTACTTCGAAGAGCAATAACATCGAAACTACAAAAGCTTTGGAGAGTTCATTAAATAAATTAATGTTAAGTGATGGTCTTTCAGAAGAAGTACAGTCACCATGTGTGACCAGCACAACAGCTATTCAGTCAAACGCGGAACCCAACACAAATGACAACCAAAACGATCCAGCAAAATATGAAAATACTACAATAACTGACGACCCAGAAACATTGAGCTCATATGCACCACCACAAGTAGCCAATGAGGAGCTACTCTCAGCCATGATGAATATGTTTACTGATTTTACAGCAGATTTGCGTAGTCAGGCGGATGATTTGCGTGCGGAGCGTGATCGTTTGCGTGCGCTCAAGGAAGATCTTTTACGTAGAAAACGTCAGTCGTAGATCAAACAAGTAATCTGATATTTATTTTAATTAAACATTTACCTACTTTCGAAATCTTAATCTGCGGATATCACAAATCCAAATTACGTTGAACTTATAGAAGATATATATACATATACATGGTTAAAACAACGATTCTTAAAAAGTCTTACTAAATCACATATATTGCATAAATTATAATATACTTTTTTGGATATTAATTATACTGCATTTTATATAAAGCAAGATAAAAACTGTTTTAGAATCTCAAAAGTCAATTTTCTTAAAATCATCGTTTCGAGGGTGGGTTGGTGCAATACTCGGTAGGATTTTTGGGTTGGGTAACGAAAAGATGGTGTGCTTGACATCCGCTTTCTTTGTTGATGTCGCCAGAACTCCCACCCATGACCTTCGGCATACTGACACGCACTCGGCTACAATGGCTACCTAATATATATGTATTTCTATGGTGCACAAGTAACAAATCAAGTTTTTGAATTATTTGCTGATCATCCATAAGGCAATGTTTTATATGTCTAGATTCAGAGAACTTATAATAACGAGAATGATCAATTGCGGACAGCGTGGAAACTGTATTTTATGAAATTTAGAAATTTTTAAAGCCACTAAACAAAGGATGATAATATCAGAAATTTTTGATAATAACCCTCTGCATTCTAACATTTATATTTCGAATGCTTTATCAATTTTACATTTATTTCGCATGTATTTTCTCATTTTACATAAAAACTTGCTTATTCTGCTAGTTTGAGCCCGATTTCTGTCTGCTCACTGTTAAAGTGCGGTGAAATACGCTTTCAGATTTACGTGTTGAAATACGCTTTCATAAAACGAGCCAGCGTTATTACAAAGAACGTATATGAATTCATATACGTTCTTCGGTGGTGGCTTGCCGATATTCCCCATTACGAATTTAAGTGCTTTAAAAATGTGGCAAGCCTCAAATGGTTACGAAGAAGGCAAAAACAAACCAAAATTGAGTGAAAAAATGACAGATTTCAAAGAAACTCAAAATTCATTCATTGAGAGGGTGAACAGAATTTGATGTAAATTTTCAAATCGATTTTAAAATTCTTTTTCCGTCAGACAGTTTTGTAAAAAGTATACATTTATTGAATAAATGTTACAATTGTGTAAAAATAAAATTCCGGAATATTAAACAGTTCGATAGGGAATAGTGTATGTGTAAATAGTCAGTAATAAATGCATACGAACGCAAAAGCAATTTAGGAAAAGACAAGGAAAAAATTTGCAAGCCAGGTAAGTAGGCTTGTAAAAGGATTAAACTAAATGTATGCTTGTAATCTTTATATGAGAAATCTTATGTTATTCAAAAGCTAATATATATTTTTAATATGTTTGTTGTTATATATGAGCAATATAACAGAAAGGTATGGCACCAGTGCGTCAAGTAATTACTGCTCAGTCTAATAAGGAAACAGAAATGGTAAGTACATTGTGATTAGGGCAGGACTTTAACCTTTACATGATGGCCTATACAAATATGTATGTACATATGTTAATTAAATATGTATAATATATATACAAATATGTACATATGTATGTAAATGAATTGACGCATGTGCTATTGAAAAGTGATAATTTCTGTAATTATTTATTACATATTATAGCAAAAAAGTAAACAAAAACATTTGCAACAACAAGTGCATACAAGGCGGCAAATATCAAGTCAACAAGGTCGCAGTAATATTACTGGAGTAAGTGGTGCAGTCGGAACATTAGCAAAATCTACCCCTACGGATTTGGGTACTCGGCGGCAATTTTATTGTAATGATGTAAGATATACATAAGCATACATAGATAATTATATGAGGTTTTAGGATATCATAATTTTTGTGCTCATTCATGCCATCAACGTAAGAAAGATGTAAAACTGAATACCGCGAAGGATTTTTCTATTCGAACTCCAATATATGGTTTGTTCCTTAATTTTTTCCTATAGTGATACTTTTTTTGAGTACTCCTACCGAATTTTGACTTTTTTAAATGATATTTCAAATGAAAAAAAAAATCTATGCTATAAAAATATGTTAGATTAAAGTTTTAAGTGTTTCGTATTAATACATACGTATGTATATAATATTAGGTTTTAAATTGGCATATAATAAATGATTGGATACTTACTTACCACGAAATAAATTTACCTGTAAATGAATACAATTTACATTCAGATATGAATATAGTTTTTAAAAATAGCTTACGCCCACGATTTTATTCAATAAAGTAAAAATATTGTAGTAATTTAAATGCATACGTCTCTTATATGTAGGTATTCATAAAAATGTAAACAAACTAAAAAAAACTAAGGCTTCTACCGGAAAAATTGCTATTATTTCTTAAATTTTTAAATGACCAGAGAGATTGACGTTTCTTCATCTCTTGGTCACTTAGTTTGCGATGAAATATTTTGCTCGCAACTTAGTACCATTTTGGACGCGAACGTATCAAGACGAATCGACTTTCCGAATCGAACTTTCATCACAGCGTTTTGAAACTGAACGATGTACTTGTAAACTCATATACACAGACACACAAATAAACGAAACGTTGAACTTTCGAAAATAGCCAAATATTCTTACACCGCACATTTAGTTTTTTTATTTATTTCAAAATTGAGTCATTCAATGTGTTCTTCATTTTTATTTGCTGTGCGCTTTTAATCGCTTGGCACTTTATACTCTATTTAAAGGATTACAATCAACAGACAGATCGTGGTGCAGCATTGAAAAGGCATAGGGCAACAATAGGGGCAACAGTTACCGGCGAAACATTTTCACAATTACCTATAGAAAACAACGGAAATTGTAGTAAAAATCATCTTGGTAATAATAATACAAATACAATAACGACAGCTGCGGAAGTGCAACGAAAAAGACAACATAGTCCAGAAATACGAGCTCTTAGAATAAATGGTGATAGAAGTCGTATAGATTGCGATATTAATAAAATTGGTAAGTTTTTTATAAATTTTCTCATTCATGTAATTTTACTTAGTTTGCGAAATTGACGTATTTTAGTCTTTAATTTATTGTATTTTTACCTGTTTGTATGTATAGTTCTGTAGAAAATGCCTATGGACACGACTAGCGACTAGCGCATTTCTAAAAATAGTATCTAAATTTAGTATTCCGCAATATCTTTTTGCTTCAGATACATTTTTTTATCTTCTAGTCGGGGTATTGACAAAAAAATAGTAAAGTTTTGAAAAATTTAAGGTTTTAGAAAGATCCGATGCAACTTTAGTTCTTAAAACATCACAAAGTAAGGAGTTCAAAATATTCTTAATTATTATTACAGATATGCCTATTAACAATAAATATGTATATGTATGTAGGTATGTGTAGAGCCACTCGCACTTATATATTATATGTATACACAAATATGTATGTAGACAATGTCTGATGTCTTCACAGCGTGAAATTTATTATAGAAACGTAATTATGTGTGATTCATTGGTCCAGCAAAATGTTAATATCATCAAAAAACAGAGATTGTATGTAAATATAAGATATATTAATAAATTTATGATAGTATAAAATATGTATGTGTGTACATATGCAAACAATTACTTACTTAAATGTACATTAAAATCGTTTACAAATTATCAATTTTAATGAAAATATTTGCATTTTTAAGTTTACTAAAGAAAGTTCTTCACTTTTCACCTCAGAAACAGCACATAACACACAGAATTTACCTTCCACTTCACAAAAGCTTGATGCCACACCAGCACCAAAGCCAACCGAACGTTCGTCCGAATCAATTAACTTAGCGGTAATACAAAAACTTCTAAATGAGCCACATACGATAACTAGGGCAACATCTAATTCGCTCATCAAATTAACCAAACCAAATAATAATCCATTGCCACCGGCACATCTATTGAATTTCTCTACTAATTTGGCAAGTAAAGCAAATACGAATATTGCTACAGCAGCTTCCGCATTAAATACGAATCCAACTACCTTGAATAGTCACGTAAATGCTGAACAAATTTTACTACAACGCATACAATTGCTCCAATATTTCTTGAAAATAACTGGACCAGCAATAAACAGCCTTAATAAGCGTATGCCAATTCGAAACGAACAAAAAAGTATCTCTAATATAGCTGCAAAGCCAAATTTACTAAACGCGTTAATGGTATATCAGAATAGAGCTCAAAGTATGGATCGTGAAGTCGTTGTCAATTCCGCAAGTCTTGAGGATGTTCCATTGAGCGAGGTTTGTAGTGATTGAGGCTTTTTTTTGCTTCATATTCAAACTAAAATTTCTTCTCATTTACAGTTAAGCGATAATCGCGCACAGTCCATTCAATCGTTGCATAGTGTTGAGACGCCCACTCCAGATACTTCACCAAGTTTCGAGGAGTTGCAACAACGTTTGGAGAATTCGAATCGCAACATACAAAACATGCAAGAACAACAGCAGCAATTGTTACGTTTGCAAAATGCCGCCAAACAGCACTTAAGTGAAATGGAGCATTTACGTCAACAGGCAGGCACCTTAAGTTTTGGCGTGAACTCGGCAAATGGCACGCAAACTGCAGACGGTGCACCCGAGTATGAGTCCATAGATCAAGTTCACTCAGATATGGAGACGTTGGTTGGACGCATGAAGAATCTCACTACTTTCATACAGAATCAAAATGAGTTAAGCAATCTCCTGGGTGATGATGGTCCTGAAATTCTCGCTGAACAAGAGGCGTTACAACGCAAATTGGAGTCTTTACGTGCTCAACGTGATGATATGCGCACGTTGGTGAGTGAATTGCAGGACATCAATCGAACTGCCGAACGTAGAGTAGGTATTGATGCCAAAGAAAGTGAGCCTACCACACCAACCGCCGAAGAGTCGGTTGTAGTGAACAAAACGCCAGAGCGCGACGAAACCCACATCACGAATGGTGCACGTGTTGTTCCGGTCACCTATGCGCGTAATGTTCCTATAAAGCTTACAAATGGCAGCACAGCTCAAGCGAGCGCAGATGCTCATACTGACGAAGATAACGAAGAAAATGGTGATCTAGCCGAAAAAGCCGCTGCAGCTATGTTAATACATCAGAAAGTTGCCGATATCGAAACAATGCGCAAGCAATTGCAACGTCTGAGAGACATGATGGAGACAGTAAATATTATTGAAGCACGCACATCGCGCGATGTTAACGATATTGGACGTACACCACCGCGTGAACTTCGTTCTCAATCGCAATCTACGGGCTCGTCTTTTGAACGCGACAGCACACCCGTTTCAGTAGTACCGGCACATCACGTCAGCAATGGAGATGATGGCGGTGATGATGTGTATCTTACGCGAAAAATGCGTATGATCAACGACGTAACCGCGGATTTGCGGGCACAGGCTGCAAGTTTGCAGGCCGAACGAGATCGCATAAAGGCATTGAAAGAGGAAATTGTATTGCGTAAACAACAAGCTGCCGCTGCAGCTCAACTGGGTGAGGATGCATTAAAACGTAGCAGTTTGACGCCAACACCTACGCCACGCTCTCGTAAGCAACGCGAAGCGGATACCCCCACACCACCACCACCGCCTTTGCCAAATACCGAAAGTGATCAACTCAAGAGGGAATATGAAGCAAAGAAAAAAGAATTTGAAATAATCTGTCAACGCCTACAACAAGACGGCGTGATAACAGCCACAGAACCACCAACTAGTCTTAAGGCACCACGACGACACGATACTGTTTCCGAAGCTGATGACGAGGCCGATGGTGATGAAGAGTTAAATGATTCGGATTTCGCCACTTCAAATGCCACTTCCACGGGACGTCAATATTTCTCAGCACCGCATCAACAGTCCACACCGGCTCAACAACATCGCGCTGCAGCAAAAGCTGCCGTGACTGCGCACACACTCGCTACGAGTGCCGCAACGGCCAAAGTCAATATACAACACAGTCATCACAATCAAGGTCAGCCCATAGGAAAGGATGACAGCTTCGAAACGAACTTAACATCATCCACTGCGGGTGAACGTCGTCATTCGACGCTGGCTAATGCTACCAGCACCACACAGGATGGTGCATCGCTTGAGGCGGGCAGTGTACAATCGGGTAGCTCACAGTTTTCAATGCCGCCACAAATGCCTGCAATGGGTGTATGCAGCAGTTGGCGTAAGTAGAATTTGATTGACTGATAGATTTGAGTAGTTTGGTATCAGTACCATTTTGTTTAATTTGAGTAGTTTGGTATCAGTACCATTTTGTAAATGCAAATATTTAATTGTCTTTTTCTTTTCGAAATTCATTAGCTCCTCTCCCGCCAATGCCCAACACTTGGAATCCAACACTTTACTATGGTTTCGGTGCACCACCACATCCATCAACGGCTTCACAGCCAAACTCAGCAACAACTACTCAAAGCGCTGGTCCCTCATTCACTCCTGGCGGTTTATTGCCACAATCTGCCGTGAACAGCGAATGTATTTGCAGCGCGGCAAATAGTGCTAGCAACGCACCAATTGTTACCGGCCCGACACCAACATCAAGCTCTACAAACACAGCTGCACAATTGGCTGCCGATCCGGTGTTGCTTCAGCAATTTGTGCAAACTCAACAAATGCTCATCAATTCTGTGTGCCAATGTAATCAAATGTTGTGGCATCAACAACGCGAAATTGATGCCTTGAATAACACAATACATGTGGTGAGTACGCATAGAAAGTATTTAAGGTTTGCATGAAAAGATGCCAGCATATACACAGTATCAATTATACTTTTTATTAAAACAAATATTTTTTACTTATATTCACTTTTTTAATTTTAAGAATTTTATTTTATAAATTATAAATATAATATTATAATAATTTTTTCTTTAAATAATTGTGTTTGTAACACTCTCTTCAACAGTTACAAGAACGCTTGCTCGCATTAACCGGTAGCGTCAACTCTGTACCACTACCTGACATGCCCTATACACTACGCGCTGAATCGGTACCACCGCCCGGCATTACAACTGGCACCTTACCTAATAATCTCTATTTGAATAGCACAAATCGTGCACAATCCGAGCAGCCAGCACTCTTTATGCCCGGCTTAACAACATCGACACGTAATAGCGCCTTCTCCAATTATCAACGACATCAGCAACAACAATTTCAACAACATCAGCAACGCGGCCACATCTCAACAGCCTACAGCAGTGAGACACAACAGCATAGCAATATTGCAGCAGCAAGTAGTACCAATACTGGTCTCTATAGCAATTTGAATAATGCTGCACAAGCACCGCCGCCACCACCTAATCAAGGACCATCACTTTACAATAACGAATTACCACAATCACCACCAATACAGGGTAATGCTGCTGGACCTGGACCGATATTTATGCATCATCATAATAATGCTATACATCAGAATAATGCCAATTTACGCACACAAAATCATTACGCCAACAATTTGCATCAACAACAGCAACTGCAACAACAACAGCATGGTCATAGTAATATTAATGTTGGCGGCGGTAATACGTTGAATAATCAAGTGCCGCCGGGTAATCGTGCCAACAATTATTGGGACAATTTTCGAAGGTAATTTCGATGCTCTCAAATAGGTAGAAATCAAAAAAAAAAGAAAAAAAAACCAAAGAAAAAAAGAAAAGAGAATATGCGAATATATATCCTTTCATTACAAACGTTCACAATCTCCTCTCTCATGCACTGTATTGTTTGCATTACTGCGTTGCAATTCCTCTTAAAAACTTCTGCACCAAACACGGGTACACTGAAGACTACTTACAAAAATTCATATGTATATGTGCCTAGCTCTGTACAATTATTTATTAGGGATTACTATTTTTCATTTATACTCGTATGCACTGATTTTCAATTTGTCACTTTACATCATAATCACATCGTCTATCCAAATTTCCGTAGCAGTGAATTAACTATGCACTTTAATAATGAATATATATACATATGTATATATTTCTACTATTAGCATCTATTAGTTATTTTTTGATTAGTTCTAAACACAAATTATATATTTTGTTATTGCTGATTTTTTATTGTATAAAAAATAGTTCATTTAATATATTATTTCAATAAAAAAAATGTGCAGCACATTTAAAACATAATATTTCATTTTTGAAACGTAAAAAAAAAAACTACTTAAAGGTGTGGGGTAAGTCTGCTTGCACTATTGAGGGTTTAGTTTGTTAATATATTTACCAAAATTTATGTGTTTGTGTTTATAAAACTAACATTTGAGTTTTAGTTTCAAAATAATATGAGGCACACTAAAATCTATACGTTGAATTTAAAACACTAACTATTGTATATATTTCTAAGTACTACCAATGTTAATATTATGTATACGTTTTTACCGTTTTGTCTTTCCATATATTACCAATTCTTAAACGTTTGTAGGAAAATTTACGCAACTGTACATCTCTTCATTCGCACTTAAACATTACAGTGTATTGAAAACTTTGAAAGCACAAAGAATTCTAATTTGAAGAGGCAGGTTAGGTTAAGTTACACTGGCTAGCTGCTACGCAGTGCATCGCCCTTTTTGTCCTGTTATAATGGTAGATGAAGGTTGAATCTATTTCGAGGTTCCGCAGTAATTGCATAGAATGTCGACTTGTTTGGCTAAGCTTAAGGGTATCCTGATATCTAGTTCTGGAATTTTTTCTACTAGTTCACTGTGCTGCGAAGCTTCTAGATGTCTGAGTCGTGTCGCTGGCTGGATGTTCTACGGTCTCGCTCATGTCTGCCGTCCTCCCCCAATAATGAGCCACTAGCAGGCTAAAGCCCTTCTGTAGTCCTTTAGAGTAGATATGCAGTGATTTCTTTGCAGGCGCCTTAGCACCTTTTTTCTGACATTATGCATTGTGAAATTAATATTAATTTGAATAGGAAAATTTTGTGAAAAAATAACCTCCTACTATATGCAGTTATGATCATCGTAGAGAACTGGCTTAACTTAGTTTAATAATCTCGTGAATTTTAGAAAACGCGTTAAATTTTACCAACAATTCGGAAGGAGGGAGGAATCCCTTTTCATAAGCCCCCATAGGTATAACAATGGTTAGGCTAAGAGCTGAATCCACTTTAGGATTTTGGAAAACGCATTTGGTTTTTGCTCACATATTACCTTTGGGTCCAAGAAATGATATGCAATTGGTTTTAAAGTGAAAAAATATTTTGATAAGCAGAACTTTTTACCTCTGCAGCCCCCTCAGAACGTGCGCTGAGTGCAATGAAAACTTTAAACGCGCTTTTCTCAAAATCACATCGCAGCGATTGTATCCGAAAATTTTGATGGCAGCTTCAAAATACATGTTTTTGGAAGCGCGTAGGCGTTTTTCGAGATGTAACCCATTTTTTTATTGTTTATAAAAAAGTTTCAATAGCTTTTCTTTCGATATTAATCTCTTTTAACTTTTGGTTTTGAACCACTAATGCCAAATGCTTTATAATTCCTAATAATCATCCAAATAAAAAAATTTGCAACGCTTCTCCCTTTTTTGTTTATTTCATTTTTTCAAAACCAGCTATTCGCGACAGAACTTGCTGTCGACTAATTCGAATAAAAGTAATGAAGAGCAGCAACAACAAAATCAGCAACAACAACATCAACATCAACTCTATATACAACAACGTCTTATGGACCAATTGGATGCGGCCGGACCGACACATTACAGTTCCCAACAACAACTACAGCAACAGCAACAGCAAACGCTCCGTCGCGCAACCGCAGGAACACTGCCTACAGCAGCGCTGACAACGAGCAACTTACAACAATTGCAACGCCAACAGCAACAGCAAGAAGAAGCAGTGCAACAGCAGCAGCAGCCATGTTCAACTCAAACACAAACGCAGCTGCAACCACAGCCACAACCACAGTTGTATCGCTCGTTGGGCGTCGATAGCAATAGCAATAGTTGCAACAATTTGAATTTCGAACGCAATGCGAATGAGAATAAATATCTACGCACATTGCAACGCTCGCATATTAATCGCTATCAACAACAACAGCAACAACAACAACAACAAAATCCTAGCTTATCAAACTCGTTGTATAGCAATCACAACAAGCTGTATCAGCCATCATCGTGGCTTCCACCTGTTGCGTCAACCGCGCCCGGCACCAATTGCGCCGATACGAGCACCGATGCTGATAATGTCGAGCTCGATGCCTACGATAGCTATAACATCATCGATAGCGACTTGGCAGCGCCCTACGCTCACTTGAGCAGTAATATGGGCGCTAATGCCAACAATATATTGCGTAACATGAATGTTAACTTCGGCAACAGTCCACATTATCAACGCAATAAGGTGCTGACAAAGCCGAATTGTCGTGGCGCCGAAGCTATGGAGCAACACAATCCGAATAGAGCAGTACTCCAGCAGCAGCAACAACAGCAACACCACCAACGCATGTTGACGCAACACCAATTGGCTTTACGCGCTCAACACCGGCTCGATCAGTCCACTTTGCTGCCCTTACGCAATATGGCGGCTTTTACGCAATCGCGTTACCTAGATTTGCTGCCTGCAACAGTCAGCGAAGCGGTGGCCTCAGCTGAAGTGCAACTGCGTAATCGCGAGCGTGTCGATATGTTGCTTCGCACTGTGAGTGCTGAGGATGATGAGGACGTCGTAGCTGCATTGGCAACCAGTCGAAATATGGGCGGTCCGTACATGTCAGCGAATGCGAATGACCTGCATTTGCTGGATAGCAACGAAATCGGCAACAATACACCGAACATTGATAACGAGGATGCTGATATGGAAGCGGACGGCGATGGCGATGGTGAACTTGAAGCTGAGTTAAACGCCGATATGGATGTAGGGAACGACGAAGAGGACGATGATACCACATCCGAAGAAATTAAGCGCAATTTACTGGTTAATGCTTTGAAAAATGATAAATTTACGACGAAGTTCTACGAGTCCATTAAAGAAGATGTTTTCCGGCGGCTAGAACGTATGCTATTGGAAAAGGAGACAACTGAGATTAATGGCCGGTTAGCCGATGGACAAATTCGTAATGGTTTAGCGGACGCTAATGATGCTTCCGCAGGAGCAAACGCAGCTGATGGATGTGCGGAAATGTCGGGTGCCTCTTCGCTGCTTCGTGATCCCACGCGTAAGTTCAATTTGAATGCGCGTATGGGTAATCAGCAACAACAACAACGCATGCAGCAATATAAGCAGCAACAGGAACAACAACAACAGCAGCAGAATACAGTGCCGTATGAGCATACCAACTTCGCTGCTGGACGCACAGCAAAAGCAAACACTTACGAAAACAAGCCGGCATCCAATGATAACCCCGACGCAGAAGATGATCAGCACGCAATGCCCGACGCTGCTGCAATGCAGACATATGCCAATAATCGGCGAGCTGTTGAAATGAAGGATAATGCTGAAGAAGATGAGGATGCGGCAAATAATGCCGACACAGAAAGCAATAAAGCGGATAATGAAGATGCAGCAGCTGCAACGGCCAGTGGTGGTGGTAACGCAGAAAGCGAACAGCCGGAAGAGGACGACGTGAGTTACAACAACAATAATAACAATAACCTCGATGTAACCAATAATGGAACAGCAACTGATGGTACAGCTCAACCAATAATGGCCGCTCAAAATAGCTCTATGGATGGAAATCCGGTTGCCAATTGGCGACAAAATATATTGAATCATGTGACGTTAAATAGTCCCACAGCACCGGCAGCGAATACTGGCAAGAAGCTTAAAAATCAGGCAGAGCCTGCCAACAATAACAGTGGCGCAGGCGGTGATGCGCAGGTGAGTGATTAACTAAAAAAATAACACATTTCAAATTATTCATGTCTTTTCTTCTACTTGCAGTCCACTGTCGCCGGCAACAACAACATGGCCGCCAACAATATGCATTTAACCTATTAAGATGTACTTTTATGAAAACTAACAATATGCATTTAACCTACTACAGCGAACTTATCACATACATAATTACACGCATACGCAACCAAACGCACACCAATACCCAAATCAATGACACTGTGCTCGTCGAGATCGCTAAATTGACCGCTTGCGCTGTACAGAAGTTCACACCAACTCTGGTGAATTATAAATCACTGTCCATAGCATCACCGGCACATATATCACCCAAAAAATTCTATATGAAAATTAAAAAACTTGCTGCGCCACGTCAACGCGACGAGTTCTTGCAATGGTATCAAAACTATTTGGAGAATCTTTTTCCAGGCGCACGCTTAGAGGCGGAGAAGCGCCGTGCCGATGAGTTGAGAAATGCCAGTGCTGGTGGTGTTGCGTCGGGAGTTGAACTGGAATTGCCACGCAGGTGTGATAAATTGGAGAATCAACAGCAAGAACAGCAACGTCATGCGCAGCAACAAAAACAATTGCGACAACCACAGCAACAAACAACTAGCGAGAGCAGCAACAAAGATAACAATGATGAAGATTTGGCGGAGGCTGATCAAAATTCGGTCAATAGCAGCAGCAATTCTAGTAACATTTTTTTGCTACCCCAAGCAACGTCCTCTACCCTTGCATTGCCGCGAGAAAAAGAATGTGAAAATAACGAAAATCCAGACGCCGATGAAAGTGCTATTGAAGTGGACCTTGAAGCGAACTCCGCGGGCGCTACATCTAGTGGTTCATACGACTTGATGCCGCTGTCAGTTGCTGGTGCTGGTGCCGGTGCCGCTGCCGTCACAGTTACCGACGAGACTATATTTTCTGCAGTGCAACAACAACAGCATCACAATTTGTTACGCTTTGGTACAGATACAGCAAGTGGTGGCGTGCCAGAACTAGAACCAGATGAAACCGTCACCTAGTTAACTGCTGGAATTTTTGTAATGTTGCAATTGCTTATCGTTGCGCTGTTTACTCTCGCGAACTTGATCCGAATATGAGCAGCATTGGTCTTACTCTATGACCACTAAAGACTTGCTAAACTAAATTACGCATTGCTTACAAATTTTTGAATATTTACCCAAACCTAACGGTAACTGTAGTTGAGAAAATTGAAATAACTACGTAAAATTATATATAAAAGTATGCAGAACTGTATGTAGTCTGTAGCAATTATTATATATTGTATGTATGTATGTGCGTATCAGTATATCTTTATGTCGTGTGATGTCTAAATTTTAATTATTTATAATAACATAAAAAATGCTTTATTACTTTTTTAATACATACATACATATTTACTCGCACATATTATATTTATATGTATTGACCTAATTGATTTTTCGTGGCTTATACGGACTTGTGTGATTGTACTCTAATACATTCCCGAAATATTCTTACTAAATATCTCCCCACACCTATTCCACTAAATTCACATCTACATATGAATGTATGTCAGTAAGACTAATTCTTATGTATGTATGTCAAAATTAAAATTATAAAATGTATATGTAAATTTGAGCGTAAATAAAATAAATTAAATCGTTCTGCAAAGAAATTCCTCAGAAGCATTCTCAATTATATTTTATTTAGGAAATATTTTACTAAAATCAAAGGTAAGCTTTAACTTCAATTTTTTTGTTGTTGTAGCTATTGTCCGACTCCGCTTAGGAGCAGACAAGGTTAGTCTAAGTCAAGTCATCGAGGACACCTAACGGAAATTTCAGAAATTGATCTGTTTCACCGGGTCCGGACCAGAGGGAAAGGGGGTTATGTTAATAGGTTTTAAAAGGCGTAGAAATAGGTAACTAGGGTTCGTATGAGGTCTCATTGCATGCAGGGCATGGATTGCCTATGTCGGGTTCAAGTCTGGACACGTAGGAATCAAGTCTACCACAATTTCCAGACCTTTATTGTGCCATTACTACTCGGATATCTCCAGGCAGCTACAGCTCTAGCCTTACATACTGTCGATGATGCGGTCCAAGACGACACTTTCTGATACATAAAATTATTTATTAATTTATACGTGTTCCACCAGTCAGAGAGAGACGTAACCAAACAGAAACTTGCAATGCAACTTTGCTGTTAACTCCACATTTGCCCTTTTCGAATCAAGTCGTATCGATCATGAAAACAAACCTTTACGAAAACGATGAGATAGGACCATATGACCTATGCTCCGACAGCATGCTGCCCTCCAGTCGCCTTGCGTGTATTATGTCGTAGTAGTAGTAGGTACGTGGAACATTGCTGGTACATCACTAATCGTCGTATTTGTATCCTAATGGAAAGTGTAGGTTTTCAGCGTTTTCATTGGTTTCGTCTGACCAGAAATATGGAGTCGTTTTCCTGCCTTAAATATATTCACTTTGGGGCCATTAGCTGTGTGGTTGGTTCAACCTACCAGTTTCAGTTATTAGCGCGCTGTGCTTCTGACGAACCCGGAGCATTTGTCAGTTCCGCACATAGCTTTTTGTTTTTATGAGCTTGGAAGAGGGATTGAGACCTTCAGAATCCGTGGTCTTGTCGCAAGTGGATTTTAACTTTCGTTGTGAAAATGGAGTATATCCTATGTTATTGCCCTCGCAATGTTAAGGAATTGCAGTTTGGCGTTTGTTGGTCCAACGGTTCCGTTTAGTGCTTGGAGCATTGTACGTACTTCCCAATGCGTAACCTTTAAAGAGATATTTTGATAGGTCCGAGACTTTCTCATCTGCGTCACGCTGATACCCGGTGTTCGGATAAGCATAGCTCGATTTCTGATCGGCCTGCGGTCTGCTTTGGTAGTTTTCAGGACTCATCGTACTCCTTCGACATGCTGATGAAAATCGTTTCGAACGGGACGGTGAAAGTCTTAAATGTACGGCAATGAAAAAGTTGGAGAACTCTGGCTGTTCGACGACCGCGGCAACCGGTTCTAAGCACTGAAATTACGCCACATTTCATACAGCTAAAGATTGTCTATCTGTCTACGACCGAAGCTCGTTCAATATATAAGGCTCTTATAACCAACTAGTCGCAATTTTCACCTTTGACATCAAAGTTTTCGGCACGCAATCAAGCTACCTAGTCTCCTGAGTCTGGCATTCACTTAACCACGGCGCGGTTTTGCAGTGCTTTTACATTTTTTTAGTAAAAAAAAATATCGAAATTTCACCCCATTTTTAAATTTAAATAAATTTTCAAACGAATGAAGATTTACAGAACCGTTTCCAGAAAAAATATTTTAAACTTTCATGCACGTGATATGAGGCGTATCCAGAAGGTGAGAGTCCTGAAGTTTTGTAAGTTTTACATTTTTTATCTAAACAAAATAATTTCGTAGTGTTTACTTTGGTAAATCATGTAAGCTATTTTTCGACATTCCTTTCTACCCAGGTGGTGAAGAGGGGTGTCGACTTTTTTATGCCTTCCTCAAAGTAATTTACCGTCAACACCTACACCTTCGTACACTTCTATACCTCTCCCTTTACCATTTCTTCTCACCAGTTCGATTATTTTCTGGATATGCCACTTAGTTAGACCAAAACAGGAGTATTAACACCATCGAATTAAATTTAATAAAATTAACAATTAATTACCTCATTACCATCCTCTTCCCAACAACAAAGGTAGAAGTTTGAAATAAATTGTGGGTAAAAATTTTTAAAATTCTCTGAATAGTTTATATTTACTTTAAATTTAAATTTTTAGTACAATACAAATACATACATATTTAACTTTAATTTAGAAATTATCACAAGAAATAACAATAAACAAAAAAATAAGTTCTTTTATTTCCATCGAAATGTATAAACTAAGAACAAAAAATATATACGTGTATGTCCATTAATCTTATACATAGTATTTACGGATACTCGTATTTATATGTATGTACATAATTGTGTTTATTCATTTCGTGTTTAGCATTTAATTTTAATCATTAAAATGCTTATTAATAATAATGTAATAAAATGCACTTATTCCTTGTTTTCACTTGGTTTACTCATTTATTTAAAGTTGAATACATATATATTTTGCAAGGCATTGGTATTCGATGAGCAATAACAAAACATACATATGTAAATGATGAAAAGCACTTAATAAATACATATTTACTTATTTTTGATTATAATGAGTTAATAATAGGGAAGAAATGCTTGCAAATATATTAATGCTAGAGCTTTAGATTAATAAAAAAAAAATTATATCTAAATATTCTATTATTGATGCAATACAGGATATACAGGATACAGGATATTTTGGCATAGACTTATCGTGTGTGTGTGTGGGTGCTTGTGTGTGCATGTAGCATTTCAATTTGCTTTCTTTAGGTATCTATGTATGTATTTATGTAACATTGTGCCTTTTGAATTCTGCTACATAATCAAAGCAACAAATTTCAGAAAACTTATAAAGTAAAATTGTTGGGATTGTAAAAGTTTTCCAAAAATATTAATTTTGAGCTAAGCTGCCACCTTTAATTAAGAACATGTTGCATGTTATAATCCAACGATTGAGAGTCAAATCTGTGCCACGCCATAATTGTAAACATTTAAACGAATGTCGTCTTACTTTATTACTACTTTTGTGACCGTAAAATCATTTGAATTTTCATTTTAGTTTAAGGTGAAATGTGATTTTTAAATTTTTACTATAGAATTTATAAATACAAATGATTTTTTTTATTTGTTTTTTTCTTTTGTTTTGCAACCATTTTGTTGCGCACAATTTTATATATGTATGTATTTGAATAAAGTTATTTATTTATTTCCCATTAATATAGTAAAATTTTTATTTTACAATTCTCATATATGTATTGTATGTATGTAGTATACATGCGTATGTATTTTCTTTTATAGACTTGACTTTTAATTTATGAATTTTTTGCAGTTTTGTTAAGCGAACTTTTTTATTTTCACTTTTTATTTCTATATTTTAATTATTTATTTATTTATTTTTATACATATTTATTTTCTCTTACTTATATATATTGTACATATATTTATTTGTTTATATATATTTTTTTATTATTATATATATTTATTTTTTATCATTTTTTTATTATCTGTATCTCAACTTTATTTTAAAATTTAGGGCATAATATTATTTCAAAAATATTTTACTATCAGTTTTGACAGTTTATTTGCGTAATACATATAGTGATGTTCATAAATGGTTTTGTACACTTTTTTTTGTAAATTTTTTATAAATAGATTTTCCATATTCTTTGCACCCAGAAGGGAGTAGAATTATTATTTTAGTCAGTTTTTAATGTTACTACAAGCACATACAATATGTATATTACATAGCTTTTTTTTAAACATTTGACTTAATTTTGTATGATATTTTATTTTTTATTGCTCTCTGCAGCACATTTTGATAACTGTGTAATATTTTGGGTTATTTTTTTAATAATTTATTTTTAGTTTTATTGAAACTTTTTTTTTTTTTTGTTATTTTGCATTAAATTTTCGGTCCAAGCAATAGTAAAGTTGAAAATCTTATACAATTATAAACATTGTGTTAGTTTTAACGCAATAAAAATTAAATATTCATACATAAATATGTATGTATATATTTTTTATTTTCTTCTTTCGGTTTACGTTTCCAATGATGCAACTGAATTCAAGTAAACAATTACTATTTTAAAAATCAATTGCAAGCCGGGCGCATGAGCAGGAAAATATAAAGCTTAGCTGATAAAAAAAATAGCATTGCATAATTATTAATTTCTTAGAAATAAAATTATATATGCCCACATGTTACATAAACAAACATATGCATATGCAATAATAATAATAATCATAATTAAAATTAATAGCTAGACATTTATAAATAATTACGTATATTTTTATATATGTGTAATTTAATTGTATAATATATGATGTATGCAGTATATAGTATATTTATATTTGTATATATGTATAATGGTCTTAATTTACTGCTAAAACTCGCACGCTCACCACTTGACTCCTATAAAACTATTTTTGTTTTTTTGTTTATGTGTTTTTGTTCATTTACAACGATATGATAAGCCGAATATACAATAATTAGTATGACGTAATATATATCGAACTAAATTTTATATTTCATTAATTTTTAATAACGTAATACATAATATTTTTTTCAATAACTTTTTGTCAACGCATATTTTATAGTTATTTAACTTTTTTCTGAATAGAAAAATTAACTTTTCAGTTTTTTTCAAAATTTTGTTTACTCTGATATTTTTGTAATTTCTTATTACTTTCCTTAAAGATTTTCATATTTACAATTTCTTCCCTTTTTGTACCACCTTTAATCAGACACATATAATAACGTATGTATGTAAGTTCTTTAATTCACTACAGATTTCTAATTTTTTATACTTATTACACGAGACGTAGATTTTCGTTTTTTTAATTATATTTTTTATTTATATACACGCATTTCTTGGTATTCAAACATACAAACTGCAAAAACAATATTCGAATTTTTCAGCTGCCTTGTTTACCAAAACAAAATATGCGCATGCAAAATATATGTATGTTTAGCTAATAATTTGTATGTTTTACTAATATTTATATTTATTTAATTCTTCTACTAAAAGTGTAAGGCTTGCATTGCCAATTACTATTTTGATTTTTTTAATTTTTTTTAATTTTAAAATTTTTTCTCTTTTTCTTAAATTTTAAATAAAATGATTTTATTGTTAATTTTTCCCGTATAGTTTTATTTATTTAGATAAATACCATTTAGAAACAATAAACATTTTGCGTTAATTGTGCAATTGTTAAGAAAATTATTATTATTTTTTTTTTTTTTTGCATTATCTAAACGTAAGTAATTATTCAGTTTCTAAAATAGAATGCATTACTATTGTAAACAAAATTCTGCGTTTGAAAACTGAGTCTATACATGCTTACATACAAGTTATGTTCAAAAGCATGCTCTTTGTATTTGCTCAAGCGCATTCTCGCTTGGCTAGTTTAGTTTGTAATTGACCGCGCATGCGTGCAGAAGAAATAAAAAAAAGAAAAATAATAAAAAAAATCGAATAAAATAAACTACACAATTTTTTTTATTTTATTTAAAAACGAAACTTACATACAAATATGTACTTAAAAAGACTAGGATGAGTGAATAGTTCAACCGTTCTGTAGGAAAAATTTATGTGTGTGCATAAATATTTTTAACAGAGCAGCCAAAAAAAAAAGCTTCGGCAACAAGAAATTGCAGTCTATATATGTATACAATTTAATATATACACATGTAGAACGTAATTATAAAAATAGAATGAAAATTAACTGTAGATACCTGATGAGCACTGATAATCAATTAAAAAATAGAAACATAATAAAAATTCTCAAGACATAATTTGTATGTATCCGTTTTCTTGCGTTTTCAAATAATATTACACAATTATGTAAAATTATTATTATTTTTTTTTTTTAATTAAGAAAAGTATCGTTTATTCGCACTCCAAGATAGACGAGCGTCTGTCATTACCTTTTCTTTTAATTTTAGAACTAACAAAGCATGACACAAAAAATATATACACGCATTTGTGCCATTTTGATGGATTTTTAAATGAAAGCAAAATTTTTTTATACTCCACTTGTACATACTTATTGGAGTTTCAGTTAGTTCTCTAGTCAAATATATGTAACTTCTACTTCGTGTGGTACTCGTTTCCTACATAGTTTTTCTTCTTAACTAATTTTCAAATTTTTCTTTTTTTTCCATACAATTTCCATATTTATTTATTTGTTTCATTCATTTAAATATAAATACATGCCATAGGTATGATAATATATTTATTAGCGTTTCATTAAAAGAGTGTACATATAATCTGTTACTGGCAATACTTTTTACCATTCTACAAATTTTTTGCATTTTCCGATTTTACAATTTAATATACAAGTATGTGAGTACGTATAATTACCTAAACGTAAAATAATTAATAGTAATAAAATCAACATAAAAAAGTATACAATTAAAAGACCAATGGGGATCGTATGTAATATTATTCCAAATACGTTAGATAGGCAATCTTAAAAAATTCAACTTTTACTATATAATTCGATTTAAGATTTTGCGCATTATTATTAAACGAAAAATCATTACAAATTTAATTTAACTAACAAATCTCTATATATACACTGACTATTAGTTATTCACTTACGCCAGCTAATGCGTTGAACCAAAACAATTGGTTGCATTTCACTCACATTCCATTTCGAGCACACAAACTTATCGTCCTGGTCTCTATCAAACACTTTAGTGCATCCAAACCCCGCCTTATCCATCTCCTTCCTCGTAACATTTTCATCTTCTTGCCGTGAGGCCTCTTCCGATACAACTCCGGGTTGTAATATTTCGTGCAAACGAACACTATGAGACCGCCAGGATGAACCAGGCGTAATTGCCAACTCATTTTGTATATAATCATTTTGTATAAAATCATCACACTCATCTTTAACTGTCTGTTGGTTTAGCATATTTACCTGACTATGCTATTTCCGTTTCTTATTAGAAGTGCGCTCTACATTCTTCGCACGAGTTGTTGGTGCCTTTGCAACAGCTGTTGCCTTTGAAGATTTGGTATTTTCCGGCTTTTGCGCATTATTAACAGTATTGCGCTTTTTGCTTCCAGACACTGGCGTTTTCCCTTTAGATTTATTTGGTGCAGTGTTTGGTATGTTTGGTTTCTTATTACGATTTCGATTTACGGCGCTCACAGACCGTCCCCGCTTACTTGTAGTGGTCGCAACATAACTATCTTTTTCGCCATCCTCATTTTGCAAGCACATTTCGGCATCGGGTGGCACAAAAACTTTGATTTGTGCCATATTATTTTTCGAGTACGTACGCGATATATTGCCCAAATTTACCGGTGGCACAACAGCACTTGCCGGCAGCACCACACAGCGCTCGACATCCGCTATATTAGCTTTAGGTGACTGCAAATGACTACAATTATAAACAAAACTACCATTCAATTCACCAGCATCGCCAGCCGCCATACGACTACGTGCGGATAGCGGCGATTGTGAATTGTTGCGTTTTGTGTGTGTGTGATTGCGTCGACGTGCAGGTGGTGGTTTGATCACTGGTTCAGTGGTAGTTGATGGCGAGCTGCCACCACTATTACCACCTACGCTGCTCAAATTTGTGCTGGTGCTGGCTGCCGTTGCACTACCAACGGTTAGAGTATTAGCATGAATGGGGAATATTGCATTATTTGTGACAAATTGTGCGGCAGATAGGCATGATTCGGAGGAAAACGTCTTTCGTCGTTGCCTAAGTGCATCTTTATTGTTGACATTTTCAATCCTATTTTCGCACATTGTGAATTCATCGGAAAATTTGCGTGAACGTTTGCGCATATAGTACGAATTCTCTGGCAAATGGTGCGTAGTGTCTATTTGGCTATTTTGCACCACCATAGCTGCCTCCTCCTCTATGGATGCGGAAAATGGCAAATCGACTGATTTATTGACAGCATTTGCATTAGAACGCTTTGATGATGCGTACACGATCTCTTGCGTTGATGATACTTCATGATCGGAGGTCGATATTGCTGTAAGGAATACAAGTTGTGCGTGAAGTTTAGAGTGTTGTCTTGATTTTTTTTTTTTTTGATTATTTTTATTATTACAATTAATTAAATATTTTAATTTTGAATTTGAAAAATGTTGTTCTTTACTAAGCAGCGAGGTCTCGACACCACAAAAAGAAACTTTTAATGTAACCCACCTGGGGCGTTTTCCATAAGAATTCGGTAAAGTCTAACGCCAATGAATGGAAAAGTCATAATAGAGTCCAACAATATTTACTAGAGAAAGAATTCGAAACATATACGTGATAGAATGGTCTCGTGACATTTATATTTTGCGCTCGTTTACTGTACTTAATGTCTAATGGAATTTAGTTAACCACACTGATATTAAAATACAACTTACCAGCTTTGAAAAAACGTTTGTTTATTTGTTATCTGTCTTTTCTACGAGGTCAGCCAAGACATAGTCTCCGATAGAATTATCAAGATGACTAATACCGCCTACGAATTTCCTAAAGTCTGAGAGCTCAATATCCTGCACACTAATAAATTCAGTCTTCGAAGGAAAAGTCTCGTGCATGTTACTTTCAACCTATCCTAATCTACTTTAGCTAACCGATTTTGTCCATATCCCAAACATCGCTTTACATGGTTTTAGGAACACCAGAAGTCCGCTGTGCGACATGTATAGTGTAGGAGGGAAGTATTGATTCTATCCACTCGTGACTTTCAGATAACTCAATATCTTCTCCTCCTCCCTTTTCCTGGGGGCAGTCTGAAAGGATTAGGGGTTTTCATAAAAGAGTAATACTTACCACTTGCCGGCGTCGGTGAGTTTATTATTTCGGCGATCTGTTGTTCTTGACTTAAAGGCGGTGACAAATGATTGCTCGACAAGCGTTCGTCAAATTTAACTTGCACTTCTGGTGCAACTAATGGAATAGTATTATCCGTTACTATTTCGGCTTCTTGCAGCGGAACGATTGCATTCGTTGAATCATTTTTTGGTTTCGGTACCGACTTCTGAGTTAACACTTTAGCATCTGCGGTTTGGGATGTTTGCGGCATTTCTTTTACTAATGACTCAATTAATACGGGCTTTGATGTGGCTGTCGGTTCGATTGGTCCAATCTCCGCTGCGGCATCGTTTTTGCCTGTGGGTGTCGGTGCACGTGTTGATATTGCTGGTGGAGTGGGTACATCTCGGCTCTCGCCATTGAGCAAATAAGCAGGTAAAGTAGGTGCGACCTCGAAGCTCATCAACGTCATTGTGGCTTCTTTAATCACATGTACGGTGGTGGCATCAACAATACTCTCTAACTCCTTCATTTTTTGTACACGCTCCGACAACTGCGACAATAGGCAATCACTGCTAGATTCCTCATCTTCAGTCAAGCAACGTGCGCCGGCATTCGGCAAGGAGTCGAGCACATTTTGATCTGCAGCCGTTGTTGGCATTGCATTTTCGGTCGTTTTACCGCTTTCGTTAGGCGTTATTTCATTATTCTCATGCATATTATTTTGTAAACCAATCGCAGTCGTTGGATCAACATCAAACTGCATATTGCACAAAATTGACTCACTCGATACAGGTTTACTTGCTTTCGGCAAAGCCAAACTTGTGGGTGGCGGCGTATCATCATTGACGTTTTGCAATTCAAACTTATTTACGTTTGTAGTATCTTCGTTGATGACTTGACAACCGGTGTCGATGGGGGGTGGAGGTATCGTCGAATTGGGATTGACTATTGACAAAGTATCACTGTTAATTGGTGGCGTACAAGCTTCAATAACTTTTTCAGGCAATTCAAGATCTGCCGATGACTTTTCGGTGCACGTTAAATTAAGTTCAGTATTGAAAACCTCATTCGAAGCGAATTGCGTAGATTTTGGTGTATTTGTAGCGAGCAACAAATCCCCCAATACCCTCTTTTTGATATGCCGACCAGGTGTGACATCCACAACCTGCGTAACTACAGCACCATGTGTGGGATTTCTTTTAGTCTTACTATCTGTACAATCAATTTCCATAGAAGCATTTTCCATCGGACCCTTTGCAATGCTTTCTTCACAAACACTCACAACAACTACGTCCATCGGTGTATGCATTTCGTTCTGCACCTCCAATACAATTTCCTGCTGTTTCTCGCCATTTTCCTCTGGCTGCTGCACATTTGTTACTTCAGCTTCAGATGGATTCCCCATGTCTTGGCTAGTCTTCGCACATCCAGCTATTGCGCTATCGACAACTTTCCCTTTCGTTTCCTTTTTGCTTGCACACTGCACTTTCTCAGCCGATTCATCAGTGTTTGTCAGCGTCGCGCTGTTATTGTCCAAATTGTTCAATTTTTCAGTTAATTTTAACTTTTTGCTGCCTTGTTGTATTTTCCGTTGCGGCTTTCGTCGTACGCCTTTATTCACACGCGTCTGAACTGTTTTCAAAGACGGTCTAGATGGTGATACTTGATTCGGCGCAACGAGTAACACATTTTCAACAGTTTTCCTAACGTTGACACCATATTTTTCATCCATTTCTAGCAATTTTTCTTCTCCTTTCCCTTTAAATGACTGCACGCGTTCGTTTTTGTTAGCAACAGCTTCTAGAGGGTTTTCTGGGTGCGTTAGGACTTCCGTTGGTGTTGCATTTGTTTCGTGCACTTCGAAGAAAGCAGGCATTGCAGACGCAGGTCGCATTGACTTTGGTGCCTTGTCAGTGTGCACCTTCTCTGGCGAGCTTGGCGGTGTGGCATTAATGTTAAAGTGTTGCAAACGTTTCAGACGCACCTTCACTGCTTTCGTGCGAGTTGATGCATTCGATAGCCATGAAACAGCGTTGGTCGGGAAATCTGTATTGCTAGAAGGATCTTGCATGCTGCGGCGCACCTTCACGCGGTTACGCCTGCTGAATATTGATGGCGAAAGCGAGGGTGCGCGCGCTAAGCGGGGACGTGATGTCAGAGGCGAAGAAAATGAAAAATTCGCTTTACTAGGCAAGTCATTCTCAACGGTTTGCACACTTGGCGCAGCAGTTGGAGCCTCAACGCTATTCATGGGAGTCATTGATCTGGCGTATCGCGTATGCTCTATGCGTATAGGTAATGTGGATGGTGCGTTTAGTTTCGGTTTTCCTGTTAAAATCGTATTATTCGTCGTTGATATCTCCTCTGGCATGAACGTGACATCCTTTACAGATGTTGTCTGCGCTTTTATCAAAGTATGCGTTGTTGTTATTGCAAGTTCGTTGTGCATTTCTGTATTGGTCTGCACATCCTGACTACTCGCTTTTGTACTCTGGTTTTGCACTTTTAAAGAACTAATTTTTGTATTGGACGCCTCTGCGTATAATCGTTTGGCGGAATTTAGCTTTTTGTTTTGCGTTTCGGTTATTTTCGTATCTTTTTCAACCGCACTCACTTCCTCAGCAGCCGTTTCAATCGGTGTCTTGTTGTTAGCCACCAAATCAAAGGCAACACCTATCACCCCTTGTGTTGCATCAATGCCATTTATTTCCGCTTCATTTTCAGCTCTGTCAACTTCATCCTCACTTTCATTTGGTTTGCGATTAGGTGTTGTAGAGCGACTTCTTACTTTCGGTTTCGTATTGAATTTAACATTTCTTTCTTTCACTAGCAAACGCTTACGATTTAAAAGCGTTGACGATTGTTGCTGCAGCATTGGGTGGCTACGCTTTTGTACTTGTTGTGCTTCATTCGCCTCGGCCTGCTGCCTTTTAATTTCGGCAATTTCAGCCATCAAACGTTTGCCCTCATCACGTTTTTGCTTTAAAATATTCTGAAACTCTTGGCGTTTTAATGCGCGCTCTCTTTGCATTTCTCGCTGTTTCTCCAGCAAACTATTGATGAAGGCCACCTCCTGACGCTTGTATTTGATGACTTCCTCATTCTCTTGCAATATCACAACGCATTTCTTACTCAATTTTTGATCAGCGGCAATTTCAGGTGCAATAGTTACGGGACTGTTTGTACGCTCAGTGGTGACTGGTGAAGATGACTGATTGCGCATTGGCGATAGCGAGTTCGCCACTGATTGTGGTGAATTTGTGCCAAGTCTGCGCGGCCCCAACGTTGTATTAGCTTTTCGTGATATATGCATAGATTTGGGTCCAGCTTTATTTTTGGGCTTGTTCTCGAGTGTCGTATTGCTACCGCTAGGTCCAACTGGCGCGCCGCTGATTGGTGCAGGTTTATTGATTTTATAACTGCTAAACAATGTTGCGATTGCGTTGATATGCTCTAAATAATTCGGAAAAATATAAAAAATATTCGTAAAATATTAATGAGTTCATGAAAAATTATGTAAAAAAAAAAATTAATTAAATTTGATGCATGTTTGTGAGGTGATTAGAGAAAAAAAGTCCAAATTATTAATTGATTTGTGGAGATAGTAGAATTAATTTGTAAATATTCTCAAAATATATATGCACAGTTACTAGTCGGACGAGAGTAGTGAAAATTGTAATTAATCTAGCCAATGATGGTATTATTAATCGCTAATCTATTTTTGTACGAAACCAAAAAAAAAAAAATCAAGAAATGGTATGAAAAGCACGAATAATTAAATTAAAAAATACATATTTTCGCAACACTACTCAGAGATTTAAGCATGTGAATATTTTTTTGCAAAGAATAATTACATACATTGGTAGATGCTTGGGTATGTGATAACTTCTTCTGCTGCTACCAACCCGAAAAACATTACAGTTTAAAACGTTTCAATGGAAAACATGTGAATGATTTTGCCGCATAATAATGCAAATTTTTAGGCCGAAACAAAAAAAAAACCAACGTCAACGTGTGGGTTTAAGCGAAAGGTAATTGGTTCTACGGTGGTGACATTTTTTAAATTTCTATGCGTTAATTATATTAAATAACCGTTTTTGTTTGGAAAAATTAGAAAAACATAAAAATTTTCGTCTAAAATACATTTGAAAAGAGGAGGGTAGGTTGCTTGTTTTAATAACTGGACAATAGAATAACATTTGTTCGAGCTTTCCACCAGGTCAACTACGAGTAGTAAGAAGTTGCGATTAGAAAATATATTGAATTCTAAAATTTTCTACTGCTATGCTGATTTTAATGCACTCATTTGTGGGAAACTGACAATGAAATAAAAAAAAATATATATTTTTTTTATGCGTCGCCGTAAGGAGTTGGAGGAGAGGGAAGAAATTTTATTCAGGTTTCAGAACTGCAAATAATAATTCAGTTTCAGATATAATTATTTTCGAAAGAAATATAAGATTACAGTATTTGGAACATTAAAAATTGTAAAATTGTTGTCGTGCCTTTCATACCAATGTTCAATCCTACAGTATTATTATACCCTCTTCTACTTAAGCATCATGCTAAAATGTCGCAACAAGTGGTAAGTACAATATGTAAGAAGATAATTCAAATATTTCAAAAAACGCTCCAATTTTGTAAAACTACATGTGTTATATAAGATTAAATTGTTATATTATTATACATGCCAATTTTTAGAAATTTAGTTAGGTTATGATTTGGTATGCGTATTACAAAATTGGAACAAAGATTTTGTGATAAAGTACCAAACAATTACAAAGAATTACTAATTACAAATTACATATACACGAATATGGTACTTATTTACGTAGAAATATAAATAACTTATCTAATAATCGAAATTTTTGTGAATTTATCACAGTTTATTTCATTCAAAAGGCAAATAAGTGTATGTATATAACAAAAATGCGTACTTTATACATTTCTACTCAGGTCCAACTTCATAGTAAATCAAGTAAACGCATTGACCAATCAATTATGCCTATATATTGTTGTATTTATATATAATTAGGGTGTAAAAATATTAAAATAAAATTTACTGGTCATATATAACTGTCGATATATGTATATTGAACGCAGAAGCTAGATATTTCATAAACCAATATATTTAATATTTTGGGTAAATATGTATATTTTATTTATTGTTCGACATTTCTTCACTTGTAGGAACTTGCAGTGATAATTTCTGTCTGTCGCAGTAGCAATATTATATTATTAGAGATATAATAATATAGTAATGTTTGATTTAAGTTCAAAGCAAGATATTTTTGCTTCAATTATGCAAATAATTAATGTAATTCAACCCATCAGCTGCGTTCTCGTCACACATGCCACACTACTAATTGTACATATACATTTTGAATTGTAATGATCTTTTTTTTTTTTTTTGAATTTGTTTGTTGATTAGAGTTATAGAGAAAAATATATTAAAAAATGTGTATAAATGCATGTAGAGTACTAATATACATACTAATTTTAACCACTAGGTATGTATGTATTTACCAGACAAACGTTGAGTGAGTTGCTTGCATTACTAGACAGAGCAGAGTAGCGCGTAGGAATAGTATTTACAAAATAGTTTGACGGAGATTTACTTTTCTTTTGAATTTGAAGTTTTTTGTTTAATTTGAGGTTTTTTCTTTTTTGAGTTTTAGATTTGATTTCAGTTAAATGTATTATCATCATTTTTAGTACTAGTATTTAAATAAATTTTCTTGAAAACATTTACATAAAAATAAAACCAATCTTAAGGGTAAGTTGAGCTTAAAGCTTCTAGTGCTCATGATTTCTAAACAAAATATTTACAAAAACATATATACAAAATATAACCAATTCATTTAAAAAAGGTATACAAAATTTATGTTACATTTTCTATATATAGTATACATATGTATATATCTGTAGTCTCTTCGTAAATGCCGCCAGTACTATGGTATTTTTTTTCATAGAAATATTTCATTTTAATTCTTTAAATGACGGATTTGTTTGTTGATTGTTGTGGAGTGTTTAGTTGATTGTTGTTCAAGTCGTAAGCGAACTGCAAGCTTGTTAGATGTTATCCATAATCAAAAGTTGATTGTAGTTTCTACGTTTCTATTTTCGTGATAAGATTTTGCGTATAGCTAAGTTGATTGAAGAAATCATGCTGCACAAAACATGAGCGATTTTTGTCTTTTTTCCAAAACAGCCAGAGTGCGTTTTTTAATTATTTTTAAGTTTTTAAAGCGTCATTCATTAATTTTTATTTTTAATATTATTTGTTTATTTATTTAGTGTTAATTTTTTTATTAGTTTTAATTTTATTTAATTTGTTTGTTTTTTTTTTCTTTTTCTAATGCATTGTCGTTAATTTAAATCTCTGAACGTTGGTTTTGTCCACTTTTTCTTATTTTGCAAGCACGTATAAGCGATTCGAAAGTGTAGTGTAAGTGATATGGAAGGCATATTTTGTTTTGTTTTTCAAGAAGAACAAGCAAAATCATTTTATGAACAAATTTTTCAGTTCCCAAATTAAACCATAAAATACATACACACATATGTACACAAAAATACCTGGTTTTTTAAACAGTCCCACAAATATCTTTTAACAACTGCTCCCCTATAATGTTCTACATAATTCTACAAATTTATACAATTACACCTTAACCCTTATTAAAACGTTGACCATATTGTATATATATATGTATATTGTTAGTAACAAATTTTTTTTCGAATATTTTTTCAAAAGAAAAAATTAATTAAAAAAAAAACCTGCCATAATGAACATTATAGCAAAATGAATTTAATATTTATTTCTCTATTAATACCGATATACAACCAACAGATTTACTTTTATACTTATATACATACAAATATTTAAACTAGAGTGTTAATTTCTGCGTTTTTAAGACCAATACCGTGTAATTTAAATATAAAAAAAGGATAACTCTACCTACTCTTCGCTACTGTTTATTTAATGCACAAAAAAACTACAATTACCAAAAACAAAAAAAAAATATGGAAGTAAATACCAAAAACTTAGTGAATTAAATGCAAAATATATCTTAACATAGAAAATGCGAGGTTTAAACGAAGATGTTTTTTTTTCAGAAATACTCAATAGAGCAAAACCAAAATTATATTCAAAAGTAAGCTGTAAAAGAAAGCTGCTACATAAATTTCAAATAAAAGAAATTAATTTTTTTGTTTAAAAAACATATGTATGTGGCCATAAGTTTGTATGTATTTTTATCTACATACAATTTTTATTTAATTTGTATGCTAATACTAAGTTAGATAGTTTTTTTAAAATAAATATTTTTGGTCTAAAAAATATATTTTATGCATATAAATATAATTTTAAAATTATTTAAAGCTATTAAGTACAAAAAAATAGAGCGTATTTGTTGATATAGTATAATATACAGAATTACTAAAGAAAAAAAAAACATAAGCTTAAATAACAGTTTCCATGCGTAAGCTATAATATAATATCGGTTGCACTGAGTTCAAAATATGTTTAGCAGTTAACCTAATGCCTTATTGAAATACTATTTCAATTGTAATATGCTGTTGCATTGTAAATAAATAATAAAAAGAAATTGTTGTTAAATTTTGCTTTGAAAAAATAAATTGGAGCACACTGGGCGATTGGCTAAACATTTATATCCGTTATATATAAATAATCATTATAAAAGCTGATGCACAAATTCTTACAAAATCATAAAAAATGTATATGTACATGAATAATAGTCTCTTTATAAAGTATAAAAGAAATACATATCTGGTAAAACTTCTATACAAGATTGATTTAGAAAATTAGAACCCATAAACGCATTGCTTTAATGAATGATTTTTGAACAGTTTTTTTTAATTAATTTGAATTTCTTCTTAAGGATTTTGTCTCTTCTAATAATACTTACAGCTAAACGTAAGAACAATCTTATATATAATTAAAAATTTGTCAAAATATATACTTATATTTTTATAATTGTGCTGTAAACTTTTTTTTAACACAATAAATAATTCCACTTAATATTTCAACTAAATATTATATTAGATAATTCGTAACAAATTACAAAAGTTAATGTTACAATTATTTCGCTTTTTCAAATTAATTTAAACGGAATCTCGATATTTTTCATTTGTATACCTTTCATGTACATGGAATGGCATATTAAAATAGATGTAACAGACCCATCAATATTCATACCGACAGAATGACGATTTGAGTTGATTTAGTTAAACATGCCCATCTGCTGATTTGACGAAAACTAGTATCTTGAGTTAGAGATATTCTAACCAAAACTTGGAACACAAATGCACTGGTATATTTAAATGATCGTTTGTCGGCATCGGCCAGATCGGAGCACTATTACATAAGTACGACTGATTTTTCAAATTTGAGATTTAGAAATTTGTCAAAAAAAAAAAGGATCTAATTGTATAATCGGATGATCATAACATATAACTCCCATACACCAATTCGTTCAGCCAGGAGATTTTGGTTAAAAAATCAGTCAAAAAAATACCGAAAAGCGTGAGATTCTACACACGTACGAGTGAGTATGTATATACAAAGAAACACTGAGAATTAATATTTAATAATAAAAATAAATTTGTCATGAACATGAAAGGTGTTTTCACAAACGTGTACGCAAAGATTATGAAAAAGAAATAACTGTTGTTGGAATATGTAGTGTCACATAGAGAAGTAAAAAGTATTTTTACCGTACCAAATAAATGATTTACACTAATAAATGATTTAGTAATGTAATAATCTTCTAAGCAAATAATAAGATCAGTGAGTAAAATGTAGGTAATCTTGCATATGTAAATCTACTATTAGAAGCTTTTAAGCGCATAATAAAAATACGATTTTCTAAAATACGAGTAAATAAAAATTAGTTTCTAATTGTTACATTTAAAATTATATTCATGAATACTAAATGCAATATGTAAAAGGCATACAAAATATACTCAAATTCGGAGGGCATAAATATATTCATACTACTATGTATGAAAATGAATTCTAAAATCAAAAGTTATCGATATTTGTACCTATATTATACTTCTTTATATGATGCAATATTTAATAGTAAAAAGTCCTAAAAAAGTTAAAATCTAAGTGATGATAAGCAGTATTGAAAACATAAAAATTCTTTAAAATCTTAAAAAGTATTCAGACAATTTGTAGTTATTTTAACAAAATAAATACATTTCCCATAGATTGTATTTAAAAAGTTCTAACAAATATTGCACAAAAGAAAATAAAAATAATTTGTTTAAATATTTTTATAATGAGTCTTCAATGAAATTAAAAACAAAAGAAAACCTGTGCTGCCTAAAGGAGTTTTGGGAGTACCCGGACTCCCTCTAAAGCTTAAAAGTTGCCAAATAGTCTTAATTTCATTAAAATCAAACAACGTCTAAAGACCGTGTGATTTAAATATCGATAAAACGAAAAGTATAGTTGAATAACTCTTCGTGACGACTTTGATATCATACATTGCGCGCTGCTTTCTGATTAACTGCCGGCGATGGAGGCATATGTGAATGTGAGTGCGATTGTAAGTCTTGTTGCTGTTCCTGTTCTCCCGCTAATACAACATTTTGACCGTCAACACTGCTAAACATATGCTCTGGCATGTTAAATGCTTGCTCAGCGCTTATAAACGATGATGTTTCTAACTGTTCGTGTTGCTGGTGCTGTTGTTCAAGCAATTGTTGTTCGTTTTGCTGTTGCTGTTGCTGTTGCTGCTTCTCTAAAACAGACATTTGCCTTGAAAACATTGATTGTGTTGGCGGTTTCTGATGCTGTTGCCGTTGCTCTTTTTGCAGTTGTTCTCGCCCTTCCTCTTGTTGTTGTGGCGGCAGTGGTGTGGGCACTCTAGTAACAGAAGATATGTTTACGCTTTCCCTTAATTTCGCAAACTTTTGCGCCGTCTCATAAGCGCTACGCATTTTTATCAAATCACTGGTACCATCATCGTGGTTCGTCAAACCCTTGCGCGGTCGACCGCGTTTACGTGTTGGGTTTGGCAACTTTGCTGCCATCGGCGCAAACGCAGTTGGCATGAGGTGTTTTGTTATTTTTTTCACTGCTTTCCCTGATCTTGGTGGAAGCTTGTCTTGTGTGAGTATACTTTGCCTTTGCGTTGTGACTGTTAGTATCGGTAATTGTGGTAGCTGTTGTTGGTTAAGAACATCATGTTGTTGTTTGTGTTCTTCCGGCGGATTTGGTGTGGGTGTTGAGATTCGTGTTATTTTCATATACATTCTTTCATCTTCTTCCGCTCTTATGTTGTTCAATCCTTGCTGTTGCTGTTGTTGCTGTTGTGTTGATTGTACTAAATTTTGCGAGTTACGATAATGCTCGACTCGATTATTGCTCATCATGTCCGTTTGGCTGGTTTGTAAAAATTGCTGTTGGATCACATGTGATGGTGTCAAAGTCGGTAATTCAGTCATTAACACGCCATCGCTGGTTGTTGCACTATCACTGTTAGGCGTTAGCTTTGGCATGGGATTACTTGCGGGTGGACGACTACGTCGCACCTTACGCAATAAGCTTGCATCTGAGGGTGGCGCGCTGGTGGTCACCACCATGTCAGTGTCAATTCCTCTTTCATTTGCTTGCAATTCATATTTTGTATTTTGCGATTGAGCCTTCGCGTTGGTGTGGCTCTGTTGAGAATTATCACCGAAATGTTGCGGCATCTGATAGGAATATGCTATATGTGGTATCTGTGTTGGCATATTCGATGCGGGATTGTTATTCGGCAGTGTTGCGGTGTGTGTGTGTGGTGTTGTTATTAAATACCTCACAGTATTGCCTTGACCTGCTGCCGCGTATAGCGTTGAATTTTGTGTTGGTTGCTGCGAGAGTAATTGTATGTTTTTCAGATTTTCAATGTTAATAAGTGGTATTGTTTGGATCAAATGGTTACCAGCTGTACTGCTGCTGTATGGTGTTGATGGCTGTGGAAGGGTATTATATAAAGACTGCTGTTGTTGTTGTGGTTGTTGTAGCCCTTGATGAGCAGGCACGCCGGCAACCGGTTGCTTATAATGTAGTGTAGCAGTGTGTTGATTGGGTATACCCCCAACTTGCGGCGGCGCATTATGTCTGTAGTGTATGATCGCCGAACCGCCATGCGTAGTTGACGGTGAATTATTGTGTTGCATCCTGGTTGGTTCCACTGGTTTTTCTATGTGCTGTTGTGGTTTGACAGCGACACTTATCGGCGCACGTTTATTAATGCGTTGTTTCGGTGTTGATTTTTCCAAGCTTTTCCCAACATCTTTCCTGACTTTAGGCGGAGCATTCGACTTTTTGATTGGGGTCCTCTTAATTGTCGCTCTCTTTTGCCTTGGGCATTTTGGCTTGGTGACTGTATCAATAAATGCATTGTGGCTTTGTGCCACGTTGTGCGTTATGTTCTGTGCTTCTGTTGTAGACATATCATTAGGAACGTCACTAACAGTGAACACTGTGTGCAAGTCTTCATTATTTTCTACCATATAATCGCTTGCTGCATCCTCAATATTACTATTCACAGTTTGTTCATTGAATAATGACGTGTCGACGCTGGATGGGTGCGCTTGATGTTGATTCAATTCCGTTGACGACGACGGCGGTGGCTGTGGCACCACCGCTTCTTGTTGCCAGTTCAATAGCCCAATTTGTTCTGCTTCAGTCCAATTATAATTTTTCTCGGCATCACTGTCCGCCAATGTGGCATGAAAAGCGACTTGCTCATAAGGTTGCGCACTCAGCGTTGCATTTGTTGTGAGTATAGTTGTGGAGTTGTCGTCCAAAGTGAAAGCGATGGGTTGTTCGTAATTCACAAAGCCTCCGCCGTCAACTTGCAATGGCAAGGTATCCGCACTGTTGAGCTGTTGTTGTAATTGTTCATTTTCCATTCGTATTGTTGGCGCATTCGAGGGCATGAGTGTGAGAGCGTTTTCGCTGTCTTCTATCTTCCAATTGCCGGTATACATTTGTATATTTTGTACATTTGGATTGATCAAAGGCTGCATCTGCTGTAGTTGTTGTTTGTTACCTATTGTACAGACACCATCATCATACTGCTCCAACGCATTGGCATTCACCGTAGTTCTGTATATAGTTTTCGATGCTACTTGGGTCAATTTTTTCAATAACTCCCGCATGCCCAAAACTGGCGTTTGACGTTTCTGCAGTATGATTAATCCCAACGATAATCTATTCACCAACTTCACCATTTCCGCCGTTAATACAATGCTTTCTTCACTATCAAAGTAGATCGACATAGTACCATCATCATGTGGCTTTATCAGGAGAACCGACGCCAAAGGACTTGCTTGTGTGAATAGTGCGAGATGTGCTGCTGCCCAGTCTTTCTTATCGACACACACATGCTGCGGCGTCGAAGCTATAATGCCCGACACATCCATGAACGTCGCCAGTTGTTGTATGTATTTTTCAAAACGTAAGCTATTCGAGCATTGCGTTGGCGATGTTGTGGGATACGTGTGTGGCAGTGAAGCAACGATCTGATTGGTATTATATTCAATGGCATTGCAAAAGGCAGCTGTCGTATTTGTAAATATCGACTCTGGCGTTTTTGGATCTTCACTAGTTTTTGGCGGAAAATCACGACTCTTACGCTGTGGCGCGACAATCTGCACACGTGCCGGCGCACGCGTACGTGTTGTTGTAATACCGCGTGTTAGTTCCGCCGGTTGTGTAGTTGAATTTTGAGCTTTTACCGAAGTTGTTGAATTTTCTTCGCCGGTTTCTGTATTGGTACTTGATGTGGTGGCACAAGCAGTTGTTGTGTCATTATCAGCTATGCTAGATGTTGTTGTTGTTGTAAAACTTTCGATAATCGCAGAATTCTCTGTTAACGACGCCATGGTACACACAGGCATATGCGTAATTTGCGTTGTGTTTGTTTCCAAATCGTTGAAGCTGAACATTTCATTTGTGTTCTCATTGCTGCTACTACTACTACTACTACTAGTGAGTGTTGCTGTTGTGGTTGGTTTAATTAACGGTAAAATTGGGGATAAGGTTGATGGTTGTGTCAGATGTTGTGGTACATATGTAGAGTTTGTTGTCATTTCAGTTGTTGTTGTTGTTAAGTTGTGTTCCATGCCGAAAATGCGCTCATTATCCTGGCTTGCTGGCTGGGTCGATTGGCTAGTTGAGCATATCTTTAATGTAGATGGCTCTATTGGCTGTGCTTCGTGTGCGTCCGCCATTGGCACCACTTGAATGGGTCGCACTGGTTTTATAGTGCCCATATTTGAGCTTATACTAATTGGCGACTTCATTGCAACAAATTCCGTTGTGGTGTCGATTTTCTGTTCTGGCGTTAGCCCATGATTTAAGGTCTGGGCGAAGTTCGTGTAGCCTTGCACTTGTACCGTCTGCATTCGCGTTTCGGGCAGCTGTGCTTCCGTTGGCGTCTGCATTCTTTCTACAACAAAGCCAAGTTCGGCCATTTGCGTTAGGTCTTGGCTGCTGGGTCTATGACCGACGTCATGCTCTTCTACATCGAATCCATAGTTTTGTATTGTTGGTGTATCATTTACATTCAAGTCTGAACTGACTGTTTGGCTGTGCGGCAACGTAACACATAATGTATCATGCGCAGACGTTGGCATGGTTGTAATGTGCGCACTTGGAAAACTTGTTCTAATATCGCTTCCGATTGTAAATAGTTGATAATCGATAGAGTTGCTTGCTGCATCACTATTTGTTAAATTTGCTGTCAAATCAATAAAATCGTTAGATTTTAATAAATCAGCGCCTAAATCTGTGGCATTTGTGAAGCCGGGCACCGATGTTGTTAAATTAATTGGACTATTTTTCGGTGAACCTATATTACTCATGTAGTCCATGGATTCTTCTTTAATTTCTTGTGTGCGTATAATAATATTATTGGCGATATCAAAATCATTTTCAGCATAAACATTCGATGGGAACATATTATTAGCGGCATCCTGGAAACCACTAACCGAGTCGTTCAAACACCCAGGCACAAAGAACTGATCTTCATAATTTGTTAATATAGTCTCATTTGCTTGATCGTCAAAATTTAGCAATTCACTCTCTTTACCATGATCCTGTGGTATGGATATATAGTTTTGCATGTTTTGAGCTTGAATTTCTGTGCTGGCAGCACTGCTGGTATTGTCCGCACAGTTTGCTGTAGCATCATCATTCGCTTGCGCTGTGTAACATGCTTCCGTCAGTGTAAGACCGCGATGATCTGGTACCAAAAGCTGTTGAACGGTTGTCATTTCAGTAAGCTGTGCCTCTTCCGCCTGCGGTACTAATGCACTGGCAATGTTATCTTTATTGGTTACGTGCTCTGAGCGATTTTGTGCGATTTCTTCACATTGTATATTATTTGAATTTCCCTCATTTTCAGTCTTATTTGTTAAGGTAAAGTTCTGTTCACAATTTTGTAATACTTCAGTCAATTGATGAGCTGTTGTCTCTTCTCGCTGCAATGTGCTTGCTTCACCCGCTTCTTTTTCCAAATCATTAGTGGCTAAATTCACTGAAGCGTCTTGTAGCAAATCTCGATTTGAATTATCTATATTTGCTTTTGATTTAGCTGTCGTTTCCTTTTCACTTTGACCTTGGGTAATTTTTATGATTACCTCATTACTAATTCCATTAGTAAACATGTTCAGTGTATATTGTTGTTGTGTCTCCTCGTTCGAGTCACCTTCTTGAGCTATTGCAGCCTCGTTTTCTTCACATTGTAAAATATCCTCACTCGAATTCTGTTCTCCTTTTGGATCTCCTTCCAATGATTCCTCATCCGGTGTCTCGAAATACTTTACCAGGGATTTCGGGATTTCAAGAACTGTTATATTTCTCCTAGTTTCTTTTACTTGCGCTAAATTATCACCATTAATTTCCGTTACATCTTTCACATTAGTTCCTACAAATGTTTCTCCTATTACATATTCCTTTGCACTCGTTAATTCCTTAGCAACACTATTACATGCAGAGCCATTAGCTTCCCATTCCGCTGTGGGATTTGCATTTTGGTCTTGAACTGTATCTACCACTTCTGTGTTGTAAGTAGCTTCTGTGCTTTGTTTGGTATTTACTGGTGATTGTATTTCCTCTTGATTCTCTGCATCGTTTTGAAGTTCAGCACTCTCTTTACTATGCTGCTGAGGTTGTATACTTTGTCTTTCTGTTGTGTCTGATACTCTTTCTGTTGGATCATTCTCTGCCTTTCGTTCGTATTCATATATTGTCTCCGTTCGCGAAGTATAGTCCTTATTAAGATTTATATTGGTTATATTAAACGAAACTTCATTTCGATTTTTTGATTCTTCCCCTGTATTCACTTCAACATCAGTTTCGACAGTTCTCTTTTGTGGAACCGTAATATCCATGGGGTGTTCGTGGTTTCTGCTTGGTTCGTGTTCGTCGCTGTTTTCTTTTCGTTGTTCTTGTAATGTTTTCTGAACGTCTGACAGATTGGAGTTCTCTTCCGGTACAAGTGTTTTTTGAATTGTTGTAACAGCTGCTTCTTTCTTACACTTTTGTTCTTCAATTTCGTTATCTCGGCAATCTACAAGAACTTGTTGTAATAGGTACGTGCCATCGGTGCATTCATCAGCATTTCCTTTAGCAAAATCTCTTCCAAGTGAGTTTTCACTATTATTAGAGGTTGCAGTTAGTGCCTTCTTCTCTGCACTAATATCGTCTTGGAAATTTATTAACTCGTTTTCTTCACTTTGTTCTGGTTCATCAATTATCCCACTATTTTCCCCGTCAAGTCCATTTTCCACATTACAAACCGTTTCATTTAAATGCTCTACGATTCTTTTTGGATTTTCTATATATTGTTCCACCTTGATATTTTGCTCGCCATCTTTTGTGTTTTGAAACCCCAAGATCTCATTATGATTGATTTCACTTAAGTTAGTTTTTATCTCGTGCATAGCAATTTCTTTTGCTGTTTTTTTACCTTTATTTACAAGTGCACAATCATCGTACAAAATTACCGCTGCACTACACACATCCTCTTCCGGCGCACCCGATAGGTTTCTACGTTTCTTTAACGGTAAACTTGGCGATGGGTCACGCACTTTTAGGTGACGCGATTCTGTATGGTCTGTTACGTTTCTTTTTCTTGCATGCGGAGTCCCAGTAAACATTGTATCGATTCCGAGTTGTGCATTTCTTTTGGCCAATGCCGCCAAAGCCGCTTTAGATGTGGAAGGTTTTTCAGATAAATACCAATTCTTCGAAGCGTTTTCTGTTATTGCATCCAGTCGTTTTATATAGGCAATTGGTATGGAAACTTTTAAGCTTGCTGATGCGGGCGGTATTTCTTTATTTGGTGAGGTCACAATTTCTGCAGAGCTACCGCTAGAGTTGTTATCACTTCTTTCATCAGCATGACAAGGCCAAGTATCTTCTTTTTCCTGCAAGTGTGTGTCATATTCATTACTTACAGAAATTTCTAAGGGCTTGATAGCATAGTTATGCTCCATTTCAGTAGTTGGCATCAACTCGGAGAGCAATTCATCATGATTTATAATAACATCATGCTCCAAATCTAACAAAGACAAATCCTGAAAGCTTGTGTTCGTACTCGAAAGTAATTCGACAACTTGTGCTTGTGATTGTACGACTTTAAAGCTAGTTGGCTCATTTTTATATAAATCTGTTGCTGAATTTATCGTAGATGTTGTACTACACGAACAACTGTTCGTAAATGAGCTGGAACTATCGCTGCCGGTGTAGCTAAAGGTCACACTACTGCAAGCGGGTGTACGCCCATCGGTTGGTGTTTGTACAGCTGTAGGTGCTTTCAAATTCGCATTTGCATTTGCAATTATGCGCGTGGAATGATTATATTCTTCTAATAACTTATCGGCTTCCATATTTGTTTTTAATGTATTTATGGATACAATATCATTGGGTTCTTCGTTTTTATCGTTTATTTCTATATGTGAAATGCTCATATTGATATTGGAATCTTCGTCGAGAAATTCGATGTCATAACGCAGATTAGCAGTTTGCTTTGTACTACATTTAATAACAGATTTCGCAGTATCATAAGATTCATCTAGTGTTAGACTCGAGAAACTTGAGATATCTAACAAGCGAGACGGTTCATTGCTTTCTGGTAAAGAGTTTGAGTCTTCATGAAAATTCGCTGCCAAAATTTCTTCACTTTCAGTTGAGCGAACATCTGTTGTGTGAGCATCAGTTATTGAATTTTCCTTGAGAAGTGATACATTATGTAGAGTTTGAAGTACTGATGCATCTATGCCAACGCTTTTTTCACAACAAATTTTCTCATTACTTATGTCTGACGGCAAAACTTTCATACTGTGCTCGTAGTTAGTTTCCGGTATAACTGAATTCTTTTCACCAACTTCGTTCGATGAGCCTGTTTCATTACTACTATTACCCTCTACATGCATCGCTTCTAAACTGGACTCACTTTTTTGTTTATATGATGCATCTTCACCTCCAGTTTCCGCTGATTGTAGAGTATTATTTGAAGTTATTTTAGTTTTTACATTTTCTTCTGTAGTTTTTGACATTTCATCAATTGTGGGAATATTCTCGTTAGCCGAACTCTCTATGGGTATGTTATCTTTAGCATCGTACATTTCAGCAGATGAACTTTCCCCACATACACGTAATTTTTTCATCGTTGAATTTTGTTTATTAACAACTGATACGGTAACTTTTTCTACAGTAAAATCTTTTTTACTAGTATCAGGTTCGGTATCGTTTAGTTTTGTATACTCTGCACTTGGCGATCCTTCTCTGGGTATATTACCATCAAGCGGCAAGCTGTTGAGTTGGTCATTGCAATTTTGTTTTGGCAGCACCTCATTATTCAATTCAGCTGGCGCTTCTGCATGTCCCTCTATTTCGGTATTTTCCATTGAATTTATTTTTGTAATTAGTATATCCGTAGTGCTGGCACATGGCTTTGAAATAACTGTCTCAAAAATAGGAGTGGTGTCTTGCTGTGCATTCTGTTTAGTCACTGTCTTCCCTTTTTCACTACTTCTTACCACCTTTTTTGGTATGATAGTTTTCGCGCGTTTTGGAGAACTTTTCGCTGGTAAACATGGTATGCCTTCGGCAAGTGTCTCAACTCTATCGTTGTTATGTTCCTTTTCAAACCTTTTTGCAGATTTAATTGGCTCTTTGCACCGCTCAGTAGCCGTTTCGGCAGGAGTATATTTTCTCTTTCCTTTTACAAATGTGTTCATATTTTCCCGGTGGAACATATGCTTGCCTGTAGAGTTGCTTTCGTAGGCAGTTTTTTCATTCAAAGTATCCGGCGTATTAATACATTTTCGGCGTTTATGTGCCATTGGTTGTTCCGACTTCGTATTTATACACATTTTTGGTTTATTTTTTCTAGCACCTTCAATGAATGGTTTTATCGGTTCTATAACCGCATTTTCAGTCTCCATTTGCAGACTTGAATTTAGTGCCGCTGCTAGTTTTCTGGTTATTGGACGATGTGACATATCACCGAATTGTGTTTCTAAATTGTCAACTGTTGTTGCTTCTGGCAGGGGCAAGAATTCCTTTTTCTCTGCTTTTGTCGGTACTTTAGCTCTTGCTAAGCGTATTTTTATACAACGTTTGGAGATCACATTTGTAGCAGCAGACTTTTTATAACTTAAGCTCTCGCCAATGCTTGTTGGCGGTGAAGTTCTTAAGCCAGTATTTTTCACCACTTTCCATTGTTCAGTCTTACGTAAACTATACCTCTTTCTTACTTGCATTTTCTCCACTTCAAAGCGGGAGTTTTCACTATCGGATACAGATACAGAAAATTCTGGGGATTGTAATGCAGTGGAAGTGATATTTTTTGGCGTAGTCGAAGCTGTGTTGGCGTCTTTTGAGAGGGTAACTTCCGATATCTGCTTTGTTTTTAAATCCGCTTCTTTATTATTGGGCGTTTTACCACAAACTAATTGTTTGCCAACTATCTTTGGAGTTCTTGGTGATCTGCGCGGAGCTCCCATTTCAGCTTTTCTTGGTGGTGGATCTTTCAACGTATTTATAAAGTATTCAAAAGATGAAAGAAAAGTTGAACCAGTTTTTGCTGGTACCGCTATGCTAGAGATTTCTGAAGTTGTCTCGAGTTTCCCGCATGAATTTTCTTGTGAACCATGCATTAAGGATTCATCGGTTTTATTGGTCAATGGCTGTGTGAGCATGGAACTTTTTGTCTTAACTCTCTTTACATTCTTAGCTGCAGCACCTTTAGTAATTGGGCATGAATTTTCGACTCTCTCCCGTTCCTTAGTTTCTATATTATCACCAACTTTATTGATTTGCGTATCGCAATGGAAAGACTTTGACACTTGCGTGATTTTTTCATGTTCTTGAGTAGGTATTTGTGAAATAGACGAAACTTTATGTGGAAGCGATTCGCAAGTGACTGTTTCAACATTCAAAGATTCAACAACTAGTGTCGGAGTCGTATTTTTTAAGGATGTCAATTCAGTGGCAGCTAACTCTATTGTTTCGTATACAGCACTTTCATTTAAATTGCTCATAGAAGAAATTATATTCAGATGTTCACGGGAGGCGATTTTTTCAGTCACTGACTTAGCTAATGCAATATTTAACCTTTTTCTTGCATTCTTCGTCGATATATCCACACTTTCTGGCACATAAGCCTTCTTCAATACACTGCAATTTTTCTTTGCTGCAGCCTCACTTAGTAAAACAGCTTCAGCGAGTCGTTCCAAATTTGTTTGTGGACTTTTATCACCACTAAAATAAATATTTGAGCGCGAAACTGCGCTGCTTGTTTTAGCAGCTACCACTGTCATGACTTGTATGCGAGGCATAGGTTGCTCACTACTTTTTTCAACAACATCAAGTGCGCTTTCAGTCGGTTCTTTATTAGTTTTTGCAGAGCCTTCTTGCAACACCCTGGAATCAGTAGCGTTTTCCGATTTGCCATTACCTTTGTGCACTTTCAAGCCCGAAACACTTCCCATTTCATTATCTTCTACATTCTCCGACGAAAAAGTGTTGGATGTGAGCGCTTCAACAGCTTTTACAGCTGCTACTAGGCAGACAAGACCATCATTGGTGGTGTTTGTAGTGCCACCGGCTTTAAATATTTCTTTATGAGCTGTCATATTGTCTGTCAAAGCCGCAGAAGTGCTAGCGGTCGTTTCTTGACGCCTGTCAATTTCTTCAATTGGTTTATAATCGTTGCCATTATTTTGTATTTCATCTGTATTTGTATCTAATAACTTTTCAGTCTTGATGTTCTCCTCCGGGACATTAGGTATTTCTCTCCTTACCAATACGTTGCCACACTTCATCTCCAGAGAGCTTTCAGTAGCGTTCAATTGTTTCTCAATATTCGTTTCAGAGTCAGCAGATTTCTTTTGGTTTGCTGATACTTCCGGCAAGGGCATGCTTCCTTCAGGCATAATATTCAGCTGACTTTTATCAATTGAGTCACACGCTAAGTTTGTTTCTGCTTGTTTATTAACTTCTGCGGTATGAGGTCCAGTACTCTCTCCCTGTGCATCAATGGATGTGTTCGTAAGTAAATTTACGATAATGACATTTTTAAGATTTCTTTCTGTTAAATTTATTTCTGTGCTAGACATTGTCTCTTCTTTGTTTTCTTGAATATCCTTTATAATTGGATTTGTATTTCCCGTATTAGTACTTATTTCTAAAATTTTCGAATTTGCTTCTTTTGGTGTCTTGTTTTCCGCCAGTATTGTACTCTCTTTATTTGGTGAGTTTTCTACATTACTCGCAATTATTTCTGCACCGTTATTAGCTTTCTCACTACTTTGTACTTCTATATTATCGGATGCTGTGGGGTTGTGATTTACAGTTTCTTGTAAACTCTTTTTTAAATTAATCTCATTGTTCTCCTCGGTTTCCTTATACTCTTCACTTGCAGAAATGTTCATATCTGATAAATATTTTTCTTTGACGCTACTTGGCGCATTTTCTTCGCCTGAATCATTTGGACCAGTGAGAACGGCAAGATCGTTACAGTATTTACCAGCGGTTTCCTCTATTTCAAGGCATGCTTCTTGAGACTCAACTTGATTTACAAAGTTTATTTCATTTAGTTTTGCCAAAGAAATTTCTATTGGCGTCTCGGCACTTTCTTGCTCAACTTCTTTGACATATTCTTGATTTACTGCAGAAACAGTTTCGTTTTGCGTAACGGTTATTTGCGGCATATCGTTTGCTGTTTCTGCTTCTTTGACATTGCCTGTTTTTTCCCCTTCATTTGTATTGCCTTCCACATTTTCCTCTTTTTTGTTTGCATCTTCACTGCCGAAAACACTTTCAATGCCAGTTGGCTTATCCACAACATTACAAGTGGCATTTAAGCTGCTCTTATTCGCACTTATTATCTTATCGCTTGCAAATTCAATGCACGCATTTGATACTGCCTCATCACCTTTCTGTTGATCAGCAATTGCTATGTATATATCATCTCTTCTGTTCACTTGCTCGATATTCAACGGTACGCTGAAGAGCACGGGTGTGTTGCTCAGCTCAGCGTTGTTTTCACTAACTTCCCTAGTTTCCAGCAAATCTTGCATATTTGCACCTGTACTACTCGTACAAATGTCAGTACTTATGTGTGTTTCAGACGTAGGTATACTTTCGTACTCCTCCGTACTTGTACTTTCCACAGTAACTGTGCATCTGTCGCTAACTGCGGCTACTGGTCGGTCAACTACACTTTCTATGTCTACTGTCCAATCTATATTAGGCCCTGTAGTGGTGGAAACATTTGAATTTTGTTCTTCCATTTCTATACGTTTTTCCACTTCTAAAATCCCTATATTATTACGTATGGTGCTGGCATTACTAACATGGGCTTCGCCTTTCACCTCTTTATCAACACCATTTTTATTATTATCATCATCATTATCATCATGTTCAGCTCTATGTATAATGTCAACACTTTTATTACGTAAATAATTGGTTGATGAAATATCTTTTGGCCCATGAGACATGTTTATTGTTCTATTCAAAACAGAACCCGTATTTGTACAAATATTACTATTACAAAGTGACAATTGCTGATTTGTTATACCTTTTTTATGGGTTTTTTTACTTTGAATTGGTTGAGTAGAAAGTTTTAAAGGATTTTTTCTTATATTTATACTAGCATTAACAAGAATAATATCATCTTCATCATTATTATCATCATCATCGGTATCAATTATTATTGAAGATGAGGTTTTAGGTAAATTTTTAGATTCTTGTGATTTAGATTTGACAACAAAGCTCCTACCTTTTTGTGCCATTTGTTTGAGAGACTCAGTTGTTGAAGATGTCGAGGATGACGGCGATGCAAAGCGTGGTTGGGGTGAATTAGAGAAAACGCGTGGTTGATTGCTGGGTTGGATTTTGCTAAGATGTATAGCTGGCTTAATCGGCAATTTGGTATGTGGACGTCGTGTGGGCCCAATAGGATTATCGTTAAATTTAACTTGTTTCTTTGTAGGTTTATCTTCAGCTTGCTGAAAGTACAAGGAAAAAATTACAATAATATGTGGGTTCAGATTGGTGTCACATATCAAAACTTACTAAATGCTTTCTGCTATCCATATTCTTTTTATCCAAATATTTGTAGCGTTTTTCATGTTCAGCGTTTGCGTTTGCACTTGAAAAGCGATGTTTAGATGGCGATAATGCTTGCGAGTATATAACTTTTCCCAAAGTCGTTGCCGATGACGAAGCTGTTAATGGTAAAGAATGATAATCATCTTCGTCGTCCTCATCGGTATCAGCTTCGGCATTAAGATCTTTTTCATGAGAAGCAATACCACCACGACTACTACCTCTACCACCATGAACATCAGTATTGCGATTAAAATAAGTTTTGCTGCTTTTAGCGCGATCATGTTTCTGCATGACATTTCTGCTTGTTCCGCGTCCTTCATTACATGTATCGTCTAAGGATTCGTATCCAAAACGTTCTGGTCCAATTTCGAGACTGTACCGTGGTGACTTAAGTAAATGCAAGTTTTGTTTTCCTCTAACGGTAAATGAGTTTAGAATGAGCGGCAAACCAGTTTCAGTAAATGTTGAAGTTGTTGTTGATTTTCCACCCACAGTCGTACGATCACCTTCACCATCACCATCTCTAGATCTTTCATACGAACGTTGACAAGTTGCTGTACGCTTATCTTCATAAGAAGTAACCTGTGTTTTAGATTTAGGCGTAAGATAAGTTCTAAGGCCATTGTTGGTAATAGCTGTTGATTGTAGAATTTCTTCATCGGATGGTACTCTATCATCCGAAGCACTACTATCAAGACTTGTGTAGTCTGTGTCAAAAGCATCACAATCCTGATATGATTCGGCTGGATCTAGTATACTGCCAGAGAATAATTCTCCCTCTGAGTCTGAATCTAAGCAAATAACTTTTTCCGACTCATCATGGTTCACTCTTTCTGCTGCTTTCTCTTTGAGCTCAATAAGCCATGTTAAATAATTGTCGGGAGATTCTGTATCATACTCTTCATCGTCTTCTATGGTGAGATCTACACAATCAGCTGATTCGATTGCGGATACTCTGCTTTTTATATGCCTTTGGTCTTTCGTTTCTGATTGGTAGGTGGCTCCAAAATCCCAAAAAGGTGTGTTTATAACCTCATCCTGAATAGCAAAGAAAATATAAATATTAATAGATATTATGGTGTTAGGGTAAGAATTATCTTTCTTCCAAGTAATTTACTCAGTTTACGTTTTAGTCATTTACTGAAGGAAACATGAATAGAGAAAAGATAATGCTAGCGACTAACTGCTCAACATTATTTTCTATACTGATCTCAACCCCAGCTTCAGACCTTTTACTTCAACATCATCGCGTAAATTCAATTTTTATTTATTTATTTATATGTTTAAATTGATATAAATTTTTTTTTTTACTTCAATACTCACTATAACAACCTCAATTGTGTCATCACCATCATGCAAAGTGTCGTCGCAAATTGCCGCCTGAAAAATACGCCAAATAATATAATTTTGACTTTACCATCACAAGTTTATAAATAAAAAAATTAATAATTTATTCAATTTTAATACTACAAGGAAAATTTTCGTTGATATTGAATTATGCTTTAGAGACAACAACTTTTAAAGTCATTCTTTGACTACTTGCTAAGCTACACCTGAGGTGTATTTAACTCTTAAGATATTTTAATTACATTTTTAGTGGTGCGAATTTTATGTGTGTTATTTTTTTTAATAAAGGATAAGAGCTTTTCTTACATTTCGTAAATCGTGAAAAAATTTAAGACTATTCAAAATGTCTTTAACAGCATGTTTTCGCGTGTGTATAGTTGGTAAATGATTTGTATACATAGGATTGGCGTGTAGTGTCTTGGTTGGACACATAAAATGTTGTGCTCTGTTTATTAATTCCACTTGTTCAAGAGGGTCTCGCAGCATTTCCTTCCATAAATGTAATATTATAATATATTGCACAAAAGTTTTATCTGGCAATTCTTTTTGACACCAAGTATTACTGCTAGTGGGAATTTCTTGCAAAAATGTACTGAAAGAAAGTAATTTAAGAATAAAAATATTACATACATGTATATAAATGTACAATAAAAATAGCCAAAACTTACTTGAAAATTGGTTCCATTATAAAACGTGCCGAGTACAAATCGGGCATGTGCAGGAACATACGTAATATATTTTCTTTGGCCAATGACTGGAATCGACGTATAAATACATCATTATTATAAAACATAATTACGTTGATGTTGGTTTTTACTACATTCTTTGTACTCCACTTACCTCATCTTTCACAATCAAATGTTTATTTATCACATGAACTATGCGATGAATTAGCGCACATTTTTGTAGTCTTGTCATGCTAAATGATAATCGTATTTCCAAGGAATTATATACTCCAATTATTTGACTTATATAATACAAATAGGCATGGTCCTGAAATGTTAAGCAATAAGAATTAAAATGTAGTGGTATTTAGTAATCGTTGCCTTGGTGTAATGCCTTACCTCACGACAGGATAAGCAAATGTCGTGAAATAAATCCAACAACCGCATAATATTCCTCTTCAATCTGCGACATAATACCAATGATGTTACTGCTCTTTCGAACTCACTTTTACATCCACTATAAAAGAAATAACACCAGTTGACATGAACATATGAAAAGTCTTAAATATATATTTATTTACTTTGAATAGAGTTGAATGATTTCAAGCATTTTCCGTTTTAGCAACGCGTTATCTTTAACGTCTGTGTGGGGGGCATGTAATAACGCTTGCCGAATTTGGTTATGTGCTCTTTGTATATGGGGAAATAATGCTTCAACATATTCTTCTGGTTCTTTAGGTGGGCGCCTGATGTGTCGGGAACATTCCACACGGCGTCCACTCGCACTTCTTGCTGTCCGAAATGTCGAAGCGGTCGTGACGCTTGAAGGTGTGGGTGAGCATGCGCGAATTTCGGACACTGATGGGAGGTCTTCAACAGATCCTGTGGGCGATCGCACTCGTGCCACGTGGACCCTCTGTTCCACTGAGAGTGAGCATGTATTAGATTGTGGACCTGCCACATTATCACTTATTAAATCTTTACTTTGTTTATCTGTTTCTGTGGTATTATTAGATACCGAAACAGTCTCATTCTGAAGTGTTTGGTTTGGAAGTATTGGACTAAAATGTTTTACTGAAATTGCTGGTTTTGAAGACGGCTTAGAGGTTTGTATGTGTAAATTTGTATACACATTTTTATATGGCAATTCATTACAATCTATAGTTACTGATAACTCTGCTGTTTTGAATGTATTAGGTGCTGTTGATACTGACGCTTTTAACGCTTGTACGGGGTCAGTTTCAACTGATTTTTGTACATTTTGTAATATATTTGTTTGTTCGCTACTTTTTGTTAAGCCTGCTGAAGCATCATCTTCAATTGACAATAAATGGTCAATATCTTTTTTTTGTCTACTCTCCTCACTTTTGTTATCTGCACACTCATCATCTTCATTGAAAACGTACGTAGCAACAACTACTTTATCCGGTTTCGCGGAGGTATTTTCAACTAAATTATTTGATTTTGAGCAACTTGAATTAGACATTTCGGTGATTCCTTCTCCAGGTGTGTCCTCATTTTTGTTGGGTTTTGATATATCCTTATCCCACATGGTTCTATAAATGCGGTGTCTGAAAAACATATTTGGTAATTTTGTACTTTGCGTAAAAGATAGTGCAAATTTAGAGGATTAAAAATTTTATGTTTCGAATTTTTTCATTGAATTTTTTTTTTTTTTTTAAACGATCATAACATTTCAAATGAATTACTAGAATTCTTATTTATAGGGCGAACAACATGACAAATACTTTTTTGTTCCATGTTATTTTCATAAAGAATAAAAATAGGAAATTATTCATAATCAAATTAAATTATTTAATAACTTATTTTTAGAATTATCATATTTTTAAATCCAAAAATTTATTGAAGATATATTATTATTGTCATTCTTTTTAAGTTTTCAATATGTGAAGGTTTACTAACAAATGTTCCCAAGTACTACACACTACTTAAAAATAAAAATAAAAAGTTCATTGCCTTGTATATTTAGCAAAAATTTTAATTATATAGAGTGAATTAAATTCTACTTGGAAATATGATGAATAAAATTATAAACGTAATTACATACGTACATACATACTTATTTACGAATGTACGTAGAGAAAGCTTTATCATATTTTTATATTTGTTGTCTACTGAGTAGTTAGCTTAACAGATGGGAACTTACTGTGAATACACCTGTCCGCTGGTTTTTTCAACTAGTTTTTAGGCATATACATGCATTTTTTTGTATGTTTTTCTCCTTTCAACCTTTTTTTGGAAAATTTGTTTGATTTATTTTTCTTTTGCTGTAGTCGTTAACAAGGCGCAGCCCTCTTGTTGCATAAATTAGTTTGGTATTTATTTTTAGAGTTTCAAGCACTTCTGTTGTTTGGAGAAAGCTCCCATTTTCATTTTGGCATTTTTTATACACACTCTTCTAGTGCTACATTTTCTTTGTATTCTATTTATACACATTTTTTATCCTAACACACAACATCATTCCACATAGCGCACAAAATCGGCTATTATACCGTACCGCTGCTTTCCACCCAATGTACCCTTCCCACACGATTGTTCAATAGGAGCAATACTGGCTAGAAATTAAACATGGCGTCTAATTTTGGTGCTTTGCAGCTACATTCTATGAAAATATTTACGCGCTATTTTACGCAAAAATCAATGTTATATTATTGATATAAATGGAAAATATTATAATCCAAATATTAATCAACTCTTTATCATGAGATCTGAGGTTTTTTCTTAATATATCACTGGTAAATTTTAAAAGTTTGGTAAATATGCGCGGCTATTTAATTTTTCTTGCAGCAATGAAAATTTACATATCTACATGAAGTTGGCTGCAATAGCAATAGATAATGTCAACTCTATTTCATTTTGGGAATTTCATTCGCAGTGTTGCACGAGGCAAAATTAAAAGAAATAACAAACAAACTCGATACTCACTAAATCTTTTATTAAATATATAAAAACAAAAAAAGACAAATAATAGTCGGCAAGCTTAAAAATAAGTTAAAAAATTACCCCATGACAATTGTTGATAGAATAATATCGGTTGTCTGGCTTATCGATAACCCTGAGTAGTATACCTGTTGGTTCAAAAATTTTACAAGTACTCGGGTTATTTAACTAATAACACAGTGCAACAAGATGTTAATCAAATGAATGATTGCACCTCCAATAATACAAACCCCCATTTTATGTCATAGTGTATATGAATAAATATGTCTCATAGCATTTTTTTATTAAAATTTTGAATTCTCAATAATCATTACAAAATTAAGTTGGACATTTAATCTTTTACGGCATTAACGATATCGCCATTTGTAATCTGTTTCACAATTGACTTGAAAATTTGGGCTGTGTTTGATTCAGGCAATTCCGTTAGCACTGAACGAGTTGTACCAATCAACACATTTAGGCGAGGATCAATTGGTAATGTACCCAGATGAGGTACGCCAGAGCGTTTGGCTAATTCTACCCCACCATCAGATGAAAATATATTTGTACAATTACTGCAATGTGGACAAACGAACCTATAATTTATATATGTAAATCATTATTATAACTTTATATTTACTTTCTTATATTTGTGGATAGAATTATGTTAACTTACCCACTCATGTTTTCCACAATACCCAACACATGTACACCGGTTTTTCGACAAAAGGTTAACTCTTTACGCACATCATCCAAAGCAACACCTTGTGGTGTGGTCACCATCACTGCGCCATCGCACTTCACATCCCGCATGCATTCCATCACTGTAATATGCTCATCCGAGGTTCCAGGCGGTGTATCGATAATCAAGTAGTCTAATTCGTCCCATTTTACATCGGTTAAAAATTGCCGTATCATCATTGTCTTTTTCGGACCACGCCAAATAACCGGATCATTACGACTCTTCAATAGGAAGGCAATCGACATTACTGCAAGCGTTTTATTTTCGTCTGCATATATGGGTACCCAACCTTCATCACACTGATAAACATCGCTTTGTTCTAATCCAAGTAAATACGGCACACTCGGGCCACATAAGTCAATGTCAAGTAGACCGACCTATACATATATAAAATTATTACAAAATTTATATGTAAATTCATAATGTAAATATATATAATTACTTTGAATCCACTTTCCCGTAATGCCAAAGCCAATTGAGTGCTAATAGTAGATTTTCCAACACCGCCTTTACCGGATAGCACTAAAATTACATGTTTGACTTTATCCAACATAATTCTTTTACAATTGCTATTTTTTTTGACTCAAGAGAAAGAATAATAAAATCAGTAAGTTAGTAAATTTCATCACAATCGATAGACAGTTCAGTGTTGTTGCTCAGCTGTTGCTGAGAATGAGAAATGGAGTGGAAGGTTCAACCAAAATTAAAAAAAAAATTCAAGACTAAATTTTTGCGATACCAAAATCTATGAAATTTCTTGGATAAAATATATTTAAGGAACTGATTAATACTTTGATTTAAATTTTATATTTTTTATTTCTGACGTTAATTAATCACATAGATTTTATATAGTTTATTTACGAACCAGTCGAGAAATAACAAAAATAAGGAACCAAAACAAAGAAATCGAATTCTATTTAGTATGTCAGAAACAGCTGTTTAAATGAAAGCTAAAATATAAGGGAAAACATATAAAAAAGCTGCCTTATGCTACATAATATTATGAGCAAATTCAAAAGTATAAGCATATCAAAACCAGCAAATATTCCAAATCAACAAATGCAATATATTTGCATTAACTGTGGACATCCGATAGCAGAGCTGTACAGAAAATATAGCAACACTGCAATCAAGACTAATCATTGCGTATGTTTTATATGCATTTATGTTTGTTATTTAATTTTAATATCAACAATACCGCTCTGTAATTTCAGGAACGATGCAAAAGAGTAGCAGACAAATATGTCGAATTTGATTCCATAGTAATACTGGTAGATGCGATGCTTTTGTCACAAGAATCTTACCGACATATGCTGCATAACCGAAGCTTCAAGGTAAAAAAAATATACAAGTACATGTATGTATGCACTTATTAATAACTAAATCCCTTTGTAATTACAACAGCTGAACTGCAAATTATTCCTTGTGTTGCTGTTACTGGAATCATTCGCTTTATGGCGACAAAAAGCCGCCGCTAGACAAGGAGGCTCGCACAATGAAATAAGCGAAAATGGATTTTATTTATGCTGCATGCTAAATTTAACTGGTAATATATACCCCAAACAAACATTTCGGTTTAAAGATAAATTCTTACTTATACTTCTATAAAGAAAAATTACAGAAAACTTTTAGAGAACTGACTCGAATACTATGTTTTAGCCCGCTTTGAATCGAAATATATATATATTATATTAGATATGAGTTATATATACATTAATATGTATACCCAATGATTTTGAATCTCTATTCCCTTTAGACTACTTCATTGTAACACTGATGCTGTTTCTCGTAACCATAGTGTTTCACCCAAGGCAGATTGAAAATACAGGGCTAAGTAAATTTCTACTAAACTTACTAAAAGCGGTAACCATAGCAAATTTTTCCAAAATTTTCCTATTACCACTGATCGCATGGCGTGAGAATACCACAAATATGGGCATCAACATCCATCAATTACTCGTTTTAGCTCATCACCTATTCTCTTTGATGTATATCTACGAATTAGTGGGTAATTTCAACAAAGTAAAAAGTTGTTTTATAATATTGTTCGTTTATCTTGCCAAAGAACAAATTAGTAAATCACCTTATTTACAGCGATCTTTTTGAATATATTTATATGTGCAATAAAAAATATTATTGGAAAATATACCGACGTTAAGAAAAAGTATATTACATTACTTTTATTTTAATTTAAAAAAATCTCACTTAATTTGAGGTCATTATATAAATTGTCGAGTATATACAATTACGATTGTAAAATTATCAATAAATGCCTTTAATCTCCCATGCCCTCTTATTGGAAATAAAGTTCGAAAAAAAATGTTTATTACATAAAAGTAATTTATTATCATTTGCTTAAATATGGTAATTAAAAATTTTTTATACATGTTTATATGCATACATTTTAGTATATATACATATATTTATATGCTTATCGATTGTATGCATGTACAGGCATGTACATACATATGCTAAATCATTTAAGAATGGTTACATAATATGTACTGCGTGAATATAACTAGGGCTCAAAAGTTCAATTTTTTTGATTTATTTAAAAAATAAAACTTGCTTTTAATATTTTTTAGTCTTTGCTACTGATTTATTTGCATATATGTAAGCTGTTTGTAATCTGGTAATGAGCTTTGCCTTATGTTTTCTATTCACGCATCCAGCTTTTGTAAATTTCCTTTCTATATATGCATTTTATTTATATATGTATATTTCTCATTTGTGTATGTCTTGACTCAAGAACATAATTAATTTTATATTAATAATTAAATAACTAATTTGGGAAAGTAGCACAATCGTATGCTGGGTGGCGCGCATGAGTTGTGTGTATGCGTGTTATATAAAGTTAGTAAGAGTTTTTTTGAACCACTTACACTATTTCTACGCTTTATTAATTAAAAATATATTTATTTCGCAATAAAAATTACTTAAAAAAAGACGCGCTTATATTTCTTAACAGTATATTACAGCTAGCTTAAGTGCTAAGGAGTTTTTATCTCTTAATGAAACGTTTAAATGTGCAGCGAAACATTTAAATCGCCAAGTTTCTTCAATGTAAGTTATGTTTTGTTGTTGTTAAAATCATATTTAAATTAAAAACGCGAAATTTAGTAAAATGTAGACGACGTCGATAATTTTGCAAAGTCTTAAAAACGAATTTTTCAAATAAAACTTAAGAAGTATAATGCCACGTCTAAATCAAGTGGAATTGTACTCATATATTATTTTAATTGAATTAACAAAGCGGATATTTCACCTGCATGAATGCATAAATATTTCTACATTACAGCTTTTAAACACAATATTAAAAAAAGTTGTATTATGTACCATTTTATGCGCGCCACAACAGAACGTTTCGCAATCCCGATGCAGTGCTTATTGTTATTATTTTATTACTAAATTATTATTATTACTGCTTACGTAATAGCCTATATTTTTTTATAAACCATTTGAATTGCTATAATTAATATTTCTTAATTTTGTGTTTATTCGTATATATTTTCTTCAATATAATGGAGTTTTTAGTTTTCATTTTGTTTTTTTTTTTTTTGCTCACACACTAATATTTCATATTGTTTATTATTGTTGTTGGGTATTTAAGTTAATAATAGCAATTATAAATAGTATTGTATGTATGTGCAACATACATTTTTATACGTATACGTACATACATATGTACATAGGTATATAGTTTGTTTATGGCCCTTACATCTACAAGGTTACATTTTGAAAAGGGAAAATATTGGGTTAATTTTTCTGTTTCTGTACTATCTTTTTTACACCCTAGAGGTAAAGCGAATAGTCATACGCATTCCAACTAGTTACCGTAACCTATTAACTTATTTTCGAATTCGACTTCGAAAAGTGTACTATTTTCCAAACAGTTCTACACGAAGCTTCACCGTTGCATTGCAATGTTGCATTCTTATCCAATCTTATTTTATGCAGTAAATAGTCGGTAATATTGCTATTTTTTATTTCTTTTTTTTTTTTAGCTTGTTTTAACTAACTGGCTATGGCGGAAATAATATTGGGCGTGTGGGTATACATATGTATATGCTCTTTCTATTGATTATCGTTTTGTCGTGTGTTTCTATATATATGAAGGTATGTGTTGTGTGAGTGTGTCTGTGCAAAATTACGATGTCATATTCCACGAAGACGACGATGAACAAGACGAACAGTCATCGCTTTCAGGTGTTGCATTGGCACTGTGCGATTTCGGGCCCCAAATGCGTACAGTAGCATCATCACTGGCGGATGCTAATAGGGACGGAAACATGGGATTCCAGGAAACACAATTTACCGTTTTCGTGTGTCCAGCAAGTTTACCCAATGGCTCCTCACGTTGTATATGCCAGATGCAGACCAATTTATCTTCGCTACCGCTCGCCACGAAACTTTCATTCACGCCACCAAAGCAAGAGTGTATAGCGAATTTGCTTTGACGAATACCCTGAAACCGACGTACCAAGCACTTATCCTCCAAATCCCATAAGTGAAGTCCTTGGCTAGAAATGTTTAGTAATGCTAAACGATCGGCAGAGTTGACGGTGAATGTCATAATTGGATGTGGTTCTTTGAGTATGTCGAAGTCTGTACCGGGATCTTCGAAGTTGTAGCTGCAAAACAAAAAAAATTAAGAAAATGTATAAAATTGTTTTTTTTTTTTTTTTTTTAATTTGTGATATTTTTACTATAGCAAACATATAAATATTTATATGTATTCATAGTTAAAAAAAATAATGAAAATAAAATATAAAATTTTTTTTTTTTTTAATTTGTGATATGTACAATAGATATCCAAATGTAGTTCTGTTTGATTCAATACTAATTTCATAGTGTAATTTCAGGAAAAAATCCGAAAACATACTCATACACTATAAACTTAGCCTTAGAAAACACTAAAATTTCTTTACACATTCTTACCCTCTGATACGATAATGATTATCGGATGCTATTATAGTCTTATTGTCAGCGCGATAAGCAACGCTATTAATGCGAACACCTTCCCATGTATTGAGAATGGTACCACTCAAGTCACACAAATAGAACTGACCCTTTTGACCACCGCAAACGAAACGTGTACCATCACGATTGAAAGCACCACACGATAGACTATCGTCTACCGATTGTGACATCTTTAGCACCAATTTCCCATCATCAACATTCCATATGCTTATCTCAGGTGTATCATCAGGTCCACCGACCAGCAACATCTTCGAATCTGGACTCCAGCTGACAAAAGCCACACTTATATTAGATTGTCCCTCTAATATACGGCGATGTTTCAATGTCAGCTTAAAGGGATCTACATCCCAAATAATAACGCTGGAATCTTTACTGCCCGTGGCGAGTTTTAGGCCATCCGGTGAAAATTTACAATACCAAACCTCATCGCAATGATCCGTTAGCACTTGTATAGTTTGCATGGGAAAACCATCTGTGTCACAAGTATGATCACTAAGCAATGATACATTTTGTAAATTCGTTTTGAAGGCCATATCGTGAAAATCGCAATGTACCGATTGCAATTCAACAGCCTGCTGGAGTAAGTGGCGTAAACGACGTGGCGGCATCATTACTGTTGGCGGTAGGAACCCCTGTAGACGGTCCATGACAACCGCACGTGATAATATACCTTTGCCTTCCCATTTGGCGCGTTGATAGAGATCATGATTATTCGAACACATCATATATGAGGAAAGTTGATGAACACGTGAAGTATTGTGTTGGAGTGGTGTTAGCTCATTGCGCAGCACATGTAAAGCATCCAATGGACAACCGTCGTCCAAGAATTCCAAGTACTTTTGCTCTAATAGTAAAAATTTCATTTCGATGATAGTCGAAGGCTTGCCATTATCGATGAGTGGTTCAAGCTCCTGTTTTTACGGAGGAAATTTGCAAATGAATTAGATTATAAGCATTTAAAACGTGGTTAGTTTTATTAAAAATACGAATGATCATTTCATAAAGATATCACAGTGACTTACAATATTCTTATGAGATTTTAGATAAATATTTTGTAAAAATTACATATGTTAATTGTGCTTTGAGATTTGTGAAAATTTAAAAGAAAATGGTCATTAGGGATTTCCATATTTTTTTGTATTTAAATGTTTTAATGCTAAGTGGAATTTAAACGAAAAATATTAACAAATTTTTTAGTGTTTGAATGACTAAAATTTCGCATCAATTTTTGACAAATAAAATATCATGTCTTTTTTTAGAAATACCTTCCAACGCAAAAATAAAATCAACATTAGAGTATGCAATAAATATTTATTCACAGACAAGGTAACGTTTTTCTGGGACATGAAATGGTATATTAAATTTGATCAAAAGTATATGTAGCATCACTTGAACTTCCACCTTACACTATGTAAAACAATTAATCACACTAAGTAAAAATTATTGATTAATCATTTCAGATATCCTAACAAGGCTATGCAGATTTTGATGTATATGCGATAGTTGGGCAACTGCGTCGAACATACATGCCGCTTTTGTAATGGTGAATCGGAGTACCATACATGTGATAATAAGAGTGCGTGGCGGTTGTAAGAAGGCTAACATATCTTAGAGATTTATAGTATATATATAGTCCCCATACAACCGACCTGTTCAGGCATGAAATTGTCAAAAAAAAAAGGTCACCACTTCTTTCTTGTTTTTAGTTTCGAACTGTCGGGTCGATAGATTTTATTACTTAAGTTTTAAAATATTGAAAAATTTATTTGTTATTTGTGTAAATCCTTTTATATTCTATTGGAAAATATTAAAATTTTATTTTGGGCAATATTTACAATTAATAAGGATATTAAATATTATATTACAACCGTATTATTTGAAGTAACAGTAACATGAAGTTTATGAGATCACGTAAAAGAAATATGCATGTATGTAATCATGGAGTAATATTTATTTATTTATTTATTTTATAAAGAAAAATAATTATACAATAATTATTCTACTTATGAACTAAAGCACTGGCTGCTATGGCCTTCGGCTTAACATAGAATCATGTATAGTATATAAATATATAAGAAAAAAAGTGTAAATATACCTATGGAAGATTGATAGTGAGATATCAAACTTTCCAAGGGTATTGCTATACAAACATATATAAGTACATTTGAAAAGTATGAGGGACGTGTTAAGATAAACTCTAAATATTAAACTATAAGTTTACGGGCCAAGAAAAACTTATGAATAATGTTGATGTTATTTTCATCTGTCTTCTTAAGAAGTTCCGATGGTTTATTGCATTTAAATAAGATGTTTCTAATTACATTTAATTCCACGCAGTCATCCAGAATATGTGTAACTGTTATTTGATTCGATCCACAAAATGGGCAAGGCGGTTTATCGGTACCCTTAAGTAGATGGGAGTGTGAAAAAACCGTGTGGCCAATTCTAAGTCGAACGAAAGTTCTTATTTTGTTACACGAAATTGATGATGGATACAAAGGCTTAGTTCCGTCAAAATTAAAATTTTTATAATGATGTTGGTAGCCAATCCATTTGGAGGAGAACCAAGTTTGCAAGTGACTGGTTACTAATTTTTTTATGTCTTTTTCGATGATATAGTCAAACAGATGTATTGGTTCGGAACCACCAGCCTTTGCTCTTTGATCAGCATATTCGTTCCCTTTGATACCAACATGCCCAGGTACCCACATAATTTTTATTGAATTTTTATTTTGCCAGAGTATATCCCTGATACTGGAGGTGATGTAGGAATCACTGGTGTTGTTAAATACGGCGTCAATAGTAGATTTGCTGTCGGAGCATATAACATACTTTTTAACATTAGTGGAAGCAAAACGAACCGCTTCTAGTAATGCAGCTGATTCGGCTGTATACACCGAGCAGTAATTTGGCAGAGCGCCGACGATAATAGTAACACCTAGCTCATTTGCTACCGCAAATGAAGTGCTGGTATCGTATCTGGAGCCATCTGTAAACAGGAACTCCCAATCCGTCCTTAAAAACTCGGTTGCTTCGAGATATAATTGTCTATATACACATGCCGAGGTATTCTCTTTTGGATGCCTGAGTAAATCGCTTATAAGAACAGAGTCTGGCAAGTGGGAAAGAGGGAGTGATATGACTTGTTTTAGTGTTGGTTTGGATATGATACCAAGTTGTTCGATGTAACTTAAGATGCGAGCGATAGTAGATGGCCTCTTTGCACAGTTTTTTTGTTGTTGCGAAGACTGCACGAAGGAGAACAGGTATTCATTTCTGCAGTTTAAGATTTTTTTTATTAGCATCATTGTGTTGTGCAATACTCTATCTTGAATTTCAGGCAAGCCAGCTTCCGCTAAAATTGCTTTGATTGGCGAGGTAGGAAATGCTCGAATACTCCTTCTGACTGCTGTGTGGTAGGGAGATTGCAACAGTTGCAGATGTTTTTTTGCACAGTGCCCATAGATTGCTAGTCCAAAGTCAATTTTGGCTAATAGTAGGACTCTTGTTAAGTTTATGAGTGTTGATATGCTGACAAATGAGTGCTTAGAGGATAGAAACTTAATAATATTTAGTTTATAAAATAAACTAATTCTAATGAACTTACAATGTTGCTTAAATGTTAATTTCTTATCAAATATAATTCCTAATATCTTTAATGTGTCAGTATTTGGGACGGAGATGTCATTAAGGGAAAGGGATGGGGGGGGAGCAACGGCGTTTTCTACAAATGTGAAAGAAGGAGCTTTTGTTGACTGAGAGCTTAGCTTCAGAGCCATGAGACCAATTGATTAAATCAGTTAAGATTTTTAAAAAGATTGTTCTGATTACTGTTAAATCTTTAACTTTTGAAAATATGACAATATCGTCAGCATAAATGAAATGTTCTACGTCAGAAAAGGAAGATATAATTGAACTGATTTTGTGAAAAGCAATAGAGAATAGGACTACTGAAAGGGGGGAACCTTGTGGGATTCCATTAAAGAGGGGAGCAATTTTCGAATGTCGGTTATTGACGCGAACAAAGAACTTTCTATTACCAAGGAAAGATTTAATGACGTTAAAGATTTTTGATCCTACCTTCCAACGTTTAAGTTCTGATAGAATGACATGTGAGCCGATTCTATCATACGCCTTTTCAAAATCTAAACTGAGAACTGACACATGGTTTCCGGATGAAAGAGCCATTGAAGCATAATGTTCAAAAATTAAAAGGGGATCTAGTACATTTAAACCTTTTTGAAATGCGAACTGATGAGGGTTATTTAAACTGTTTTTTTCGGAATACCAGAGTAATCGGCGAGAAATGATTTTTTCAAATACCTTGGATAAACAGGAGAGGAGGGAAATGGGTCTGTAACTAGCAATGGAAGAACTACTTTTACTTGGTTTGAGAATTGGCAGTACTGTTTCAATTTTCCATTCTTGAGGGAATACACCTTGATCCAAAATTAAATTATAAAGATCGATGAGTCTGAGTCTGGCAGAATAAGGGAGTCTTTTTAAAAGAGTGTAGGTTATTTTATCTGAACCAGGTGTTTTTCCACGCATAGAAGAAAGAGTAACATCAAACTCCTTAATAGAGATTGGAGAATCAACATAAATGGCTTCTGCGGCAGGAAACATGTTCGTGTAGGCATCGGAAATACTGTTATATTTTAAAGAATTAAATATGGAATGGAAATTCGAGTCATGGGAGTCAGTTGACCAAGTAGAAGCAAAAATTTCAGCAATACCGACAGGTTCGTAAATAGGACCTCCTGTAGAGTGAATGAAAGAGATATGTCTCCGATTGTCTGAGGAGGTAAGCATTTTTATGTCAGACCAAACTTTTTTCGCGTTCGAAGATGGGGAAATGTTTGCGGTGAGTTTTTTGAAAGCTTTTCTTTTTCTTTCTTTAAATTCTCTTCTAAATATACTATTTGCTTTTTTGAATTTGACCAGGTTATCATCTGTCCTGTTTCTCTTGTATTCTTTCCAAGCCGATTGCTTACTATTTCTTAAGGAAGACAGAAGATTGTTCCAATAAGGAAGTTTGGCAGAGGAAATTTTCGGCCTGCTCTGTGGTATGGCTATGTGGGCTGCTGTCCGTATAATACGTTTGATCGCTGCCGCTTCGGCGTTTATATTATTTGAGACAGGAGTTTGGTGAGATGTATTAATTGCAATTACGGAGAACTTCTGCCAATCTGCCTTTTCAATAAGAAATTTTGCCCGAGGTTTTAGTTTATTGATACTTGGTTTAGAAATGGTTGTTAAAATAGGGAAATGATCACTGTTGTGTAATTCGTCTAAGGTTCTGGTTGTGAGCTTTGGAGCTATGGAAGCAGAGGAGAAAGTGATGTCAGGGTTGGTAAATGTTTTATGGGTGGAAAAATGGGTAGGTGCTCCATCGTTGAGGACTATTAAGCTTTTAGAAAGTATGATGTCCTCAAATATCTCTCCTCTTTTGTTTGTGGAAGTTGAACCCCAAAGTGGGCTCCAGGCGTTTACATCACCTACGAAAATAATGGGAGTTGCAAAGATATTGAGAATATTTAGAATTTCTCTGGTAGTGAAATTTTGATCAGGAGGAATATAGCATGAAATGATAGTTAACCTAAAACCAATATCTAATTCTATTGCTAGCGTTTGAATGTTTGAACTAACTGGTATATGTTTGTGTTGAATCGATTTTTTTATGAAAATAGCAACGCCTTGTTTACAATGATTGTTATTTGGATTGTTATGAAAAAAACTAGAATATTTATTGGGAGCAAATATTGATTTATTTGCTGGAATGTGAGTTTCCTGTAATGCAATTACGTCTGGGTTGCATTCTTTAATTAATATATTTAATTCCGGGTAGTTGTTTAGAAGGCCGTGAATGTTCCACTGAAGTACATTCATGGCATTAAGTTTTGAGTATCCATGGTTGGATTGGGAACAGATGAAGAAGTGCTTAGAAAATTAGAGATCTGCGGGACAAAGTCAGATGGGATGAACTGAAGTTGTGAAATGAAGTCACTGACAGAAGTGCCGTTCGGTACAGAGTCATCGACTGCATTGGTTGTTTGTGCATTTATGAGAGTATTTGTTGTGCTGTTGTTATTAACTATAGCTTTGTTGTTTTCAATGTTGTGGATTTCGTTTTCACTATTTTCGTTGATGTTTTCTAAGTCAGAGGTGTTTTCAGAGACTATATTTTGTTGTTGTGTTGTTTGTGATTTTGTTTTCTCTTTTACTGTATCAGCAAAAGAAGATGAGTTTGGGTTAAGCTGTGGGATCTGTTGTTTGTGTATATGAATAGCTTCACGCATAGTACACTTGTTGTCAGTTTTTATTGTTAATATCTGCTTCATTTGAGTAAATTTAGGGCATGTTTTGCTTGAAGAAGGATGATTGCCAAAGCAATTTGCACATAATGTGCGAGAACATGGAGTAGGGGAATGAGGTGGAAGGGAGCAATTGTCACATGCCGGAGTTTTATCGCAACGTTTGTATGTATGACCAAGTAACTGGCAGCTTTTACATCTCATTGGGTTTGGATAATACGGTCGAACTTTTGTTGTATACCATGACACTTCGATTTTCTCTGGAAGATAATACCGATCAAAGGTCAAAAGCAGAACTCCGCTTGGATTTGTCTTACCGTCCTTGTGCTTTAAAAATTTGTACACATCTGAGACACCTTGATCTTTAAGGTTTTCAATAATTTCTTTTTCACTAACGTAATTGAGACAAGGCGCGTAAATGGTGCCTTTCACAGAATTAAGGTTTTTGTGCAGCTCAAAATTTATATCGCAAATATCTGCGAGTTTTTTTGTTGATAAGAACTTGTTAGCAACGATGTCGTTTTTAACAAGCAACAATAAGCTGCCGTCTTTTAACTCAGATATATTGTCGATTTCGGAGCTTATGCCCTTTAGAGCTTTGTGAACGGCAAAACATGAATATCTGTTCAGTGGTTTTTTTGTATCTAAGGTATTAGCTACCAAGAACTTAGGATTATTTCTTTTCACTGTAGGAAGTAATGGAAAGGATTCTTTTGGGAGAGGTTTAGACTTTTTACGTTTGCGATTTGGACTTTCCATCAATAAGGAAAATCTATTGCCCCCTAAGGAGGCGCCCGTAGGCGGCATATTTGCACTTCTTTCACTGTGTCTATATGTTCACTAAATTAGCACGCGCAGGGCGAAAGAAAAAGAAACAAAAACAAAGCTAAAGCGAAAAAGATTCGGTCACACGGCAGTGATTATCAAATTCGAGAGCGCAGAATAAACACAACTGTATTGCACGAGAGACAGTCGATGACTGCATGGAGTAATAAATATGCATAATTCTAAAAATAATCACATTTTGAAACTCATCACTACCAAAATTAGAAATTTGCGTTAAAACGGTCAGAGAACACGCCAAAGGAGAGCAAATTTTTTTTGCGTAAAAGCTAATGAGTACACATACCGTTCTTAAATTTGAGTAAATATAAATGGAAACAAGTTGAAAATTAATATATGAATTAATATCAACAGCAAAATTACGTACGACAATTATAAATTACTGACCAACTGACCATTATTTCACGTAAATATTATTACATTTATGAATCGCGGCTGTAAAAATACGTTGAGAAACTAAAATTTCATCTTATACCTCAAAATCTTAAAAAAAATATATCGATATACAACAAACAACGTTAGAAACAGTGCTATAAAAATAACTAAAGCAAACAAATTTAGAAAAGAAAAACGGTTAAATCTTTTAATAACTAATATATTTTTAAATCGATTATTATTTTTTTTTTTTTCAAAATATCACAAATCTCCTAAGTTTATAAAAGAAAAAGAAAAACAATTAATTGCACCTAAACATGCATTTTTGAATACACGCACATGAATACGAATGCAAATGTGTATGTGCATCTTTTTGAGTTCTAATAGTAACTTTAGCAAACTTCAATTTCTAGTTAGTAAATATATTATAAAATCTTTTTACTCACTAAATATGTATACATGACGCTCTACTCTACGCTCTTTTCTCTTATAACAATTTAATATAACAAAAGCTAAATATGGGCACATTGACCCGACTTGGCTTGGCACGGCATGGTAATCAGCTGCTGTTGTTATGAAAATACTCTTACATTGAAGCAAGTAATAATCCACAAGCGCTTCTGCAAGTTTCTTTGTTTCGATAGATACATTTTTACTGCGCACAACAACAAAACACCCACCCCCATAGACTGTATTACTACATAAACGCCGCCGTCCGCCATACCCAGTAATAAAGTATGTATACAAATACACACAAGCACACAAGCATGCGCACGTAAGTGTGTTTACCCAGAAGAAGTTCGTCATGCGTCGCTACCAAGCTAGACCTGCTGCTAGTCGTATAGAAATAAATAAATAACAAAAAAAAAAAACACAGGAGCACAAATAAATACTAAACAAGTCGAATGAGTATCAGCTGTTTCAATGCAGTGAAAAGCGAAAAGCTGAAATAATTAAATATTGGGCAAATTTAGAAACATTTTTTTTTAATAAAAAAAAAATCCAAACAATTTACAGAAATTATATAAATACAGCATAGAGTTGTGTGATTTTAAAACTTTATAAAATATTTTTTTATAAAAAATTAAAATTTAGGGGGCTGTTAATAACGGAAATAAAAAGTTTAAAGTTTACGAAATACACACAAAAGTTAGGTTAGGCTTTGAGTTTCTGGGTAATTTCTTTATGAAAAAAAAAATAACGAACAAAACAACAAAATTTATCTTATTATTTTAATTTTAGTTTTACCTTTTGTCTGTTTCTAATATTTAAGTAGACATCTAGACGCGTCCAACATAGAAATTTTTGCATTAAAAAAAATCAACCTCACAAAGAATTGTGTGCAAGTAATTACGGCATATGTAAGTACGTCTAATACCAGGTAAATCAGTCATAGATGCAATCTCATTAAAAATACATTCCTACCTGTCGCATGTACATACATATGGAGATAATACACTAAAACACCTGACAAAATTGGTCTAACCAGCTTATGTGGACAAGGTGAATTAGTTACAAATGTAAATTGAATATTTATTACGTATGTGCATATGTATTTGAATTATTACTTTTTCCTGATTTGGATGTGTGGGTTTTTTGTGCATCTTTTATTCAATTTCTTTGTTTTGCTACAATTTGCTTTGGTTTACTTTAATTTTCATTTTTTGTTTTTGTATATGTGTTGATGTTGCTTACGCTTCAAAAATAAAGACATAAAGTCGCGGAGACACCAAGTAATGAGCGCGCGCAATCGTCAGTCAAAAGCTTTTTTTCAGAGCACACAAAGCCCAAAACGAAAAAGTGAACAAAGTAAAAGTTTCTAAAGATATTGATATAGGTATGTACACAAACGTATTGGCTTATGGTGCTGTTGCTGGTCTTGCTCAGCTCCTCCAGCTATCAATCGATGTACCCTCATTGGTATGAATACTCAACAAATTCACCAACTCGTTGTTTGGTTTTTCTTTCGACTTGACTTCACTGTTTTTATTATGCTTTTTCAGTAAAATGTAAATAACAACACAAAGCAATGCGCAAGTATGTATGTATGTATGTATGTATGTATGTATGTATATAATACTGCGAGTAGGTAAGTATGTATGTAGACATTTTTCTTTACTGTATAGGCTTGAAGGGGGTGCGAATATAGAGGGCAATAGTTAGCGAGTGCGTTGTACGTTGGCTCTGCTAATACTCGCAGACTGCTGACTATTTAAATACATATCTATGTATGTAGGTATGTAGGTATGAATGTATGTCTGCAGGTTTAGAATACTGCGAGTACTAAAAAAAAAAGTATTGTTGTACACATACATACACGATCCACCATTACTAATACAAAAAACAAAAGATTTTTAAATATGATAATGTATTTCATATTCAACGCAGGATGATTTCGTTTTTTTCCATTTGCCATAATTAGAGTTCAAAGTTGAATTTTAATTGAAAAGTTTAAAAAACGCACACGCCAGAATATTTGAATGTGGGATCACAAAAAAAAAAATTTGCATTCATTCAAGATTAAAATAAAGTTCCATCTACATGGTGATTTCTACATTTCCATGCTTCATTTATCAGGTTCCTACTACCTACTACTAACCTTTAAATCAGCATCAGCTTTGTTCCATTCCCCAGACAATACATGCTCTCTGAATTTCGATGCGGCTGGATGTTCTAAATAACAGCCCGATTCACCCATAAGTGCCTTTACCGATTTTTCCAAACCAATGTCTTGTAAATATTGACCAATCAATCGAATAATTTCCTGATTAGACTTGTCTAAGTGAAAGTTGTGATTGACGGCAGGCACGATCGCCTGATCGTGATTATTTTGGGCATCCACAGTGCCACCGTCGCTGGTACCTGTGAATCCATTGTGTTTTGTATCGTGTCCATTCGAAGTCGAGGTTGATGAGTTTGCAGAACTAGATACGTTTATTAGCGAATCCCCGGTATTTCCTACGGTATTACCGCCACCGCCGACACCATCAGCTGCCGAATTCGCTGATGATACATTGCCAACCGAAGGCCCAACGGACGCGGAGACTGACGCGGTACCTGTACCCGAACCCGATCCCGATCCGGACGAAGATGCATTCGATAATGTTGAATTTTGCATATTCGTTGTTATATTACCACTATTATTACTAATATTATGTTCTACCGTATCGTCACCGACTGCGTCACTGACGACGCTCGCAACACTATCACTATTACTTATTGTGTTTGTTATCGTGATTGTATTTTCTTGTGTTTTCTCTTTTATTTCGGTGTCTATGCAACTAGTATCAGTTGTTTTTGATTCACCAATATTTTGTTTTTCACGTGTATTTTGATTTTGATTTTTATTTAATCGCTGCTGTTGTGCCGCTCGTGAAGTTGACGCTGTTTCTGCGTCAATAGATACACTCGTACTGAGACTACTACTGCCACTGCTACCAGCAAATTCTGTTACTCCTACTGCTGCTGCGGTTTCGGTTGCCGTTATCGAAGTACCTGCTGCGGCTGCTGCTGCTGCTGTTGATCCTCCTGCTGAACGTCGTCCTTTTTTGCGCGGCGGCTGGTCCTCGGCAGAGGTACCAGTTGCAGCAGCCTTTTTGTTATTTCTATCAATTTTGAGTCTCTTTACTTAAACGCACGACAACAAAACACTCTCGTCGCGCTAATACGCTCTTCTCGTTAATGCTCAGGTAGACAAGCTTTTTCGCTGTTTTGGGTATGTATTTGTTTCTCCTCTGGAGACTCTAATACTTCTTTGTTACCTCTTTTTTCAATCTTCTATACGTTTCTCTTACCTGTATTAAGGTTTTGGGTAAAAGTTGGTTATAGCGATTTACAATGATATTGAGTACATTTCATAAGTACTATCAACTAACACACTCACCTCTGCTTTGGCAGCCACTCTGAGTGCAAACGTTTGCTTAATGAGCTAAAATGTAGCTGGTTGAATACTAGATGCGTGCCTCTTGTATTTTCTTTAATGGTAAATGTATTTTGATAATGTTGTTTACCTCAGTAATGCGCGAACACAATTTAACAAAGCTGATAACAGAATAGAAATTAATAAAAAATATTAGAAAAATGTCAAGAGAAACTAAAAATTTAAAATATATACATACATATAACATAAACAAGTATTTACTCTACTTTATGTATGTATGAACTACACATATATCCATAGTTGTAGATGCCAAATTAACCACAAATAATATTTTACGTTTTATCAATTATAAATATGGTAAAAGAAAGTAAGGAAATTAGCATTTTTCGATTAAAAAAAGGAATGATTAAAGCCTAGACAGCTGCTGGGGCCAACTTTAATAAATTAATTGGCAAGCAATATTTAATGAAATAAAATACTGAATTATGTTTATATGAAAGAAATTAGTATATTTACAATAAATTGAATTTAGTACGATTTATAGCATACATACTTAACGCACCCGTTGACGAAATATGTGCTATCAAATGGAGATGTAACTTACTTTCTAATTTCTATGCATTATAATTTTTTACAAAATTCAATTGAACTGTTTAAGATTCTGAAAAAATTCGTATTTCAATTTTAACTGCTTAATAGTTTCAAAACGCAAAACTCTTTTATTATTTAGTGCTTATTTCTGAGAACAAAACTCCAAAATTCCTGTCGTTAATATGAGTAGTTTGGGGTTAATTATACATTTGCAGCTTGATGCGTATATGAGTATATGTATATATTTATTTAAAAACTTTTTTCATAGTCTCTTTCATTAGTAGTTGCATCCATATATAATTAAATACGTCATATCATAAGAATTTTTGTTACAAGAAATATGTACAATGTAAGCAATAATCGCTTAATATGCAATACAATTTTATTACACCATATACATACATATGTACAATCCAAAAATACATAATAGTTGCACTTTTGTTTCTATGTACTTTACACTTCCTGTTATTTACTTCGACACAACCAGCCCCTCCGCTAACACTATTTACCATAAGCATATATCTACATATACAGATATATGCTTCTATTCGATCACCTCAATCTAGCAGTTTTTTTTTATATATATATTTCACATGCCTTCTCTTTTTTTTACTTTTCTTCACTCCATCTTCGCCAAGTGCAATGCAATTTTTTTTTCTATTTTCTACATTCAATTGATGCACATATAAAAGCGTTTTATATTCTTCGCTTATGTTTTTTCACATATTTATTCAATGATTTATATTTACTTGTATATTTTACTAACTATGTTTCATATTTTTCATCACAAATATACTAGTTAAACATTAAAAAATTGTAAAAATCCGATGACGAAACAAAGAACTAGTATTTTTTCTTCTGCTCACCACTATTCCTTCTGCATTCGGAACAGTTTTCGTTTAGTATGTATGTCACATAGGGTTGCATGACGCTGCAAATAAAAATATTTAAAAAATTTTAAAGTAGTAAAACTCAATATATGAGTAACCAAAATATTATACACATTGAAACAAACAGAGATAATCAAACATCTGTTTCCCAAGTTTTTAACTTCTTTTACTTGCCTTCGAATCCAAATCCAACTTATATTGTAGGATGACATCCCCACTCTTCCTGCCAAAACTTTTAATCTCAATATCAATAATATCAAACAAAAAAGAAATCGATGTTCATATTATATTTTTCTTTCAAAGAATATAATGTTAGAAGCTAATCTTCTCGCCTGACAAAACAATTTATAATTTTTGCTTTTATACTCCGTTTTCATGCATAACTGAATTGACATTCTGTTTAACATACTTACACATGTACATGCAAGCAAAAAAAAAATATTTTAAAATTTTGAATGGGAATTTACTCTGCGTCTTAACACTCGATAAAAGTTTTCAAATCAAAGAGAATTTTATCCCAATATTCAAAGATAAATACGCACTGGTACAACATATTCAAGCAGTCATGATATAAATATATGTGTGTATGTATGTATGTACATGTATCTGATATATATATTTACTTTGGAAAGACAGAGAACAAAACAATAAATAGCTATGTAAGGCAAAACGAAAGAGGAATGTTAATGTAACAGCTGATGGTTGTCAGTTATTTTGTTGTTATTTACTGTTCTTTCGTTAAATTTTATGCTGCTGTTGCTGAGTTACGTGGGTTAAGTTTAATTTTTTATATTGTATTGTTGCGAAAATGCGAGGCGAATGTCAGATGAAAGAGAGAAGCCGATAACTAGTACGTTCTAGAAACGATAAAACAAGAACCTTCCATAGCGAACAATTCGATGCTTCTACGCTTTCGTCTGCGAGCAGCCGACTGCTATATAAAGGCGACACTCAGCTGCAAGTCAAGTTAGTGATAAAGTAAACTCGTTGGCGTTAACATCAGTAAAGTCGTAAAGTAAACGTGTTGGGATTACATTTAAGTAGAGTAAATTGTGAAAGTTGATGTTAGTGATTATAAATAGTAAAGTGTAGTATAATTGAATTGTGAATTACTGAGAAAATAAAGGACATTAGATTAATTCTTTATAACGAAAGAAACTGCAAATTGAGTTGGCGAGTTTTATTTAACAATCCAGAGATCGTACCCGAAGGATTCGGAAAATAATCGAGGTTGATTTAGTAAAATCGTAACAGTATCGAAACATGCACAATGTACTTACGCATATGTGTGTCAAGGCTAATATTCTGTGTTTTGAATGTTGAAATTGTTATAAACATATTCCGTCAGGGGTAGCATACATATGCGCTACATATAAAAATGACCGAGTTAATACTAAGGAAAATTAAAGGAATTTGTTTGTATATGGAAGTCCACGTATCTGGGAGTGGCCAAGAATGACTTACTTCAGGATTTAAACCAAGTATCATCTGAGTTGGCAATAGATAATTTCTTTGGCGTTCAAACTACTGGAAAATCTTTCAGCGTGTCACTGATTTGCGCTCTTAGCCCAAGAGAATAGAAAGATGATTTGACTAGATAAGCTTTCTGTCTTTATCCGTGAAGTCAAAAGTTCGATTGGCGGCAGATGAGATGCCTAGAGAAGTTTAGCACCGATATGCATGCTTTTCATAAGAGCTGATTAAAATTCAATAGTTCACGCGGCAGTTGGAGAGAAGCCAGATTTTTTCCGACCAAGGCAATCAGCTATATAAAATAGCCGATATTTAACAGTAACAAGGATATAGAAAAATTTTTCATCTGCAATAATTTCCATAATTCAGAAGTGTAATATGACTACATAATATTGAAAACGTAGAAAAAATAACATCTTTTTTCTAATGATTCCCACCAAAAGTGAGTTCCTATGAACATGAATTCGCTGACCGTCGCGAAGTATCAGAAAAAACGAACTCGTCCCGGTGCAAATTCATTGTTTTTGTCTAAAAATGTAGTAGAATAACAAAAGAAAAACAATTAAAATACATTTTTTAATATCTGTATTTATTTACTGTCCTCTGCTCTCCTTACAAACCATATGAAATTAGAAATTTCAAAATAATGAGTTTCGTTTTAGGTTATTTTATGTAACAAAATGAAAATAGTTTATAGTATTTAAGCGATTAAGTTTACGTACAATTACTCAGCTATTTCATACATTACATACAACTACATATATATGTATGCATATATTTTTGTTTTATTTTTATTTTTCACAATGTGATTTTTAATGTCGTTAATATTATTTAATAATTAACTTATAATTTGTTAGTTCAGTAGTTTTGTGTATCATTGTTAGCTTTTTAATTTTTTTGTTTGTTTGTATTATTTGTTTTATTGAAATTCAGTCTCACTTGCACCCATTGACTTTTACTTTATCTTTCAAGTTCATATTTCCTCATTACTACATTACACACGTACGCCTACAACTATGTTTAAATATTTCTAAGTATAGAATAGTTCTTTTTCTGTTTGCTGTGTAAAGCCATATACTGTTTTTTTACAGTTAATCGATATATATTCATATTTTGATTTTATATTATTTGTTCAACGCATTAACTAGCTTGAAGTTTCGGACTTCAATTTCAATTGAATTGAATTAATTACTGTTTTTCAATATTCATTAGACATTTACATAGTATATATGCCCATTTGTTATTTATAAAAATATATAAACTTTGAATGAGTCCAATTTTTACAATTTCCAACGTCGTATCCCTGCAACTCACATTCATTCCCACAATACAACTGCACTTTTTACTTTAACAATGTAGTATTTTTTGTTGATATTTCATAAGCTGTTTATATATGTACATAAATTTTATGCTTATTATTTTTGTTTTCTTATAAAAAATATGAAAATTAAATGGTTTTGTATGTATACAAATAAATTTTGAAATTTCAATAATCTACACAAAACAATTTGTTTATGTTGTAGCGTAGGGAATTCGAAAAAAATTTTACTCATTTTAAAGACATAATGCGTTTGATCCGTTTTTACCTTTCTAATAAAATAATATTCATCTTTTTGTCAACAACTCATGTATATTAAAGATTTTAAAATGATTAAAATAGGTTTTCTTTAAATAATGTATCAGTAATCCAGTATATTTATATAATTTTTTAATTGATAAATATAGGTTGTATGGCAAAAAAGTACCCAGTCGGAAATATCAAAACAAATAAAGTGTACATAAGTATACAAAAATTTAATTATTATTGAAATAAATATTTGAATTGTATTAAGATGATATTTTTTTATATTTCCAATTTATGTATACTAGTATGTGCCGCAATTAAAAAAAAAATATTTATTTTCTCAAACCCCCTTTAACTGCCTATATTTTTGGTAAAATTTTTCAATTCAATTTTATAAAAAATGCAAAATTCTCATAATGCTTTACATACATACATACGCAGAGATAAATTTAATAAAACCTTTTAAATTTCTTTTCAATATTTTTTTTTATTGACTAAAGTTTAAATGATGTTGCTATATATTCATGATACAGTGTTCGATGCAACTTTTAATTTAGTTTTTAAGTTTATTTTGAAAACAATATAAATTTATAGTTTATTTATATAATATTAAATGTATGTTTATATGCACCTGACATACATATTGCATAAGAGTTATTATAGGTTTTTTTTTTTAGAAATTCCATACTATAAACATACGTCGCAATTGGGCTTAAAACGCCAAATTAGAGATATCTACAATTACGTATTGAAATAATTGAAGTTCTTATGGAGCAAGCCAAAAAATACTTAATCATTGTTCGTAATAGAAAAACATTTTTAAAACAAAACTCATGCAAACCACATTTTGTTTCCTTTTATATTTAAATTGCTTTAGAATTTTATGTATGTACATCATTTTATGCTTGCAATTCATCAATATGACCCCAAATAGGTTATTTTCCGGTCGAATATGAGTTGTTTCTCTTAAATTTGTGGTTTCGTTCTTAATTTGTTTTCATTTAACTCTTTTTACTTATATGCATTTGTTATATATATATATATGTACATAAAAGTAATAATTATTTCACAAATTTGCCGTTTTCTGGCATGAAGCTTGGCTCTTCGCATTCGCTGCCCTTGAACTTAAGACACACCTACAAAATGTGCTGAAAATTTTTCAAATTTAGTCGCATATACTTATGTATACACATATGTGTATGTATGTATGTATAATAAATATGTTTTTATTCATTTAATATAATAGTATTTTATAGCTTTTTCTGTTTGTTTGTTGTTGGCTTACAAAGTTCTTTTTTTTAATCTATATTAATATAGTTGTAATTATTAATTTTTTTTAACTAACTATAATTTAGTTTACGCTTCAACTCGTTGCCATTACTATTATAATATTTGATAATAAAAATAGTAAGTGATAATAGTAATTATAGAAAAACCTAAAAATGTTGCAATATTACAATTACTTAAGATAAAAGTTTGGAAAAAAATGAAAAGAGTTTTATTAAGTGTAATTGCTAAGCTCTCAACACTTTTTCTCTATAAAAACACGCTTCAACAATACCTGCTCGGTCAAACATTCAACCATCTAACATACAAACATGTGGATATACAATATTCTTTTAAGAAAATTTGTACGTATTGTCGATGGTAACGGCTTTCTGTGCGTCCATGGCGCCCGAATGAATAGGTTTTGCTATATTTGAGTATTGCTATTGTTGTTGCCTTCACTACTACATGAACAGTGGTTGCGTGTTGTCTGTCATCTTGTCAGCGTTATCATCGTTATCGTCTTTCAAGCGCTGCAGCCGGGTCGTTGTTGTTGTGTTGTCTAAGACTGGCGTCTCCACCATAGGAGGGTAAATGTAGTCTCACAGCGGCCCCGTTTCGCCCTGCTCACGCTTTTGACGACGTAATTTTTTACTCCACAATTCGTGGCAATCTTGCCATGTTGGCAATCTTGGTATAGCCATCCTGTGGGAGGCACAAATTGGATAAAGATTATTTATTGAAATAAAAAATATTTATATTTATTTATAAGACTACTTAAGTGTAAAAATTCAGTTCACTTACTCATCGGGATTGATATTCACGAGCCATGGTGATTTGAGCGCCTCTTCAGCAGTTATTCGACGTTCCGGATCCAATTCTAACATACGATCGAGTAAATCTAATGCGGGCAACGGCATGAATTCAAAATCTTCTCGTAATCGTCGCCTATGCTGGCGTTTCGGCTTGAACGTATGGAAGAGAGGCAGTTTAATGACGTTCGGCCACACAGCCGGCACCGGTGTACCACATACTCTCGATATGGTATCTAATTGTGGCATTTCGGCATTCGCTTGAAAGAGTGGTCGTTTAACGAATAGCTCTCCCAAGATACAACCGCATGACCAAACATCAATCGCTGGTCCATAGCGTTCTTCGCCGAGCAGAAGTTCGGGTGGTCGGTACCAAAGTGTTATTACTTTGTTGGTGTACGGTCGTTCACGATCTTCGGCATTATAAAGGCGTGCCAAACCGAAATCCGCAAGTTTTACTTGACCCCTTAAAAAATATTAGATATATTTTAATTAAATTAACAAATAATTTTTGCAATAAAAAGTAGTAGATACATAGTTAAGCAGAATTTTTTGTAAGCATATAGATGGAAATCAGTTTAAAGGCAATCTTATCAAGATAAGAAAAAAAAGGCAGTTTGACTTTATTTAGCTTACTTGTTGTTCATTAAAATATTTGAACATTTTATATCACGATGAAGAAAATTCTTCTTATGGCAGTAATTGAGGCCATCTAGTAATTGCTTCATAATACTGGCATTATTCTCTTCGTTGAAGTCGACCATGCCAGATTCCAGTAGGCCCATTAGATCGTGATCCATATATTCAAATACCAAATAAAATGAGCCCTTATCTTTGCGAAATTCCAAAGCATCTTGCTTGTCAGTGACTATTTCATGAAGATTAACAATGTTGCGATGATTTAGTTGGCGTAAAATCTTAATTTCGCGCACAGCGGTAATGGGGAAACCTTCCTTTTCATGCTCCAAACGCACTTTTTTCAGCGCAACCATTTCGTTAGTATGATGATCACGTGCCTTATAAACCTGCAACAAATTACAAGAAATTAGATGTCACATTAAATTAAGACCTTATTGCATTATTTACCTGCCCGTATGTGCCTTCGCCAATTTGAGCTATCATTTCGAAGACGTCCACACAACGTTCACCCCAATCGCGTACTTGATTTCGTGAGTCGCGTCTATTTAATATAACAGGCCGTTTGCGTTTTGCGGTTGCACTTCCTTTACTGTTATTTGTCAGTTTACCGTTACCGGCAGTGTCATCATTGGCCTCACCACCCGCAGCGCCCTTACTTGTGCTACTGCTGCCAGCATTAGACATGTCGAAATCTTCAGGACTATTAATAACATCATCCTCATCACCGCTTAGCTCCTCCCCACCAGGCACCATTGGTGGCATGGGTAAGTTTAGTAAGCTTTTGTTGGCATTAGAGTTTGGCGCTGATGTTGTAGTGGTACCCGTAGCGTTATTCGTGTTCTGTTTCTTGGCAGGTGTAGCATTTGAGCTGGCATATTCCGAAGGTGGAGAGGGTGTTGTTGCAATGGCTAAATCAGCTGCACTTATACCTGGCGGCATTGGTAGTGCAGTAAGACTTTTCGGTTTAGTTTTGATCGGCGGCAGTGCAATGACAGCTTCACGATCTGTTTCATCCGTACTGTTTGCATTTGTTACTGTGTGATTTTTATCAGTGTCCATAGCTGTCGAAAGATCAGCGCTGGATTTTTCCTCCACTACTAACTTTGGCATGGGAATGTTAGTGACTTCTACGACGGGTTTATTCACGCCACTAACGCCGTTTGGTGCTGAGGCAACAATGGCGGATGAGACTGCAGTTGGCACTGAAGTTGTCGTTTTTACTGTGCTACTGTCAGTGGTGGACGGTGTGAGGTCTGAATGCACAGCGACCTTAGGCGTGCTGCTATCTATGGATGAGCTATTCTCATTTATTATGAGCGCGCTGTTGCTGTTACTATTCTCCTCCTGCCGTTCTAGTAGAGCCTAACAATTGTGTTAAAGAATTATGGCTTAATATTTAAAATATCGAATTTATAATAATTCGTATACTCACGTCTATCGCCTTTTGACGCTTATGTTTGTCTTTTACCAGTTCAGCGAATAGGCTGGTGTCACTGATCTTCTTACTGTATTCGATACGTTTGAGTTTCAGGTCGCGCGAGGTTGGTGACGATGAGGGTGAACGAGATCGTGTACGAGAACGCGAGCGTGAGCGACTACGACTTCGAGAACGGCTATATGAACGCTTGCTGGCACCGCGGCGACGATGACGTGAGGAAGAACGATAGCGCCGATGGGATGACCGTCCACTGACCCCTGCTGCAGACATCGGCGAAGGTGGGGAATCGTAATGTCTTGTAATAGAACGTGGTGAACGGGATCGAGAATATCGATCACCGCCTGCTGCCCGTTTTGAAGATCGCGACCGCACAGGCGATGGTGAGGTGGCTTGTAGATATTTGCTGCTGCTACTATGGCGATGACTGCCGCTAGCGATACCACTACTACGATATACTGTTGAAGAGCCAGACGTATATGGTGGCGATTGCCTGCTGCGTGTATTCATCATACTGGGGCTTCTGTACAACGAAAAAAAAATTATTATTATTAACTACCAATGCTTCAATACGCAATAAACTAACTAACCTTGAATAACGTCTACCATACTTATCCCTAGTACTATTACCGAACCGATCAAGATCATGTGCTTTGCGTATACCATGGGTGCTGGAACCATGATGGCGAGCATGATGTGACTCGAACGCCGCATTAGTACGTGTATCAAAGGCTTTTCTACGTTTATGAGGTGGTGTTGTTGGCTGAATGTGCTGGTAACGGTCTGAAATAGATAGAGAATAAATTAAGTTTTTTGGTTTGTTGGATTTGATAGATCGAACTACTCACCAGGTGAAACATGCTTGTATTTATGTGCTTCGACAGTCGTGCCACTGCGCCCACTATAATGGTGACTAGCAGCACCACCTCCACTTATGTTGCTTAGTGAGCGGTGATGATGATGTGTTAGTACATCTTCTTTGGGTGGACTGAGTGCGTAGCGTGAGTTGCGCACTGCATGTCCACGTTCGACATTGCTGCCTCCATAAAGTGGTGGCGTATGTGGCGACGTTGCGGCGGGAAATCTAGCTTTAGCACTGGTGCGTGGTGGTGTACGATGACGCTGATTGGTTACAGTTACTTGCAGTGACGCTGCTGCAACTGTGGGCGTACCAGTAGATTTTGCTGCGGCTGCTATAGTAATACTAGACTTTTCAGCGTAATAACTATTACTGCTGCCAGGACGCATTGGTGGTGTATCGACAGACATTGGACTGACCTCTTTGATAGGTGTGTAAGAAGGCCCAACACCGCTTCCAGCGGTATTACGGTCAGGAGTCTTAATTGCACTGTTGCCAACAGATTTATCATGAGCACGATGCGTCTTTGGTGATGGGGTGTAGTGTCGGAGACTTTCAGCTGCAATGACGGCATCGAGATCATTATCAGAAATCGATTCGATACTTGAGAAGGAACGGGCACGCTTCTTCCGTCGTTTTTTTGACTTCTTATTTCTCTTGTGTTTTTTGTCTTTTTTGGCCTTTTTGCGTTTCTGGCGTTTAAGTTCAGCTTCGAATTCATCTGTATCCATGGAATCACTACTTTCCAGAACTGCCTCCCAATCCGACACTTCTTCGTCTAGCAATTTACTACTGCTACTACTAGTTTTTTTTTGTTTTTTCGCACTTGAGTCACTATCATGTGTACGATGATGAGATAAACTTGTTATCTTTGAGTCATTAATGGAAGCATCCGGATTGGATATCTTATCTCCTTTGGTATTAAGCAAACTGCTGCCAGGTGCAGTACCAGAGTTGGATTTTGCCCCACGTACAGGTGAACCAAGAATAATACGTCGCACTCGATTGGGTGAGAGATTGGAAAGGTTATCAAGACTTTCCTTTCGCTTTTGTCTGTAAACAAAAAATTAATATTTATTATATTAAGAGAACGTTAGAAAATCTTGCATTTTACTATTTTTATTTACCTGAAATTATCATCATCACTGCTGAGAGCATGTAGCTGTTGATCAGATTTGGGTACTTTAGGTGGCGGAAGTTGATTGGATGGTTTAGTATCTTTACCAAGAGTTGATCCCGCTATATCTTTACTCGACTTTCTTGTTATGTCATTCGGTTCAGAGTTGATTTCGCCAGTCTCTGGATCAGAAAAATCCTCCGAACTAACATCTGAGTACTCTACAATAGCAGTAATGGTGTGTGGCTTTGTCGTTGCTTGTTTCATTTTTAAATCACCATCATGATCAGTACTGTCCTTACTAGTATCACCAACAGGTGAGGGGCTGCTGCTGGTACGATTATTTCGTAAATGTCGCCCCGGAGAAACTTCACGCGAGTGTGAGCGTTTACTTCTTTTCCTCTTGGACTTTTTATGTTTTTTTAGTAAATCATCATATTCCTGTGAATTCCTGCCACTAAGACGATCACTGGTACTAGCATAGCGCGTGCTGCTGCTGTTACTCCCGCAACCACTCCGTTCTTTTTCCATACCGGAGTTAGCCACTTACACACCACTGTGGTATTACGGTTTAAGTATATAATTCGATTCGTTATATTAGATTTAAATCTTTACTTGTCAGGAACCCTCGTATTTGACTTTTTTCACTTGTCTTAACCAAAGCTAAGATTTTGATATCTTATTACAGTTTTAAAACTAAATCGTTCCTCAGCGAATTATAACTAAACTTAATCACATCTTCTTTATTTTTTTATCAGTAATATTATGTGTCAAAAGAGTAAATTAATAAATGCAATCTGAGAATGCTTTTATTTGAAGTTTTAGTTTTATATGATTTGTGAAATTTTCTGCAAGCTTCGCCGTCAACGATGTCGTCCCGATGTTTTACAAACAGCAACAACAACACGGCAACTGAAATAAAAATTTATCATTTGTCACTTTTTGCCCCAATTTAATTTGAGGTTAGTGTTCATTACAACGATACAACACTGATATTTGTCATAATATCAAAAAATTCAAAGTTGCATCAAAAGGTTTATTTACTTTTTCATTTCCACTTTGAGACAAATTTGGAAAATAAAAGTTAAGAATAATTTCAAATATTATATCTTGCATTAACAATAGACAATTTGAAGTACTTTTATAGCTTAAATTTACATAAAGAGTAATACATTTCATCAAGCCAACACTTACTGATTAACATCCCTGCGACTAATTTGAGTGACGGTAGAAATATTTCGTGACATGATTTGACGCAAAGGCAAAATTTACAATTTCAACAACATTCGCTCGTGGATTCTTTTTATATTATTTTGAAATAAATTTAATATAATGTTGGGGTAAATATTTATAAAAAATTTAATTTGTAAGCGATTCCAATTTGCTATTTTTGTTGGCACGTATTTTCTTTTAATTATATATATTTGTTTAAGACACTGATTGTGTGTATTTTATTCAAATTTCTACTTTGTTACACTTTGTTTTCACTAGTAAATTGCGGATTTGTGTGTCTAATTTTTAATCCAAATACATTCTTCACTACTGCACTTTCACGAATCAACACTATAAAAAAACACTTTGTCCACTTGGCCACTGGTGTCGCCAACTTCGCTCCAATTCAACGCGTAATACGTGGTCTTATTACTTGTACGTCGCGAAGGTGTGTAAGGGGTGCCCTGCACTCCGCTGGTATTGTATTCCCGTTTACTTATTTTATGAGTTCGATATGTTCTTCCCAAAGCAATTTCGCTTTGCGAGTGCTAAATTTTAATTCTAATTCCATATGCATTTATTTCAAATCTAATCTTTGGGGTTTAAATCATGTGCGATTTATTAAATGAGCATATTCGCATGAAGATTTATAAAAATGGCAATCAAATTATGGAAGCAGAATTAAATGGAAAATTTCTTCCCAGCAGCGCACAGAGCAATTGCGATTACGACAGCGAAATAAAAATTTCTCGTTAAAATGCGTAGATGGCGAATGCGCAGGGTTGCATCAAGGCTGCTAAAAATTTTAAAATAAAAAAATATTAATTTATTATTATTGTTGCCATTTTCAGTTTTGTTAGGCAAAACTATATAATTAATGATTATTTTCCTCGTAATTTTATATTTTGATTTAGTAACTTTTTAAATAAATCAGGATGTTTGATGAATCGTGAGATGTCATAGCAAGTTATTGTCAGAATAATGTCATTATTCTTGACATCGTACGTGCTGTGTTTAATAAGCTGCTCGATATTTGACGTTGACTATTCGAATTTAAAAGAAAGAAAAAATTGCAAAGGACGCGGGCAGGTGCGAGATTTCTATTTATTTACAAATTGATAGCGTGAAAATATTTTTTTCTATTATTAAGTGAAAAGCTTGAAATCAATATATAAGTGGTAGTGTACAAGGATTTCTAAGATGTCCGTACACAGTGGTTTAGGCGAGTGTATCGAGGTGTGTGTTGGAGGTTTATACCTTTGTATTCAACCTTTGATATGACGCTTTACATCCAATTATAAATAAATATTTTATAGGACTATGAGGTGCTACACTTACTTGGAAAAGGTGGATTTGCGAGTGTGTATAAAGCGCGTTGTACGCGTACAAATCAAATGGTGGCTATTAAAATGGTATGTGAATTTATAATACAAAGTTAATTAAATTGAAAATAATGTATTTTGCCACAGATCGACAAACAGCTAATACAGCGTGCTGGTTTGGCCAATCGGGTACGTCAAGAAGTTGAAATACATTCGCGTCTGAAACATCCTTCTGTGTTAGAGTTATATACATTTTTCCAAGATGAGAACTATGTATACTTAGTGTTGGAGCTGGCGCACAATGGTGAATTACATCGATATATGAAGCAACAAATGGGCCGCAACATGACAGAGGAGGAAGCATCTAGTATTTTACGCCAGGTGGTTTCAGGTTTGCTATATTTACACTCGCATCAGATAATGCACCGAGATATATCGCTGTCAAATTTGCTGCTAAGCAAGGATATGCATGTTAAAATTGCCGATTTCGGTTTGGCAACACAGTTAAAAAGGCCGGATGAAAAGCACATGACGATGTGCGGTAAGTAGATGTAAACGGTATGATATGTATTTGAAAACTATAATTAAAGTTCTGCAGGCACACCCAATTACATTTCACCAGAGGTAGTTACTAGAGCAACGCATGGTCTCCCCGCCGATGTATGGGGTCTCGGTTGTATGTTTTATACTTTGCTTGTTGGTCATCCGCCTTTCGATACTGATGCAGTACAGTCGACACTTAATAAAGTTGTTACATCGGATTTTCGAATGCCACAACATATATCATATGATGCCCAAGATCTTATAAAACATTTACTAAAAAAGAATCCAAATGAACGTATAACTTTGGAACAAGTACTGCAACATCCATTTATGTTACGCCATGAAGAACGTTTTGTCACAGCTGCGGGCTCAGCTGCTACCAAATGTAATAGAGAAATCAATGATTTCGTACAGAGTAATCAGCAAAAATATTCGCAGCAGCAAAGCGGAGCAAGCTGTGACAGTGGCATTATAACCTTTGCCAGCAGCAATTCCAGTTCAACGCGTACAGCTGCGCTACAACGGTCCCGTTCAATGGAAAAGTATCCCGTGCGTGGTGGCCTGGAACGCATACATGAAAATGATCAACCGCAAGTAGATTCTGCTCCACTTAAGGCGGCACATTCTTATAATTCTTTTGCTGAAGATTTTGTGGAAAAACAGCATCCACGTATGTTCCAATCATCTACACCGCACAGTATGGATATTGAATGGCATTCCAGCGGCTCTGGAAATTATAAAGATTTACCAACAGCACCACAGTATGCTTTGAAAAATTATTTTCCGGTGCCCAGACCATTTTCTGAAAATGGGGAAAATGAATATTTAGCTGTGGATAAGCACAATTGCTTGCCGCCTATGTCGAATCATTCTGTTGCAAAGGATAAAGTGGCTCGAAAGTCACAGGAAAATAAAAATGCGGAAGATCGTATAAGTGTTCCACCATTAAACACTGAGCGTCTGCTGCCGACACGATATAAAACTAAAAATGCCATTATGAGCATTCTAATTGGTGGCGAAGTGACACTGGAGTTTATAAAATATAAGAGTCGTTTGCGTGAAGATCGTATTACCGACATATGTTGGATTTCGAAGGATGGCATGCGTATCACCATTTATCAACCAGATCCTGGGCGGTAAGTAAATTCTTTTTAAGCATAAATATGTATATCGATATTTTTAGCCTATAGAGATTTAATAATAAAATAAAATTGCTTTTTTTTCAGTGGTCTGCCCATAAGTGAAGAACCACCACCTCCACCGACTGATAGTCCAAATAACAGTCACACTATTTACACATATAATAACTTACCCAGTAAACATTGGAAAAAATATATATACGCCTCACGTTTTGTTAATTTAGTCAAAGCGAAGACACCAAAAGTAACATATTTCAGCAAACAAGCAAAATGTCACCTCATGGAGAGTATGGATGATTTCGAGGTTTTTTTCTATTCTGGCGCAAAAGTACTTAAAACGCCTAATGAAGGCTTACGCGTCTACGATAAAAATGGACGCTTGTTGCAGGATCATGAAGATCAGACGGCAAGTAACTTGCTGCAACATCAAGCTGAATGTCTAAAACATTGTCAGGCGATTTGTAGTGCGCTACAGCTGGCACAGACAAATGGTAACTCCTGCTTTCCAGCTGTGGTTGGCCGGAGACCCAGTGAATTGGATGTAATGCAGGGGCAGTGCATAACAACGGCAATGCGTGACACAACTAATTTGATTTATCTGACACCAAAGACGCAACAGGTAAGTTGACTTTAAATTAATTTAAAAGTTTGGCTGCATGAGGTGAAAATTCCAATTGAGTGTTTCTTCTATTGGTATTATATTATATATACTTTAAAATTCCAGGAGACCATAAATTTTTCCATTGGCTCGTCAGGCTTGCGTAGTGGCAGCAATTTTAGTGACTCTTCATCACAATCACAATCGTTAACTTCACAGCAACAACAACAGCAATTGATGGCTGTACAACCCAACGTACCAATACGAAAAATAAACATTCCCGGCATCGGTATCGCCACAGAGGTACGCCACCGCAAATATATTATATACAATTTTATTTGTTTTTAATATATAAATTAATTGTCTTCCTTTCCAGTTATCGCATGGCATTGTGCAAGTACAATTCCCTGACGGATCTCTCGTTTCAGTGATACCCACCAACCAGGGTGGTGGCATTACCTTCACACAAACAAGCGGCTCTTCCACACATTTTGGCCCACAGGACGATCTGCCATTCGTGGTGAGAGAGAAATTAGCTCAGTTACCGCAGGTGGAGCGACAACTGAAGCAAGCGCCGCTTTTACGTTCAAATGGCTTATTTGCACATTTGAAGCAGCAGCAGCAGCAACATTCAAATCAATATGCTTATGAAGGCATGCAAGTGTTGTCGACGCCGCGCAACACAAATCACGCCGTCACACACGCTAACACTGGCGCAACGCAACAGCATGCCATGAAATATTTTCGTTAGAGCTTGAGAGGAAGACTCTATGAGTCTTCTATTGTTGAGACTGCAAGCGCAATGTCCAGTTTCTTTTTTTTTTATTAAATATAGTTTATTTGTAAGTTTTTTTACAACATAAATTTCAATTGTTCATTTACTTGAATGCAATAAATATATATGTATGTATATTTTGTAAATTTGAATTGAATTAAAACATACGAAAATATTAAATATACTAATAAATTATATTTTGCGTGTATATGCGCAAAAAAAAAAACAAAAAAAATTAATGTGTTTTCTGTTACGTGAGAGCAATAGGTGGGGTAAGGTCACTGTTTAGCCAACAAACTTGGGTTTGTGGTCAAGATCCACAAATTTCAAAACTCGTTGCTTTGCCACATTGCCACAAAAAAAATGTGTGGCCAGGCCTTCCTATAACATTTTTTTCAATAAAAAATCTCCAAATTATTAAGAAAAACTGTTTTTAGTTGAATTAGATTTAATTAATAATTTTCCTTATCTTAAATAGGATTATAATGGTAAATGTATACTTAAACATATGACTAAATATTACTTGTTAATATATATGTATATATTATATTATATATGTATTTATGTACATTAATATTTTTTCTATCATATTTTTACTTGTCAAATTGTATTTAGCAAGTCTACTATTCCTAAATTTCGAAATAAGTAAAATTAATTAAATATTTTTTCATTAAAAAAGGTAATTAACAATTATAGTATAATTAAAAGAAATTGAATGAAATAATGGCGTTTAATTTGATAAAATGTATTTTGAAATAATTTAGATTGAGTCAAAAATTTTAAGCTATGTAATTAAAAAAGTAAAATAGAGTAGGTTTTTTTTACATACATATGTGTGTATCTAAGGAATTATTAACTTAACAGCATTATAGATTTATTTACATATTCACCAAAAGAACAATATTTATTTTTTATTTATTAAATTAATTTAGATTAAATTAACCGTGTTACATTTTATTTTATTCAATTTAAATTTGAATTTTAATAATATTTAAAATTTTTGCTTTTAATTTTATTTTCATTTTTTTTACTTTTATTTATACTTTTAATTTGAATTTTATTTTATATTAATTTTCAATTGTTTTTAATTTCTTTAATTTTTTTTTGCGTGATATCTGTAATTTTTATATAATTTTTCTTATAGTTTGCTGAAAAGATTTGCCTGTATTTCAAATTAATTCGAATATTTCTATATTACACACTGTTATTTTATTATTATTTTTAGATTCATCTACTAACTCTTATAATTACCATTCGTTGAAAAATTTGCATCAAAAAGTGTAGACATGTGTACAAATTTGTATATTTGTAAGCATGCGTATGCATCAAATTGGCAGATATTTGGCAGTTTATGTATGTATGTGTGTATATATTTAAAAAAAAAATTTTTACTTAAATGAAATTTATATTATTTGGATATATGTGATTGTGTTTTTTTTTTAATTTAATTTTTCTTTTGTTTTAAAAAGTCATTGATTTTGCTGACTCTATATAACTTTACGCATAGTTGAACTGGCTTAGATTTATCTTTTATATGTATGTATGTACATTTAAGTTGTGTAATTTAATTTAGAGCTTTACAAAATTTTACACCAGTTCCTATAGCGCCTAGATATAGGCAATGCAATTTTTTGAAAGTGTTTTTCTAGAGCAGATTTTATAGAATTACCATAGTAAAAATAAGTTTACGTATAGAAATCCATAAAGTAGGACCACCATTTGACTGCCGAGTGAGTATTCATAACCCTTACAGTATAGTAATTCAAACTGGTTTTCTGATCCCTGCCTGCGAATGAAGCAAATATACAAAATCGACCGATGTCAATGTCTGTTAACTTCTTCAGGTTTGTAAACTCATGCGAACAGAGAATTTTCAGTCTGAGTCATTAAGTAAAGGTAGTTGAATTTTGAGATGGTGGGGGATTCCCCTGATTTTCTTCAGTCCAGCTTGGTGCAGAGGAAACCTGCAACTGTTGGTGAAAAGCGTAGATCAAATATTGACCGATGACCAATTCCGTTTCGTCATTAAGAAAAAGCTGTTATCTTTGCGTGAAAACTCAACAGCATTTCAGTACCATTTCGCTGTAGCCTGGTACCATTTGGTTTTCATTATGAAATCAATTGGCGCCACAGTCTGTGATGACAAGCCACCCATTATCGAATTAAATGCTCCTTTCCTCTAACGGCTCCGCCCCTCCGATCGGAAGAGCTTCTCATACTCTAGACTACCAAATATTCACAGGTATAGTCGGGTCGTTTTGAGCCTACTTCGAAAAGTTCGTGAAAAGTCACGTTCGAACGGACCTTAATGTGTATAGATTGGTCTAGAAAGTACTTCTTAAAAGACAAAATCTCATTAAAAGATCTTTAAAATCCTCGAAAAATAGCTAGCCTCGACGGGTAACAGTGAAATGGTCCTATGTTGAAGTAATGGTAACGAAAACAAATCTTTTGTAGTTGCTTTAGGTCTGACGAAGCAACAATAGCTTCTAATAGTATTTTAAATAGGGAAGAAACAATGCACTATTGTGGTTTACTGGAGACTGCGGGTGATAATGGACCAGAAGGATATGAGCGCGGCTCGATAGGCCTGCCCAATATATTGCTTGATGTCGTAATAAGTATTTGCAATGCAGAGCTGACTTTTTGTGTTCACTTTTCCATGAGCACAAGATTGTATTAAACTGATTTTTCGTGGAGATAACAACTGAGATACAACTAAACTTTGATCTTTCAAGACGCACACTAAACTCTCTCTCTCTCTCGCTGTATGAATATGAATATGCAAACTCTACTTTACTTAACTTTTATGCATGTATATGGATTGTTGATTCCCGATTGATTCTAACCTCAAAAAATTATAAAATTCTGCTTATGTCTAACTCAGCGCTGCATTCTCTATTTGCTGCATTTTACTATTTTAACAAAACATACATACTACAAACGTATGTACTCTCACTCAATGTTTTGTAGTTACATGTACATACATTTGTACATACATATACACCAAATTTTTCTTTTTTTCTTTTAATTCGGTAAAAAGTTGGTTTACTTTATTTTGTATTAATTTTTGTTTTTATTGTATACCTTGATTGTATTGATTACCTCTACCTGTGATATTGCTTTTGTTGTTGTTGTTGTTGTTGTTCTTTTTTATTTTACACAAGTAATAATAATTCACATAAAAGCATTAAGCCGCAAACACTTTAGCTTTCAATTATTTTAATTCATAATATCTTACATACACGTACATATGTTGACATGCATACATATTGTACATCTATTAAATATTTACAAAATCCAAATTCTTATATTTCTACTTTACTTTAAATACTCGTAGTTGTACTTAATCAATTACTATTTTGCTAATTTTTTGTTTGTTTTGTGTTGTTTTGTTTTGTTTAACTAATCGTTGATTTGATATGCTAATTTGCTTATAGTGCATATTTTAAGAAATTATCTGCGCATGTACATATGTATAGATGTGTATGTACTGTATTTATGCAAATTTACGCCTAAAAATACATACATATCTACATTTACATGTGTGAATGTATATATAATCACTACATACATATCTACATTTACATGTATGAATGTATATATAATCACGACATACATATCTACATTTACATGTGTGAATGTATATATAATCACTAACTATAAGCTATAGTTTTTCCCTTTGAACGCACACATTTGCAAGTATTTGCAATCAAATTACTTAAAGCAAGTAATAAAATATCTTATATACTTCAGCAAAAGCAGTATTTGTGCATTAAAAAATATTTAGCTAAAACTCTAAAAAGTGAGGTTAGAAATTTTTGAATACTTTTTCAACTTAATCCCTTTAAGTCAATATAAAAAATATTACATTTAGTGTAATTTTTATGAATACGAGTTAACGCGGTTTTGAGCGTTAATCTTCAATTTATTTTAGTAGACCCGATCGACCACACGTTATTGTGGATTTAAGTTTTTTTGTCCAATTTGGTATTTAAAGCGCGAAAATACCTAATTAAACATCAATTAGATCCACATATATATTAGGTTTTTCATTCATTTATTATTGATTTAACTACTAATTTATATGTGTGGGTCACTGCTTTGTCACTCAAAGTCTTCCACGAATATATATGTGAATATGAATGCCTCGAAATAAGCCAAACGTATTAACGGGTTCTATGCTCTTCTATACTCAAGTCGAAATTATGAATATTGCTTGTAAGCTGCAGTCGAACATACCTAAGCACGATTTATGCTTATTTTCGTATCGCATTAATTTTTTGTTAATCTGTCCAAAAATTTAACCAAACGGTAGCTTTTTTCTCAAATAGATTGATCACCTTTCCGTAAAAACCGAATTTAAAGTAAAGCTAACCATAAATAGGTCGGTCTCTAGTCAAACACCCGGGGGGAAAAGTAGTCTATCTGGCAGGTTAAGCAAAAAGGTACCCGAATTTACGAATTTATGTAAGAAATAAATAAAATTTTTCGAAAAAGTAAGTCTCTGGTCCTAGTAAGCCTACTAATTTAAGGAAAACCATAAATACGGTTTCTTCGAATTGTGCGTTCGCTGGTCTATTTCCCGGAGGAAAGAGTAGTCTTCCTGCCAATCTGAGTTACTTTTGTACGGAATTACAAGTAAATCGGAACAAAAAACGTTTTATCCGTATAGTTTAGTCACTGCTCCATTTCCACTGACAAATTTTCAGCATAATCTGCCAAGTAGTCGTGGAGATCGTAGAAAAAAACCTTACCATTTATTTATTTTATCTTTTCCGATTTTATCTTACTTTATTATATTTTTAATTTTATTTACTTTAATTCATTTTTGATTTTTTTATATGTTATTAGTTTTTTACTTTGTTTCATTTTAGTTTGTTTGTTTTATGTTTTTTATATTTTATTTCATTTTATTTTTCATTCGTTTTATTTGATGTAATTTAAATTTGTTTTATTTTACTTCGCTTTAATTTTTTTAACTTCATTTAACTTTTTTCTTGATTTAACTGATCTCTTTAATTTTTTTTAAATTAATTTTTAATTTAGTTTAGTTTACTTTTTTTTTTAATTTTATGCTACTATTTTAGGTTTTCTTTAATCTTATTTCATTTGATTTTATTATTATAATTTTTTTATTATACTCAATTTTTTATCAATTAATTTATTTAAATTTTTTGTTTGAAATAATTTAATTTAATTTGCAATATTATTACTTTTTTTTTAACTAATTCTATTTTATTTTGATTTAATATATGTATATATGATTGGCGCTTTGTAACCGTTGAAGCGATTTTCGGAGGGAATTTAATTGGGTTTATACTAAGCAGTCTCCGAACGGCAGATGTTTTTTTTTATGAGGAGCCTTTATTTCATATCAGAAATAAATAAATAAATTAGAAAATTATTTTTTATTTAAATTAATTTTCTATAATTTTTTGGATGTTAATGTGACACCAGGATATGAACCCGAGCCTTCCGAACGGCAATATGCATTCTAACCACTCGGCTACAGCGGCCGCATATTATTTAATTGATTTTATTTTATTAACTTAAAAAATATTAAAAATATTTAACCTCATTTTTTATTTTTAATTTTTCCAAATATTTCTCAATGCGCATATACTTACGTATTTTGCGCAGTTATAAGTCTACACATACAAATGTGTAAAACAGCGTGCATGTGCTGTAAGCAATTCATTTTAAATTGCTGCAATTTAATAAATATTTACTTGTTGATTTTGCACAAATTTCCAAAACAATTTTTGCCGCAATTTATAGTAAATACATATATACGTGTATGTATTTATGTGTCTTTTGTAGTTATTATTATAATATATTGTGTTTTTCATTTTTTTCATTTCACAAGCAAATTCAGAAGAATTCATTTTGAGCATAAAACTATCGATTGTGCATTGCCAAGTGTGTGTATGTGTGTTTTGAAGTATTGCACTTATGCATCTCTCTATGCGAATGTGCGTGTGTGTGTGTGTGTGAAAATTTTAATTAATACATACATATATTTGATAATTCTGTAATGCATTTACATATGTGTATGTAGTTTGTGTGTGTGTTTGTCTGAATTTTACGAAAATAAGCCTTAATGAAAATCTTTTGCAATCTGCTTTTAATTTTTTTTAATTGCAACATATGTATGTATATGTGTGTGTATGTAAATAGAAAATAATAATTTTTGTAGGTGTTCTATATTTACTGAAAAATTATTTTAAATAATAAAATAATAATAATAATGCTTCAAGCTAATAGCGTAGCAGTACAACATATTTTGGTTCAAAGTGCATGTTTAACAATTGTTACAAAAAATAAATATATATATATGCATATAAAATAATTTGAAAACTTTATTTTATAAAAAAAAAAATGAATTTTCCTTACTTCAAAATTTTCCATTGGACGGAGACTATTTTATTTTTATTTTTATTTTTATATAAAATCAGTTCAATTTTGGCCGGGCTGTGGTTAGTGTTGGTACGGTTCTTTTATAAGGATACATATGTACATATGTATGTACAAGTGTATATTTTGAGCTTTTGGTTACGAAATAGTTTTAGTTCACCAAATTTTGTGCATAAAGGCGAGTGGCTTTCATAAAACTTTTTCCGGTCTTTTGCTGCTTTTTTATATTAAAAAAAAAAGAAAATTAAAGAAAATAAAGTTCACAAAAAGTTTGCTTTTTCAAAACAAATAAAATATTTATTTACAAATGAATTAGTGTATTTGAAATATTGTTCGACTTATAGAATAGCAATTCACTAACAAAAAATAAATTTTAATTGTATTTAAATAATAAAATAATTAAAAATATAAACAAAAAACTTAAGATAAATGTAACTAAACTTTAAGTGTTGTAAATATACATTGACAACAACTACAACATGCATAACCAGTACACAGTACAGTTGTATGGAGGTATTTTATTGTTGTTATTGTTGTCGTTGGAATGTTAAAGTAATAAGATCAAACTGATATGTCTGGTAACTCTTGGCTTTTTTTTGTTTTATTTTGCACAAAAATTGCACTTAAATTATAAGTTGGCAAAATAAATGACATAATAATTAATTTAATATTAAATGAAGCTAAATTTAAATTAATTAAATTTATTTAATTAAAAAAATGTAAATTAAAGTTAAAACGTTTATTTCAGTTTAATTAATTAAAAGATAAAAATAAAGTTAAATAATTAATATTTTATCAAGCTAAAACTATATTAATTAAATTTATATATGAAATTCAGAAAACAAAACAAATTCAAAATTAAATTTAATTAATTAAACAAAATTTAATTCAAGAAAAATAAATAAATTTAATAGCATTTATTTATAGTATAAATTTATTGAACACATTTTTCATTTAAAAAAAAAAGTAATTTTAAAATATTAAATGTAAGAACTTAAAAATGAAATGTTATTTAAAATTTTATACAAAATTAAATGAAAACAGAAAAAATGTTACCTTCCAAGAAAAGTAAACAGTTTTTGTTCCAAGAATTTTTACGTCAGAAATATGTTTGTAGGCTTTTAGAAATACTAGTTTAATATTGTATCTATACTGGAAAAAATATTAATTTTTTTAATAAAAAAATTGAAGCTTAAATTTTTTAAAATCAAAAAAATTTGGGAGTACAAATTTATTCGGTTTGTACTCAGAAGCTGGCTCCACATGCAAGTTGTCGCCGATCTTAGAAGCGATTACCTATATAATTGGAAACGGTTCGCATCTGTCAACAGTAATTAGTGTGCTTCAGGATCTGTTACAGACATGTTATTTATCTCTTCCAAAATGTGTGAATTAGTGTTAAAGAAAGAGCATTTCCGGGATGTTTTGATTTCTGAAACCCATCGAATGCTTCAGGGAATTTTTTTTGTGAATCTGCGCTAATCGATAAGTCACACATAGAGTTGTTTCGACGCTTCAAAAATGGTGATTTTAGCGTCGAAGGCAAAGAGCGTGCTGCTCAGCCCTAAATATTTGAAAGGGAAGGTCAAGGAATTGGAGACTTTAATAGATCAAAATCGGTGCCAAAGGCAAATTGAAATCGTAGAATCGTCGCGGTTGATTCAGCAAATAATTTCCGTCGTTCGGTTAAAGGAATATGTTCTGCATATAATGGGACCAGATGGATGCGGTGGCAAATGATAAACTAAAACCGGGCGAAACAAGTCAAAACCGACCAGAAACGACCGAAAGGCATAACAATGTGACCTGACAATTATTGGCTCTACGGGGCTGTACCAGTCAACAACTACCTGAAAACATTGAAATCACAGATCCTAACCTACCATGCGTATTTTCAAAACCGTCCTCCTTCCGCCTACTGGTTTTTCGGTGGATATAAAGCGATTTGGGGGAGTCTCAGTTCCAGTCTTTTGTAGTAGTCGAAATGAAGCATAGCTCAATGATTGGAATGAGGTCAAAGAAGGCTTATTTTTCGAAAACTATTAAAAAAAAATTATCAGATCACAGTTGTCGCTTTCGACGGACAATACTTTGAATAAGATATTTTTACTCTTTTTTAATAAAAAAAAAACTATTTGGACGCAAAAGAACGGTACGAATTAATTTGTGCTCCTAATAAATAAAATTTAATTTCTTTGATTCTCACTTAAAAAATGACTGCAGTTGTAAACGATTACCATTCTGAAAAGTTAAATAATAAAATTAATGAAAATATTTAAGAAGGATTTTTTTTTAATTTTTCAATTTTCTTACACATATCAAAGTCATGTGCTAATCCTTAAATAAAATCACTTAACTAAAAATAATAATAACCATATATATGTATGTATGCATATTTAAATTTCTATAGAATTTGTTGTTGTGATGTGTTCAAAAGGCCAATGCGTCCAGTTGCATGGCATTACAAGTTCAAAAGTAAAGTCAACAAAATTTACACCACCGCACGCATTGCCTTGCCATTGTTGCTATTGTTTGTTGTTGTTGTTGTATATTTTGCATATCAATAAGTCAGTATGGAAATGTAAATGTTTGTTTCTTCATCAATAAATTTCAACTTCTATTACTTGCATAATACTTCATTCATTGTCTATGAATATTCATTGTTTTGTTGCATTTTTCATCAGTCCTTTTTTTATTTATTATTTCTAAGAATGTGTAATTTTTATTATGATTGTGTATGTGTGTGCATGTGTGTTTGTGCGTGCAAATGTCTCTCAATTTATTTCCAATTTAATCATTATTTTCCCCACCAAAGCAACACTTTCGCCATTTACTTCTCCTTAAGCTCAAAATGAATCTTCTGAAATATGTCCTAGAAACGATCCTTTGATGTTGCGCTATACTCGAGTTCGTTTAGATTTTGTATTTCTTGTAATTCCTGGAATTTCTCATGATCTCTTATGTGCGCATAATTGGCCGCCAAACACATTAAATAATGCACCAAACTCAGTATGACGAGCAGTGCAGCGAGCGTGGCGAGTATGAACATGACCTCGGCATTTTCGACGCCATCCTTACAGAAAGCTTTAATCTCATATTTATCGCAGATTTTCATATCTTCTTGCTTTGTATTCGGTGGGAACATGAAATCTGGAAGTAAAGAAATCGAAAGAATTTAGTTGAAATTTACGTTTACTACAAATAAAGTTTTCATAATTATATTTAAGCTCCATCTCCTTGTTGAAGCGCAATTTTTTCTCCAAAAATCTTCACAAAGCAGTGATTTTGGAATTTTTGTGAGAGCTGTTCATGCTATTTTAAAACACCCTCAGAATATTCGTCTACGGTAAATTAAATAAAAATAAAATTTCTACAAGTCGCAAGTTGTTCATTCCGCTTAGAAGCAGGCGAAGGCTCTAGCTAATGTAACGGGAGGACCTCGATACGAATGTTACGAGCCTCCGTAACAGAGGAGAAAACGAGTTAGATGAACGGGTTCTAGTGTTCATACAAAGAGTAGATTAATTTCGTGAATTCATGGCAGGCAAAATATACGTTGGATATGTCGGGGAGACGTCAGGTGAAGTAGGAGTTCAGCTAACCACTGTTTCGAGAGCTTTTTTGGGTCAGTAATAGTTAGGACTCACGAGACAATTCGTCGCTTCGTCTACTATGGGTGGCATTAAGATTCCGTTGGCACCATTCACTTTAGAATTGTTGAAGATGTTGATTGAGGACTAAAGTTGAACTGCGTATGAGGAAAAGCAAGTGGTGTGCTTTTATTAAAACGGCTATATTCGCAGTGGCCGAGTGGTTAGCATTGCGTACTGCCATTCGGAAGGCCAGGGTTTAAGTCCTGGTACGAACAACTTCCAAAAGTTATAGAAAATGAATTTTTTCAAAAATGAAATGACATGAAATAAAGGTTACTCATAAAAAACCATTAGCCGATCGGAGGCTTAAACTGTATGTCCCTCTATTTGTAGGAAATAGAAAAGATACAAAAACAGAAATTAGAGAAGGAGCTTGGCCGAATTCGCTTCAGCGGTTATCAAGCGACAACTTATATACAATATATATATTATATATATAATATATTCGCGTAAGCGGTTACCGCGCCGAAAATTGAAAAAAAAAAATCTTTATATTTCAACTAAAGAATGCTTAGTATGGATTCCAAACGGTTTTTTTCCAGTCCTTAGATGGCATACACTTCGGGATTAAGCAAAAGAGTGGTGTTAACCTTGCTTTGCACGGAGCTTAAAATATGGTATTTTTACATTGGAACCAGTGCTAAATAAACGGCTTACATCCTAGCGAAAGAGATGACAGATGGGCCTGCGAGCTAAGTTAGCTAAGTTAGTGCAGGCCGAACACCTCATTGAATCACATAAAATTATGTTTACTTCATACAACTCAGCTTTTAATCGGAGCCACACATTTGAGACTATTTTTTTTTTTAATAAATATATTGCGGTTTGATATTCTGGTGACTCGCGTCCTCGGTATGCATTGTGCGGCTATTTTATATATTTTTTTCTTAATTTATTTATAAATAAATTATTTATAAAAAAATTTTTACTTACGAAATTGTGTTAAATCAATGCAGCTGAGCGAACGTTCCACACTTGAGCACATATTCCAGAACATTGTATAGATAAAGGTAACTATGACCAAGAAGCAGAGTATCAATATCCACACGAAATTCAATAGATATGTGATGCCCATGAACTAAGAGAGAAAGAGAAAATAAATACAATTTAAAATATATAAATTAACGAAGAAGGAAAAAGGTTTAAATTTATAAAATTTATTTATGATTTCTCGCTACCCAGACATGGACGCGATGTAATTTCAAACAGTTATTTTCTATTAAACTCTTTTTTTTTTACTCACGCCATGGCAAGACTCAGACGTAACGTAACTTAAAAAAAAATGTTTGAAGCAAAAATGAAGCGAATAGACAAAATTCAATTGCAGTCTTCTTTTGTCTTTGATCAACGCTTAATTAAGTTTTGAAACTTTTCGCGGGCGAAATGCGTTTTTAATTGTCGGTAAGTAGTTAGTTGACGTCTACGTTGGCGTTGGTATTTTCTGCGGAGAGACAGCAACAGTTGTTAGTACTTTGGTAGCAGTCAGTTCATTGTAACTATTCTAAATGCTTTTCCTTTCTCACGAGTGTGTGTGTGTGTGTGTGTGTGTGTGTGTACTAGACTTTGTCAGCGCAGTGAAAATGTCGCATCAACTGAGTTTTTGTATTTACTTTGTTTTAGTTAGTTGGGAGTTGGCGTTCAGCCATCGCCTTTTTTACCTCTTTGCGCCCAACCAAATCATTTACACGACGCTTTTCATTTGTTGCTTTCAATTTGGGTGTGTGTGTGTGAGTGCCTGTTTAATTTGTACAATGCTGTCTACCACTACTTTCTTCTAACGGTTGCTTAGTGGACTGGCAAGTAAATTTGTACTTTTTTTGCTTTGCTTACAGTTCGTTTTGTTGTTGTTGTTGTTGTTTTTTTTTTTTGCATTTTACTTACCACTGCACACGAGATGCGGCCACCCACTCGTGAACGCCACGCGCGATAGACCTTGTATCGTGTCGCTCCAGTTGCGAGGAAACCAACGAAGAGTATCATAAAGCCAAGCGCCGCCATTCCCGCAGCAATTATGACAAAAATCATTTGAATTGCTTCAATCCTGTAAAATGAAATGAATGCGCAATTAGAGAGTCTCGGTTACATTAGTTGGAGAGATATCATTGTGTTTTTGCTTTTGGTTTTGGTTTTTTTCTTCTTCTTTTTTTTGTTGTTGGTACTTATGTTTTCTTTTATGCAAATATGTATGTATGTATGTATGTGCATTCGTTTTATGTGCAGATAATCTGCATAATTGCACTTAAATACTATTAAAGTCTTAGCTAAAATAATGGAGACGATCATTATCTTCCAAACTATCGCCCAGTTGAGCAGAGATAATAAATTATGGAAGCGTTGAAAAATTGTTACGAAAATTGCCACAAATTGTTATAAGAAAAAATGGGGGAAAAGGCCTAATCTTTCAATCAGTTATATACAAATTAAAAAATACTTTCTCCCTTCCGCTCGTGATACTTTCTAGGTTGGGCGAGCTCTTATTGACTCAGTTATGCAGACTTAGAAAGCATATCTGAGGCATATCGTTTTATGTTAGCAACAGGGTAGTGTAGCCAGCCATTTTTCCCTTAAAACGGGACCGGTTCGAGATCAACACTTTTTGTCAACAATGATAATCTAATCTACTGCCAAGTTGAAGATACGCGGCGTCATCTGATATTATGTGTGGAAGGGAAGCCTCCGTTAGAAATACGGTGTGATTTAAAAAAAATTGCGGAGGGCGATGCAGAACAAAAGGAGAGTCCTGCTGAGAAAGCGAGGTTGCACCTGATTCACGAGAATGGCAGACGCATTCCCACGCACTTTCAAATTACTGTATATCTTTACCTCCCTGAAACTACACATGGGTGAATAAATTTTTCAACCGACGACGAATTGATGCCTGCATAGATATGTAGGGCGACTATGTCAAAAATAGCTTTCGTTATCTCCTAAAGTATGACGCAATCTCTTTCGTTTCGATATAAGTTTTCAAAAACTATAAAAAATGCAATACATACAATTTTCGAATGTGCCTCGTATACCGATTTTCTGCTGAGATCCTAATCCAATTTGTGGTCATGTCAAAAAATGCCCTCGGAAGCCTTGACATTCCCTGCCGTTTAGAAAAATCATTTTTCAATAATTTTGGATGCTGGTCGAACCAGGACTCATACCCTGGCTTTCCAAATGATAGACGCAATGCTAACCAATCAGCTATTGCGGCCGACGGACTTAGAGAAGAAAATTATCAGTACTGTTTTAACGTCTGATTTCGATTGGAGTTGGGGCTTAATCCGTACCGAATTGCTTTATTATGCGGTGTAATCCTATACTACTCTAATCCTGCTCGAATTCGATTATTCAGCGAATTTAGTGTTATACATTTCGATTAATCGAAAAATTGTGATCGGAAAAACGGTTGACGAATTTAGGTTAGGTTAGGTGGCTTAGTGGACTAGCGAGTAAATTTGTACTTTTCCATTTTGTTTTTAGACTTTTGGGTAATTATTAATTATTTAAATGAAAAAAAAAATATATATATATGAAAGATTTAAAATTTTTTAATTTAATGCAAAATTCAGTTCATAGAAATTTCGAAATATTAAAGTTTAGAGCATAAAAATTCAAGTAAAATTCGATTGTGCAGTGAAAGAAAAAGTTTTAAGTGAATATATATCTAAAATCGACACAATGTACCTAGTATATAATCGATAAATATATTTAATAGCAAATGAATGCACATAAATTTAATGTGAATACTCGTAACATTAATCAAATAATTCGCTAAGGTACAGGAAACTCACAACATAACTACGCAAGTAGCATAAAGTGTTGCGCATAAACTTGTTTATCGATTTATGAATATCTGTATGTACGTGTATGTACGAGTAAATATGCGATGTAAGCACGTGGAAGCTTATAAACATCAATTTGCAGCAGATCAAAGGTATGCCCGCATTTACCTTGCCACACTCAAGAATGTAATAAACCACTACACAATACCACCTTAGACCATATCCGCAGGTGGAGGAGGCAGAGAGCTTAGTGATGGAATTGTAATTAACGCATATTGTCACTGTGTCACATTTAGGGTTTGAAATTAACAAGAACCAAAAGCGGATGGTCAGCATGTTGCCAATACGAATAACCTCATGCTGATTGAGGTAAAGATACAAGTGGGTTTACTATGTGTGCATACATAGATACATACTTATATACATACATACATACATACATATATAGGTACATAAACCAGCGAAAATGCCATTAAGTAGATACTCACCAAATTAGATGCAAATGAAACACTTGATCCATCATAATCACCGTCAACGAGGCGCCTCGATACATTGTGCCACAAAATATGCCAACGCCAAGCAGGCACATGAGTGTCGCTATTAATGTGGCATATGGTATGCGGGACATACACGATTGGCAGCAGTCACCTGAAATGGTAAAAGATAAAGAGAGATGTGAGTGAATGAGCGAATGAGTGAGTGAGTGAGCTACAAAAATACGATCGTACATGTTGAAAGCAACTACAAGGATATACAGCCCTTAGTAGTACCACTACATGTAGGTATATTCATATATATGTAAATATGAGCAAATTTCAGCATAAATATGTGTATATAAAGAGACAAGTGCAAGTTAACTACTATTCTAAGTTAAATGAGTGTACATAAGTATATTACAGCTGGGTAGCATATATGTATAAGCACAAATACATATGTTGTGTACAATATATAACTTAAAGTACGTTTGCTTGTATACTCGTATTTGAATAGCGAGGCTGTTATACAATTTTCGAGACAAATTGTATTAAATTGCGCCACATCATGTACTTTATATTTATATACATATATTTATGTATGTTCATCTGTAGCAGCATTCAGGAGTCAAAGCATTTGAATAGGTTGTAAGTTGATTGCCGGTGATTGGGTTGCCAATATTCGTCTATTGGGAGAAAATGAAAGCATAGCACAGCATGCTGGCACATTTTGCATCTCCACATATTCATAGATAGCTTAGTGCAGTACACCATCGAAAAGCAATTTCCTATATAAAAAATAAAGAAGTCGCTGAACAATCCCTCTCAACGTATCTAAGACCCAGTAAATCCACTACCGACTAGAGAAATTGTTGGAAAAGAAGCTATTAGAAAAGGAAAGTCAAAAATGATTCCTTTTTGTCGATTTTAATGCTGATTCTGGCTCTATAAGATTGAGTTCTGTCCAGACCAACATCTGAAACTGTAGAAAAAATTCCAATTATGGTTTCTTCTCGACAGAGGTTGTAAACTCCTTTGATTGCATTTCCGGCATGAAATAAAAGCTCATCATAGAAATTACACATTCGAAGACGGCCTTTTTTGTGGAAAAATATCACGATGTCGTTTAACTGCAATAATTGATATACATATACATATAAGCTAGCGACGAGGCGAGGATCGTAGGCAGTGGGATCATAAGCTATAAAATTTGCGGCAATTGAGGCATATTAGGGGGTACTTGGCTCTACTTGGTATCAGAAACTAACAAACATAAATGATTTAAAAATCCTTTACCCTTCAAAATTTTAGTTTTCGGCTACCCCAATGTGCTTATTGCAGCATAGTTGTGCGCACTCATTTATATCTTCACCTATTGCATTCAACGAATGGAGTTAGGTCTCTATTGATATTTTACTTGTAGCAAGCAGCTTTCGACAATTTATGCTATATGCTTTAATGGTCATATACTGAGCACACATAGCTACGCATACACATTGAATACATATGTATAGATGTAGGTTTGTTTGTTTGAGAAAACTAAATGTTGATTGAGCCAGGATATTATTGATTGCCTTCGACGAAGGAAGTACAATAAAATTCTGGAATTATGCGCAAATTCGTTACTACGACTGAAGTTATTTTAAGTTATTTTAGTTATAATTTCAATTTGAAATTCAAATGTACTTTTAACTGTAATTTTAATTATAATTTTAAATTTAATTATACCAGGTGTACAACTTTGCTTCCGCCGTTTTTTCCAAAATTAAAAGCTTTATTGAGAAAAAGTGCTTACAGATATATTATTCAAAGTATTGTCCTTCGCTAGCGACAACTTCCTCCCATCTTTACGACAATTTTCGGATCCCGGCTCGAAAAAAGGAGCCTTCTTTTGACGCTATCCATGAAGCAATCCATTTTTCCAATTCTTCGAAAGATTGAAAACTTTGATCTGCCAGGCCGTGTGCCATCGAACGGAATAGGTGAAAGTCAGAAGGGGCGACATCTAGGGATTACGGCGGGTGGGGCGAGACTTCCCACTTCAGCGTTTCCAGGTACTTTTTGACCACTTTTGCGACGTGAGGCCGAGCATTGTCGTGTTGGAGAATGACTTTGTCATGTCGCTCTTGATATTGTGGCCATTTTAAAAACGTTGAAACCACTTCCGACACGTTCTTTCACTCAGAGCAGCATCACCGTAAGTTTCGGAGAGCATTCGATGCGCTTCAGCTGCATTTTTTTTTCGAATTGTAACAGAAAATTAAAACTTCCCGCAAATAGCGATAATTAGGCACATAAACAGACATTTTCGAGCGTTAATAATACGAAAACAAGATCAAATGTCACTGAAACGGCAATGACAATTCGTTAGGCACTGTCCACACTCACTTTAAAGGCATTAGCATTATCCTCTATGTATTTCAACCAGCCTCAGCCGGTATAGCCACCAATCGAAAAACGGCGGAAGCAAAGTTGTACATCTGTTAAATATAAATTTAATTTCAAAACAAATTTTGATTAATTTAAATTCGAATTGTACTTTTAATATTAATTTGGATTTTAATTTTTTAATTTTAAATTTAATATAATTTTAATTTTACATTTAATATTAATTTGGATTTTAATTTTACATCACTGTTTTAATTTTAAATTATATTTTAATATTATTTTAATTTTAATTTCAATTGTATAAAATTATTTGTGAAATTTGTTATATAGTAAATTTTAGCTCCAAAACGTGAGCAATATTAACTATAATTTAGATATTTTTCGTGGAAATTATGCTTTTTATTCAGATGCCAAAATGGTGTGTTTTAGTTTTTAGTCAAAACAATTAAATAATTTAATCCAATATTAAACGAAGCCTAGCTTCTGAAGTGTTTTTCTTGTGATAAACATAGCGATATTAAATATAATATATAAAAAATATATTTACGTCATATGCATTACATATTATAAACACGTATGTTACGTATACGCCCTGCTGGGCTAAACACTGAATAAACATGCATTCAGCAAATAACACTATATTTCCAACTCACAATTTTAGATCGCCTCTTCTGCAGAATATCTTTTTTAAATTGCCTATCAATTGCACGAGAACAGTACGAGCTTAGCCCGGCAATGGCTTGCTTTCGACTGACTGAGAACTATTAATAAATATCAACTTGATATCTGATGCTCGGTTTCATTCCAACTAAGTTTTTTAATATCTTTATTTCCTAATTGCTATTGGTAGAAAAAAGTTCAATAAAACAAGATCAAATTGTGCTGATTTGAAGGTATTTTCTTTTGCTCAACCACTGATAAGACTTTAAAACGATTTTGCAAGAAAATGAAAAAAAAAACATTAAATGCATGTATTGTACTTTCAGCTGTGGTCAATTTCCAACATAACCTCAAAAGCTATAACAAAATTTCATTTCGCACATACTAAATACATAAGAGCTTATAAAGAAGTATGCTTATGTATATAACATAAAAAAAAACTAACAAGCTTGCAATAATATGTGCATAACTAGATCGAGATATAAATCCAATTTGCTTTCATCAAAAGTAACACTGTTATACACGTGTATACATATTTTCTGCTACGTATAGATCTGTGTGTACCACAAAACCACACACTGTATGAGTTCAATGGGTGACTTTAAAATTTCTTATACAAAACTTAACAAAGTAAAAAAGCAAAAAAATTTAATATGTCTAAGAAAGGCACAACATATTCTCATACAAATGTATGTATATGACTATATATTTGGGTATCTTAGTTCCTGCATTTTTTTTTTTGCTTGCCAATGCAGCTCATTGATTTGCATAAATTTCATTTCACATTCTTACATTGCTGCCATATATCTCGTTTAAGCTTTAAAAAATCAAAACATCAAGGCAAGCGCTCACACGAGCATCGAGGACTGGTGGTGGTAGTGAGGAATGGCAGCGGCATATGCGAGTGGCATCAGCAAAATGCAGTGAAACGTAAATTTTTGTAGGTTTCTGCCAATTTTTTTCTCCCCTTCAACGTATGGCAAAAAGGAAATTGTGTTATAAATATAAGATGTGAAAGTATCGCTTTTGTAATGACACACTAGTGAGAAGATAGAGTCAAAGGACTTTTGTGCGCTTTAATGGGTTGTTATGTAGTTTGTGGGTTTTTTTCGCAAGAGTATTGCAGGGTTCTTGGTATGGAAAGCGAAATTGTTGAAAAATACTGTTTTTTCCATTTTTCTTGGGAAATTTTATTAATTCTATACAAAATGTCTTATTGTTTTAGAATGTTTTTTTGAGATCATATGCATATATCTTCTTAAGAATGACCTCGTAAACAGGGCTCATTTTTGATTCTTAGGCATTTCTGAGCATTTTTCTGATATTCATCTAATGGAATGAATGCCAGTGCTCGTCGTTTAGGTCTCTCACCGAGGAACTTTCAAATATTGCAAGGATCTCATCGTTACCGTCCTTCTCCCATCCAACATAATTCTTAGACGGCGGTGATGTCAGCCTTTAGTCATACGAAGAGACCCGACATTCCAATTGCACATCCTTAAATAAGGGCCTTTATAACGTAAGCGGTAGTCATTAGCAAAAGCGGGGTCTTTCATATGATGCTTTATATTCTTTTGCATTACAGCTGGTTTTCACATGGCGACTAGAAGTGTGCAGTAGGACGAATTTGTATAGCGAGCCACTCAGCATCGCTTCTCCTCTTTGGAGAACAGACGCTGCAAACAGGATCTAATAAACGCAGATTAAAATTGAAGACAACATTGATTTTTTGTGATTCGCAAGTAGACTAAGATAAATTGCCTTTCAATTGAGTTGATTCCTCCTGAAAATTTTGGACAGAGCGATTCGAGCGTTGTGGTTATGTTGTTCATTTGCCGCTGAAGCTTTTTTGCCGACTGTAGCATAAACAGAATATCAAATTTCACAGTGAACGCTGCTCTTTCAAATGCATAGCATATATTTATAAGTTAAGTTCATTATTGCTTCTTTAAACTAGTCGCAATAGCCAAGCTGTAGTATCATTGCGTACTAAAATTCCCCAAAATACCTCCGAGTGAATTTCTGATATGACACAAAAACGCACAAAAACCCATCAGACGTTCGGAGGCGGCTTAGTATAAACTATACGTTTTCCAGTTGTTGGAGAAAAATATTGAAGGAGAAGGA